TGCTAGACGGCTGGAGAGCGAGGGAGTGCCGACCCAGTGAGTTACCGGCTTCTCCATCGCCTTCTTCAACAGCGGCAGCAACATTCACAAACTGTTTGTTTATTCAATTTTTCCCCTTCGTGTTCACTATCCCCAACAGGGAAGATATATAAACATAAACATTGATATAACCCTAACCAGTGCATTGCCATTTTCATTCATCATTCTCCGGGGGGAAACAAACAGGAAAAAAGGATCAAGCCCATGAAAAACTGTCAAGTTTTTTTTCTTATATCCATTCCCTTTTACGCGCTCCGAATCTCGTCCATCACTACCTTAGATGGCTCATGGCGCGTACGGATTTTTGTCAAATAGCATAGTTCCCATCCTCCTCTTCATCCCGTTTGTCAATTGTCTGATTCTACAGCCGCCGCATCGGGATATTTACTCAGAAGCACATAGACGCGAGCTCCGAATATGCCTCAGGGGCCGCTTAGCATTGAACACTTGGGCGAGAAGGATGGACATAGCCCACGAATGCTAGCGAGTGTCAGGCTGCAGAAGCATGCACTAACTTTTTTTTTTTAAGCCAGCGAGAGGGGCTGGTGGTGATTGCATGAGTGACGTTGAGAGACACAGCCGTGGCCGGGATATGCTGGTCGAGAAGAGAAGATGGGGCTCTCCCCCAGGGAGGAACATACAGGGTGTCGGGGTCGAAGTGGGCTGGGGCTCTAGAGACAGACAGACAGACATATTTCACTGGAAGAATGACACGCTATTGCCGTTTCCCCCTCTTCGAGTTTCGGTCCAGCAACGACTTTCTGCGCGCAGGGTCTTCATATAAACATAGGCTGCTGCGCCACGAAAGGGATTGTTTTGCGTTTGTTCGTGTTGATAAGTGAGTGTGAGCCGTTCGTCCTCATCGACCAGCACCTGATGGCTAACTTGTGCTAACGGTAGCAGAGCATGGCGACACTGACATATCGAACAAACGTTCTTATCAAATGTCGGATATACTTACTTATCTGCCATGATATGTAACGGCATCTATTGATCGATTTTTCATCGATAGATAGATGTAGATGCAGCAGCATGCATGACTGTGTACGCGAATTTGTTTCTCATACCAAGCGCGCTCGTTTATGGACTCTTTCTTCCCCCTTTCTTTCCTCCCTATCGCTCCAGGCATGATTTCTCTTCATGCATTTTTTCAGAATCCAGACCAGATGCTCGTGATCACGATTCGATCTGAGAAAAGGGATGGCAGTAAAAGTCCAACTAGCACACTTGGTTGATGGAAAGTAAAGAAATAGATAAATACATTGGTGGGTACCTGCATGCCATGTCACACTTCCATTCCATCGAGCCAGCAATGGAATCAAAAGAACAATTTCCGTCCCTTTCGGTGGTACGAATATTACTTTATTTGGGGCTAGGAGATTTTGATACTTAGGTAAGTATAGCTAGCTACGTTGGCAGGCCCTCCGACGTCATCAGCCAAATTTACATCTCAGTGTGAAAATGAGACAGCAACCATGCAGTCGACTAAGAGGGAAAATGGAGGAAGCTTTTTCACTCAATTGATGAATTGATTTTGGCAGATCAACCACCTGCCAAGTTGAGGCAGTGATCAGATGAGGCATAGTGTCTGTCGTTATGACGAAGCAGAAAGGGGGGGAATATCTCAAAGGAAAAACAAGAGGAGGCGAAGGGGGGAAATCAAAAAATAGCGAGGGAGGAGCGCAAGGTTTCACATACATATAACCTTACAAACGACAAGACGATGGATAGATGGGTCTCGGGTCTGTCGCTAACAATCTTTTATCTAGTTGATGGGACAGCTTAACGAGTGACCACAACAATTAATGTTTTGGGCGGCCGCCTCAATGCCAACGGGGAAGTTTGCAGCCCGCAGATGCAGCGTCGCGGGCCTAAAAAATCCTCCTCGACATGTGGCGCGGAGGTGCAAGTGTGGTGAGAGAAAAAGAAAATGGAAAAGAAGGGGAGGAGGGGTGTTCAATCTCTCAATAGCTGCGCAGGATGAATCGCTGGCTACGGTGTGGAATGAATAATTTATATAAAGAAAGGAGAGGGAAAGAAGGGCAGGTTGGACAGAGAAGTACCCAGGGTGTTGGTATGTTTCAAGAACACAGGGCCTTCGTTCACTTAACCCTCTATACGGATCGAGCTATCATCGACACTATGTCAGGGACCAAATTGCCCTCAGTTAGCCCTCAGAACTACAGCCGCTGAGCCAGCTACAGCACGCCCACCCTCCCCCGGGCACTGAATTGGCAGGACAAGGTGTATATTTGCCCTCTAATGCTAATCCTTCTGGATCAATATCGAAGCTCGTGACACCTGCAATGGATCAGTGTGGAATTAGCTTCACCGGTCCGTCTTCTTCATCTTCTTATTACAAGCAATAACCCGCATGAGAATAACATGTTCATCCGAGCCCTATCTCGAATGTGGATATGAATTGAATCCGGACCGATATGTCACCAATTGAATGAAGATTGATTAAATCGTCTTATGCTTGAGCTAGCTATGAAAAACAATTGAAACAAACCTGGACCCATCAAGGGAAAAAAAGAGCTCAAAGGATCGAATCAATCCTTTTCATGGAATGTTTTTGGAAAGAATTCCTGCACAATTTATGACCTTCAAGGATGTCTGGAATTGAGGTGTTGTAGCTGCCATTCGGTTTTGAAAACTTTGTGAAAGCGACAGCCAGGCCAATCAATCAGTTAGAAAGTTACAAAGCAGTTTCCAGCTTTTGAATGCAGTAACTAATTCTTTATCAAGCTGCTTTTATCAGTAATCCTATCAACGGACTGAAACAAATTGTCTGTGCTAGTGGGGAAGGGATAATGGTAAGCAAGGCAACCTCTCGAAGACTCATTACTGTAGAACGGCAAAGCCAATTGACCACTTGGTCAGATGTTGTGAATAATTAATGCCGGATAAAACCACGATGATTTGCCAGGCCAGACCTATTTCTGATGGGACTCTATCTAAAGGCCATTATATATATATATATCTTTATATATATATATATACAATAATAAATCCGAGGATGGATGTCCGTTTATTGGGAATAAAAACATGACAACCAATATTCCATTGATTGACCCTTCCACACAAAAGTGAAAACAAAACGCTTGTTGCTTGCGAACAAGTTCTCCGCCTGGTGCCTATCTTCCGCAGATTTATTTCAGGCGGATGTTGTCAAAAGGGGACGGAAAGCAAGCTATGGATGTAAGCAAACTGGCCCCCAGCCCAGCCGCAAGCGGGCTGCATCGTGACGTCCAATTCTTTTTTAAAAAATGCGTTGATTGATAAGGAAAACGGCCCAGCGCCGTGGCCCGATATTGTAATTCTCACCCCAATTGGCCGGCGATTGAGTCATCATTCGAATCGCTGGTGATATCAAAACCAAAAACCGAAGTCAAATTTGAAGACCGGGAGCTTGTCATGATAAGGACGGACAGACCGATGAGTCGCGGACCCTGAGACATAAAATCAATGAGGTAAATATACGGCTTAGCGTTTGAAAATGAAACGCCGAAGGGGCGAAATGTAGGAAAGGGAGAAGAGGAAAAAGCCGTTACTTCATGCCGCGACTCTTCAAAAAAAAAAGTCCTTGTACACGCTAGAAATATAAATGGAAATCTCAATACCAGAGTTCAAATACACCCAGGCCACTCCCAGCAGAAGTTATGGAGCCATGATGCCTAACTTGACAACCAAGCTTTAGGGCATCCAGTCTCTAAACCCACACCAACTGGTCAGGGGGCCTGTCAACCGGGCTTGTGTAACATGCTTTTACCATATAAATTTCTAACCTGTGCAAGGATTTGTTTTCCCACGCGGCTCCGTATAGCTAACTGCGCTGTAACTACGGAATATGTCTGAGATATTTCGTTAATCGACAAGCAATCGGGTTCTGATTTCGTCCAATTATTTTCGCGATCCACGCCACCCTTTTCTTTGCCACGACTCTCTTGCAGACAGTCTGCGCAGTATTGAGCGAACGGGACAAGGCGCTAAAGTGTTAGACGGTCAATTTTCGCTCTTCGGATAGCTAGTTAGCTAACAATAGCACAGAAGCCCCGCTATCACATGTCAAATTGTGTCGGGGAGTCGGGGAGACAAGGGGCAAGCTGTCAGATCCTTGAGAGGGCCCGCGACATCGAAGACAAGAATCGCAAAGCACGGGTGTCGCATCTATGATTATTGATGACATTATTTCAGCTGCACGAGTCGCAATTAGTCCCAGACAAGCTCGGGGGGAAGATAATGAACGGAATGCCACATCTGCCCCAGGGTGACGTTTATCTGTTGAACTTTACGGGGATTTGTGGATGGTGTGATCCGTGCTGAGTTAGATTAGTGATTAGTTATTGATCCGAAGCCAATGAGCCAGCGATTGTGCTTATCGTCGAAAAAGAAACAGCAAAGGGAAAAGAGCCCTGCTAACACGCAATGCAAGATGTATCTGACAACTACGTTTGGTCCGAAGCACAATTATTCCGGAGAGCGGCACCGAACAATGAACATGGATTCAAACAGGAATTCGAGCTTCACCAGGGCGAGCATCCTGTTTGAGCCAGGAGGGTCTAGAATGAATTGGCGCTGGGCAATCTGAGTCTCTTAGCGTTGGATAGGCCAAAACTGATCCATTGGAGTGGGGATCCGCCACTATACATGCAATGCATGTCCATGTACTCCGTAGTTGCATCTCGAACGAGCTGGGCTCATTAGATGATATCACGTCTTGCCTATTCTGTTTGCGAGAATTCGTTATGATGGAGAAACAGATATCGATGTTCATCAATGGTGCTGGATGGGAGCCGGTGGGGAGACGCACCTCTGGAGGGAAGCTGGGAATAACAGTAATTAAAAAAAAAAAAAAAAAAAAAAAAAAAAAAAAAAAAAAAAAAACAAGCAACAAGAACCACGGCGGATCAACAATCGTAATTTATTCGAACATCACCGGTGATGAAGAAGCGGCAGACATGCACCGCACCGCCTGCGCAGACACTACTGGCACAGGAGAATGCGCCCTTGACGGCGATGCAGCGGAATATTATTTTTACTGCATCAAAGCTGCGGCCTGGCCACTTTCACATGCCTGCGATCCGGGCGATCAGTGGCTGGCAGCTCCGAACTCACGGACACGAACCAGCTGGGCCCTGAGGTGGAGAGCCCAGCAGAGTTTGAGAAACGACAAGGAAGATACAGATGAAGTCAACGGTGCGCGCAATCCTTGGTTCGGGAGAGTTAGTGCTGCTTCGGAAAGCTGGGAACGCAAGAGGGTTGGTTGTTCTGGGCACGTTTCCTTCTGCCTCTGTCTGGGCCTCGATTAGCTTCAAGCCGACAACGCACTACGAGAGCCTTGATCTTGCTGGATCTCTTTCCTTGTTCTTCTGTCGATATAATAATAACAGCCAGCTTCCCGCTTCCTGTCGCCTCTGCTGTTGTTTTCTTCTTCTTCCCGTCTACAGCTTACCTAGGAAACGCCCTCGTATCGAATAGTGTCCGATCTAATACCCTATAACATACATACTCCTTCATCGCCCTGACGTATTTCATCACTATCAATAGAGTCGGTATCTCTCTTTACATGTATTGCTTCATATGCCGTTGTGTAATTGTAACTGATTTCAGCAGGCGCCATCCCTCAACATGGGTGAACCCATCGTTAATGGCGAGAAGCCATCCTCCCAATTCCTTCATGTATGTCCCCTTTCTTTCCAAGATGTCCCCCTTCAACCTCTCTCCTCTCCAACCTAAACCTAACTAACCTCTTTCCGCCCGCAGCACCTTTCTACCTTGCCTGTAGGTTCCGACTCCCTCACTTATCTCAAGAACCACCCCTACGGCCAAAAATCCCTTCAACTCGCCGATCAAGGGTACGCCAACTACGCAAAGCCCGTCCTCCGTTTGTTCTCCAAGTCTTACAACTACGTCGCCCCCTTACGTCGCCAAAGCCGACTCCCTAAGCAATGAGGGCCTCAAGCGAGTCGAAAGATCGATTCCCCATCGTGAAGAAGGACACGGAGACGATCAAGGGTGCTCTCAAGGGCTACATCCATATGCCATTCCGTGTGGTCGAAGAGGGCAAGAAACATGTCCTTCAGGTTTATTCGGCGGAGTACAAGAACTGCGGCGGCGGCGAGGGCTACGTAGCTGCCGGCAAAGCAGTTATCACCACCGGCCTGACTATCACGTCTGAATCGCTGGAGTGGCTGCGAGCGTGCATCACCCGCGCTGAGCAGAAGGGGAGGGAAGGTGTCGAGGCTGTTTCGGAGAAGAAAGCCTCGAAGAAGTGACTGAGGAGAAGGAACCCCACAGAGGCTTGTCCCTATCCGCCTGCCGCCAGCCGCCAGCCGTCACATCTTAATGAACCTGGATGGCAAGGCGGGGGAAGTAGTTAACGAAAGAGGAAAAGAAAAAAGAAAAAGAAAAAAAGAAAATTTCTGCTTCCTCCTAGATTGAGAAAAAAAATGTCTGTGTTACCGCTCGTGCTACTTGCTACTTGCCGTATTGGATAGGTCAGTTTCTTTCTGTCATATGCAGGGTTTCTGGGACGTTTTTATTTCTGTTTAGGGTGACTTCTATATATATTTATATGCCCTCGACTCTATTCTTTCACTCATGCTGATGTTCCCAATTTTGGTCAGTTAAGGCGCACTACTGTTGATTGTCAATTTGTCGATCTGTTTGAAAATTTCTCCTTTCTCATACATTGTTCACGTCTGCCTGCTTCTTTCTTAGTTGTACCATAAAAAATGTGTCCTTGTTTGTTGGAGAATGCCGTCGCATTTATCTCGGCTTAATATATTGTTGACATACTCTCTTAGTTTATTTCATGTTATCAAATCTAACTTTCTGGGTATCGAATGGTATTTTTTTTTTGTCTCTTTCATGTTGAGCCTGTTTGCTTGTAAATTCATTTTTTCTTGAGACAATGTTCATAATCGATGATATCATCGAAACAAAAGGGATTGGATTGGGTTTTGTTTCATATTTGCATGTGAAATCTAAATATACATGTGAAAAAGGGGACAGATTTTAGACCTTAGTTAGACCTGGGAAGGAAACAAAAATTTGCCACTCATCGGAAAATGAAAAAAAAAAAAAAAAAAAGAAGATCTGGAAAAAATTTAGAAGGAAAAAGGAAAAAGGGAAAAATGGGTTTATTTACCTAGGTAGGAAGTTTTACCCTACTGTCAACAGAAGTTTATCCTAATTTTTTTTTTTTTTCTTTTTGCCCCCTCTCTCCTCTCCTACAAGAGAGAGGTAATGATACTAATTATAATTATACAGTTCCAACCTCCGCTTCCCATATGTAGTTTCCCGCCCCGCCCTTTTAATTAATCAAGCATTCCCGCGGTCCTGAGCGCTAACTTTGTTAAGCGAGCGGTTAAAAGACGTACTTTTAAGCTGGCGCGTCTAGTGATTGATTTGCTCTTGGCCTTGGGCCTTGGGGGGGAGTTGGGGGGAGCTCCCAGCAATCCACCACGCCCAACCTTCTAAACGGGGGGTTTCTACGCTGTGGTTTTTCTTCTTTAACGCTTTTGTTCTCACCTTGCCTTAAGTTAGGCTGTAGAGTACATGTACTGTATGTACTGTACATGTTACCGTGCAAGCTTCTTTTTTTTAATCAGTTTCACTGGTGTGAATGGCACATGCTATTTTTTGCTTGAGACCTCCTAGTGTAGCAGGCATGCTATCTTTACTCGCTCGGTCGATATTTTGTGTTGACGATCGTGCTGTAGCAAGAGGCCAAAAAGAAGAAGAAGAAGAAGAAGAAGAAGAAGAAGAAGAAGAAGAGGAAGAAGAAGAAGAAGAAGAAGAAGAAGAAGAAGAAGAAGAAGAGAGAAAGCAAAGGAAAAAAGAAGGGAGGAGGGGAGAGAAGATCATATCAAACCGAAAAGGGGGGGACAGGGAAAAATGGGGAAATAGAAAAACGAAGAATATACTACGCGAAATCTGCTACACATTTTCGGTATTCTACAATTGTGGAATGGGAGAAAAATTGTCGCCGGGGAAGGCTCAGTGAAACCAGAAACCAGAGCAGGGTTGAAGTAGCAAGATGTAACGCCTACGGTCTGCCTTGCCATCCTCAATCGGATGGCATGGATGTTGGCGTCAGCGAGAGGAAATGTAGATATCCAGCGGGGTGTAAGTCTGCTCCTCCGCGGACCATCTGCCACAACAGAGACTGGCTGTTCGGGGGTGAAATGCGGTGAATGGGACTCAGGGGAAAGCAGATTCGCTATCCATCCACATTCATGTCTGGAAATGATGATTCAATTTCATCATTCTGAAGAGGAGAGATACTTAAAAAGTTTCTTTCTCGTGGTTAGATGCTTGGGAGAAGTCTCATTGGGAACTGGCCGGCGAGATAATAATATCACACCGTTTGTTAGGCAAGGAATGATGTTATGGGAATCAACTTGTTCCCGAACATCGCCCCGCCCGCTAACTGACTTCAGAGCACAACTCATCATTATTAATTTATTGGCCCTGGACAGGCCGCGCGAAAATGGCCACAAGGCTAGGCTAGTCGTGAACAAACCACCCTGCGAGGGTGGAGTATCAAAAGGAGAGAAATTGCACCTTACGGCTTTTGATGGTGATAGGCGGCGTCCAAGTAGTGTATAACTATGTCACGGGTACTGTTCAGCATAGCAAAGGCGTAGACGATCGTACCGGTGGCGTGGAGGACAGGACCCCTACCTGCTCTGGAATTCCGCTCGGAGGGATTGAGGTGATATTGCGTCTGGAATCGGGCCAATCCATGGCTGCGTTGGATTGCCTCCGGTGAAGTATTTTGTCAATGACATAGCATCCGGGCACTGAACCGCCAGAAGATCACTGGCTTGCTCCGCCTTCTAGAACATCCTCCGAAAATTCCAGAACGATGCATGTCCGCAGAGCCGGTCGTATGTGGACCTCAGGATGCACATGAAGCTACCGACTATGTATGAACAAAAGGCCAATTTCAGCGCAAGGCGCAACGGTTTCCGCATTAACAAGACTGCTGGGCCTGGAAAAGGCTGACCCGGGCTGTTCGAACCGTTGGAAGAGTGGCAATGCTTGTTAGTTAGCAATAGTTCAACAACACACACTGCAAAGATTCGCTTTGAATCTCTTCGTGCCTGGCCCATGTTGATGTGTAAATTATGCGATTCCCCATTCAAATAATTGTGTCAGGCCACATCTTGACATACTCCACCATTGGCTTCCGCGCGGAAGCTTTGCAATACCGATGTTTCCCTGTAGTCAAGTGAGGAGGGTTATGTATGGTTTAGCCTGACCTTAGCTCCGGCTTATCCTATCCTGGGACAAGCACCAGTTGGGGGTCAGTCAGGGATTCAATTCTATCTTTCCATGAACCGATGTGGCTTAGACCTTTGGGAGATCAATTGAAGTCTGGTGTCATTGAAAAGGGAAGCAAGTCTTTACGTCAAGATATCTAATCGGCACGACACAATGAACACTGTAAGGAGACAAGCCAACCCCAGCAGTTAGTTAAGTAGAATAAGTTACGGAGTAGTCTTCTAGGTGCTCCAAGGACAAGGATAGCCATAAAACCTGTAGTAATAAAATCAACCTAACCCCTTTGGCTTGCGTCTCCTCAATTGGACCATTCACATCAAGCTAATCTCCAGGTAAGCGGAGCTACTGGCCTTCTATTCTTCACTGACCAAGGGCCGCTGAGACACGAAATGTTTATTGGCCATCTCGATTTACCACGCGCCTTGAAGTCAGCCCAGTAAACGAGGAATCTCCAGAATCGGCCGTTGCTGTGAGGGATGATCGCATGAGACTATGGCAGGAAAAGCTGCTCTCGTATTTCCTCAGGCTGGGGGCTTGAACGGTGCTGCTGTACATACAGAGGAGGCAAAGGCTACCAGAGAAACTTTTCCAACGGCTCCTGCAGCATGTGACGGCTTTCCAGATTAAATATAGAGCATTCATTGTTGTTATTCGACAGGATCCTCCAATTTTTTCCGGACCTCTTTGATCGAATTTCTCTGCTCGTTGGATGCGCATCCCTGACATGGGGCGGTTTTCGTAGTTTGCCTAAGAGGACCCATAAGCTATAAAAAGCTATAAAAAGCTGCCGCCGTCCCTCCAGGGCTCCGCATCAACGTTTGGCCCACCATCCACATCACTGCCAACGCTAGAACCCGGTGTGCCATCAACAAGAACAATTTACATCGAGATAATTGTTATTCGAATCAATACGCCCCCACAACGATCACAATGTCCTCGCAAAACTGGGATGAATCCGTCCCACTGGCGTCAAACCACAAAGCTCCATCAACAGGCCCACTTCCCAGCGACGTCGGCTTTCGACCTTCAAACAATGGGCTTGTGACTGTGCAGCCAGCCCGCCTCGAGGACCTGCAGCCAAGTTATGCTCAGGTCCTCAAGCATCCCGATGGCGACGCTAATGTCCACGGCTGGTATGCATCCATGAGTAAGTCAATATTACCACTTAACCGTCAGGCCGCCCTGCCCTCTTGAAAACATCAAGGTTGACGCCCAACCTTTCTTTTATCTAGTTCACACCTTGGGCGAAACCATTGGATTCATAGGCGCCATCCCTTGCTGCTTATGCTGCCCCAACCCCTTCAAGCCTATTGATCAGGGTGAAGTCGGCTTGGTGACGCGGTTCGGTCGCTTCGAACGTGCTGTTGACCCGGGTCTCGTGAAAGTCAATCCTCTCAGCGAGCATTTGACTACAGTCGACGTGAAGATCCAAATCGTTGAGGTTCCCCGCCAAGTTTGCATGACGAAGGATAACGTCACCTTGAATCTGACCTCCGTTATCTACTACCACATTACCTCTCCCCACAAAGCAGCCTTTGGCATCACAAATATTCGCCAGGCGCTTGTTGAACGGACACAAACCACCCTCCGCCACGTTGTCGGCGCCCGTGTGTTGCAGGACGTCATCGAACGCCGGGAGGAAGTCGCCCAATCGATCGGAGAGATCATTGAGGAAGTTGCTTCGGGCTGGGGTGTCCGAGTGGAGTCGATGTTGATTAAGGATATCATTTTCAGCAATGAGCTCCAAGAATCTTTGTCAATGGCTGCACAATCTAAGCGTATTGGAGAGAGTAAAGTTATCGCTGCTCGCGCAGAGGTGGAATCAGCCAAGGTTCGTAAAACCCATTCTGCTCGTACCTCTGCGTTTTACTTTGATAGTTTGTTTCATTCAACTAACGACGTTACACCCTATAGCTCATGAGGACCGCCGCCAACATCCTCTCTTCCGCTCCCGCTATGCAAATCCGATATCTCGAAACTATGCAGGCAATGGCTAAGACCGCCAACAGTAAAGTCATCTTCCTGCCGGCTATCAACCAGACCGTCCAGGAACAACTCCGAACCGCTGATGCCGCTGGAGAAGGCCCAAGTCAGTACGGTCAGAATTACGAAGGGGACGCTGACGGCTTTCAACAAGCAATGAAAGCCCGCGTGGTCGAGGATATTTAGAGGTTTGCACGATAATTATTGTCAATATCGTGATCACTCCGTGCCGATGTTGGCGGATGGAATGGAACGTTCTAAGGCCTAGCTCCATCCCTCTTCTCCCCCTTCCCCCATGCCCCCTCTCCGCCCCTATTCTTCCTCCGTAAACAGCTTCATTGATTTTATGCATTCTTAATTCTCAGCAACCCCCTTCTATTTCTCTTTTTCCTCTGGAACGGTCTATTCTCCAGCTCTTTTCAGATTGCAGCGATACCCTTTCATGATTTGAGTTCTTTACTGTCTACGCTCGTTTTTGGCTGCCTCCCTCTCTTCTGCTTTTTGTTTTGGTATGTGCATATGTATGAATGACTTTTCTCCGCCCAGTGTACACTTTGTATTTAGCTGCTCAATTTGGTTTTTTTTTATTTTTTTATTTTATTTTTTGAAACTTCGCTCCTAATTTGGATTATCCTCCTCTCCGCTCACAAGATTGGAAAAATTGCGGGGGGAGGCTGCATTAAACGCGAAGCCAATATATAAAAATACAGGCAAAATTCCTGAGAGAAAAAAGAAAAAAGAAAAAAAAAGAAAAAAGAAAAATCGGTCCGTCAAGCAAATTAATGTCTCAACATTTCTCCGGATTCTCCTTCTTTAAACCCCGCATATCGTACGTACTTAGTACTCATTGCACTGTCCATGTTTGTGCGACACTATATATAATAATCGTCATAACTCAAATCCGTCCAGTCGTTCTCAGCCCAATTGCTGCTGTTATGGTTGATTTGATTTAATTCGATTAGTTATTATTCTTTGATTGTTGCTTGCGTCGCTGAGGCCTCCCTCTAGGTATATACATACATACCTAAGTAAGTACATACATTACGGTACCTACTATCTATGTTTTTGAGGGGTGCAATTTGTAGTAGTTCTTTGCTTTTGGGCTTGATTTTCCGCCTTTGATGCAGGGCTGTTAAGATGGAGAGAGAGAGAGAGAGAGAGAGAGAGAGAGAGAGGCGGGAATGACACAGACATTTTTGATCGAAACGTCGTGATATACAACCAATCAATCGAGAATTTTAAAGACGTTTCAACGGGAGCTTGTACCAACTGGTGTATATAGGGATGCGCGATGCGACGACCTACCTAGCCCTTTAGTGGTCGGCAGCATGTGTTCCCAGTTCAGAGACAAGGGGCAAAGAAAAGGATGACGATGACAACCTCCGTTTAGATTGAGAGAGAACGCTTTTGCTTTTGGGGGAAGAGGAGAGACCAGGCGCCAGCGACTGCACTGGAGGTTGCGGGTTGGGTGAGCGGTTGCTATAAAACTTCTTTTGCTGCAGTCAAAGCAAAGGTTCCCATTCGTCAGCTCCACTTGGTCAACTATTTTTTACTCGTACTCATACAATATTGAGGAAAAAGGAATCAACTAAATAATGTATCTTTATAAGGAAAAAACACCCTTTTACCCCGTCCAAAAATGGAATTTCGCCTAGCCAAAAATCAAATACTCAGACGTGATACAGGAATGAAAGAGAATAAGAATAAGGGAATCAATCAACAGCTGGTAGGAGCAAAAAAAAAAAAAAAAAAAAAAAAAGTTGATCATAAAAGCAATCAATACAGACTCCATATATAAACTCTCCCTAATAAACCGCGACCTTATTTTGCTTCTAGAGCCGTGGCTGTCTGACCGCAATGTATTTGTTCCAAGTACATGAACTGAGGACATGCCTGGCCCAACACAATAAAAGGTCGTCCGTCTGTGGCAGAGAATTCCGTTTTGTCACTTTTTCTATAAAGCCCTCCTTCCTTCCGTGTCCCTGCATGGTCCTACCGCCCCGGTTTCGCAAGCATATACCTCACCGCTTCCGCAGCAACAGGCGTATCCCAAGCACTATTCGCTCCACCCCGTCTGAACTCCGGTCCGCTCCCATCTTCCCCGCCGCCGCGTGTCGCTTCACCCATGATAACTTCCAGATCGCGCTTCTGACTGCTCGTCCAGCGCCTGATGAAGTTGGCCGGATCCTGACTCAGCGATTGGAAGAACGCATGTCTAGCCTTGGAATGGGTGAGTGCCTGGACAACGACGGCGAGTTGGTCATCGAGCGCGGAGACTTGACGGAGCATGTTGGGGTAATCTGTGGCCGTTGTGATTGAAAGCATTTTGGCGCGCAGCGGATCGTCTACGGCCACTCGGATATCGTAGACTGTGGGCGTTGGGTTTTGGTGGAATTCCGGATCGACGCGAACTGTGTAGGGAAGTTTGATGGGGTCTAATGGGGAGGTGTGTGCGCTGGCACTGTCGGGGATGGCGGGGAAGAACATTTTGTCTCGGTTGAAGAGCTGTAGATGTCTTAGTTAGTCTGTTGATATTAAGGGGGAATAGAAGGTCCACAGAATCTGGAGTTATATGGAAAACAGTATAGATGCTTTTGACGTACAGCCTTCAAACGGTCATCGCATCGCACTGCCCTTTTATCTTCATTTTCTTGAAGATCCATTGCTTTTATATACTCCCATATGCCCACGACAATGCCGCCGCGTGCTTCTTCGTCCGTATCCAGGATGGATGCTAGCTGCTTGCTCAGTCTGAAGCGCTCTGGGTTTTCGTCTCTTACGAGGCTAATTGTGGCATTGAGGTTGACTTCCGCAGCCCGGGAAAACTCAAGAGAGTCAAAGTCGGCGCTGGGTGGTAATGACACAGCACCGGCCGGTATGAGAGGTTTGGTCCAATTGATAGTCGCTAGATCTGCGACGCCAGAGGACACATTTGTATCAAGTTCAACCGTGATTGACTTGAAAAAATGGGAAAGGCGCTTTCGTTGGGGTAGAGAGTGTTTCTTGGTCTGGTTTTTCTGTTTTTGCGCCGAGTCCTCCTCCATCACATCCGGATCATTCTGGCCATTCGTCTTGGTTTGTTCGTCGTCGCTATCACTTTCTGAATCAAAGGTATCGGATTGGTCATCAAGCAACTTCCCTTCGATCTTCACCTTGTAACGCCCGCTCCCAGATCCACAATTGCCATTCTGGCCCATTTCTCTCTGCCATGGCTGGTTTTCCACCGTATTCGAGATCCATATACGCAACGTTCGGAATCTTTTCACAGATCTATTGACGGAATCTTGAATATCCAATCTTTTCCTCACCATAGCTGCATCCAGGCGTTTTTCGACCTCCCGCAAACTTTTATATTGCGCGACACCATCACCTATGATTGACTCCTCCACGCCATCCGGAAGATTCTTGTCTGTTGGTTTCCGACTCCGTCGCAAGGCGGCATCAATAGGATTGGGGACATTGCGCTGGGTGAGTTGAGGGTTTGGAACTGGAGCTGCGTGTTGTTGGATGGGGACCGGCATCATGGCGCCTAGGATTGGGAGGCAAATTAATATATACAGGCTTGTAAGAAAAAAAAAAAAAAAATAACAAAAATAAAAGCAAGTGTCGCGTGTAAAATGGGATATTAGATTGAAATAAGCAAGAAACAACGAATCAAACGGATCAAGAAGCGAAACTCACCAGGGATGGGAACAGCTCTACGCGGAGTGGCAGGTGGACGATGCTGGGTGGCCTGGGGATAGCCACGGTAGTTGGGCTGCATCGCAGCGTTCATGACTCTTGGTCTAGTCGGTTGCTTGGGTTGAACTAAAGGCACCGAAAGAAGCGAGCGGACCAGCAAATAGGAGGGGCTAATTAAACGGAAATGTGGATGTTTTGCTTATCGACTATTATCCTTCAGGCGAGCCTTGACTTTGAGCTTGTTCAGGAGAAAAAAAGTGTTTGCTGTGTTTGACAGCCTCAGCACGTGAATGGCTTATTCATCAATCGGACCACCTGCCCAGGGCCACAGCAGATGAGGAGAATCAGGTCAACGACCTTGGGCACATTCATTCTTACTGTTATGTGCTTGCTCCTCTTCAAAGTAGAATAAAATACTCTGGGCCATGTACTAGTAGTTATCGCCTACCAACATACAGCGTACTCCGTACTCTTGGAGAGGTTAGCTAGCTAATTGCTTGGTCTTGCGCTGTTTATCCACTGCTTGGGAAAGATGTTGAGCAGGCTAGTTCTCCACATCGCATCGCTGCCTCCACTGATTGATGCACTGCCTCATTCTTGTCTATAAATGTCCTGTTTGTATGATGGATGGCAAACCCTTCAGCATCTTTCGACATACAAAAGCACTGCAATATATCCTTTTTGGCCCTCATATTCATGTTAAAGAAGGGATGCAATACCCAACCAATAAGTCAACTCAAGGCTCTCATATTCTTACCGATGCACCACGATGGACCTAGATCATAAAGGGCCGCCACCTGCCTTCTATGATAGCAGCTCACCACACCAGGCGGAGTCGTCTCCTCCAGATTATGAAACTCTTGTTTCCCGTACTCCTTTTCCCCTGAGCCAAACACCCAGCACCCTTGGTCCGGCAGCACCCACAATCCTCACCATCGATGGCAAGTACATTTTCTCGTCCAAGTGTCCTGACCGCCCACTCTATAGTCTCTCTCATGAGCTGGACGGTCATGAACTAGGGACTGGCATACTGGTAACGCGACTAGGAAAGAAGAAGCGGGACCTTGATAGTATATCTCAGAGATATCAAATCCCTGGGAGTGATGTCTCCAGGCAGGATGTATTTGCTCTCCTGAAAACAGCACAACTTTTTTCCTCCAATGGGGGGTTGCTCATAGATGGACGGAAATGCCCTTCCGACAAACTTGGAAAAATGAGCAAGTGCATGACAAGATACGGTTTCGGATGGACAGCTCGTGGAGACGGCTTGCCTTTCTTGGAAGCTCGGCCAACTCTCTTTGCGGAGAAAAAGCAACAAAGTGACCCGGATGCTAGTGGAGAGGCCAATGGGCGATATTATGAATGGAGACTAAAAGACAAGGTAATAAGGCTGAAAGACAAAGCAGAGGACAGAGAGGAGACGCTCCTTGCGATCGAGACCAGAAGACGCTGGGACACTGAGAATAAAGTGGAAATTACTAAACCAACACTGGAGCTAAAAACAGATGTTGATGCTCTGGAGTTGCAGGTCCTCGATTTTTTCGTTGCTGCGTGGTGCATGCACAATTGGCGGGAAGCAAGAGACATCACAAAGGAGTCTTTGACATGGAACGAGTGTAAGTATCGCGTTGGATTACTCATGCATCCAGTTTCTATTCTCCATTCCGTTTGTCCCATACAGTTTGAACTGACCTGGCTGTCGTGGACCAGTTATTGTGGCGGACGTAAAGCTTGCGAAAACAGAATTTTCTGCCACCCCCTGAAAAATAGTAGCAAAACACCGCAGAAATAACCAAAATATCCACGTATCTCTAAAATCATTCAAATATCATCCAATCCATTCAAATACGCACCTTTATCATCAAATCTGCCAATATGCCCCCCCAGCTCAGCGAATTTACCACCAATGAGATCGTACGCCTTCTAAATGATGGTTATATGCCTGCTCAGATTGCGCGGACCATTGAGTGCAGTCTGGCCACTGTATATCGAATCCAACGAAATATTCGCTGCTTTGGAACTGCTAGAAGTCCTCGTTCAACATGGGGTGTAAAGCCAAAGATCACACCGGATATCTTGTCAGGTTTGGAGGACTTTTTTGAGGCATATCCAACTGCATATCGCGATGAGGCTGTCTGCTTTGTGAAGGATGAATTTGATGTTGATATCCACCCTCGATCGATATCTAGATTGTTGAAGAAACTGAATTTGACATGGAAGAAGGTGATTAATTATTGCAATTGTCACTTATAGAACCTGCTAATCTGTCAGTTCTATTTGATATAGGTTGAACCTGTGGCCAGTCAACGCAACGAAGAACTTCGAGCTGAATGGCGTATTCAAGTTACTCAGTATCAACCTGATCAACTTATCTTTTTAGATGAGAGTGCTGCGAATGAACGTACTGCAGATCGACGATATGGATGGTCAAGCAGAGGATTCCCTTGTCGCATTAGAAGGCCCTGTAAACGATCTCGCAGATGGTCAATCTTACCTGCAATAAGTGTCGATGGATATCTTGATTATGATATATATCAGGGGTCCTATAATACAGAGAGGTTCAATGAGTTTGTACGTGTCCGGATACTGCCCAAATGCCAATGAGGTTATCACTACTTAGTGATGGATAATTGCTCTTCTCATCGTTCACAAGCACTGCGAGATCTCTGCAGAGAAGCTGGCATTGGACTTTTATTCTTACCTCCATATTCTCCTGATTATAATCCTATAGAGGAGTCATTTCACGCGTTGAAAGAATGGATTAGAAGATACAGATGTCAGTTAGAGAATCAGTTTGATGGAGATTTTGAAGCCTTCTTGCATCATGCAGTTGAGAATTTCATGGGAGAAGAAGATGCAAGAGGATATTTCAGATCGGCTCATATAGGATAGTATTGTAAAATTTAAAAAGATTCAGATTACAATTCAATTATGATGATATATAATATCTAAGTTTCAAATTCAGAAGCAGAAGCAGTATGAAGTCTGCTGTCATCATTACAAACAGCAGATAAAGACAATTTAATCTCCTTCAACTGTGACTGCCAGATAGAACTCTTTAACCCATTTCTTATTATCGAGAATATACCCATTCCAATATTCAACTGAACCACCTGCTCATTTGTCATTGTCCGTATATGATCCAGTTCAAATCCTTCATTCTGAATAATGCTCTTTGCAGTTAAAAGAGCTTCTGCTCTTCGAGGTCTCTCTGTCATCAACCAGTTGAAGAACTCATCAATAAACAGATCCGCGTGTTCACCAAACTGAGGGATTGGACTACTTCGAATAGGAGGCAGGTTCGGATTCGATGGCAGGTTCGGATTCAATGGCAGGTTCGGATTCGATGGCAGGTTCGGATTCGATGGCAGGTTCGGATTCGATGGCAAGTTTGAATTTGATGGCAAGTTTGAATTCGATGACAAGTTTGAATTCAGTCCTCCCATGCCTCCCATTCCTTCCATCATATATTTCATCACCATCACATTGATTATCTCACTTGGAGACACAATATTAGATGAAGAAGGAGTTGAGGGAGATATTGGATACGATAGAAGCTGACAGTCATATCATTTGTTGTGACATTCCGTAACTTGATCTTTATAGGCTCCTTTATCCCATTGATAATCACCCGTTCATACAGCTGAATGAGATCTCAGGCTCAGGGGTAGGTGTTCGCAGAAATCGAGGATCTTCTGACTGTGTCTCCTCCTCCTCCTCCTCCTCCTCCTCCTCCTCCTCCTTATCCTCCTTCTCATCATCAGTTGGATTCTCGTCATTATCCGGAACATCCGGAACAGGCGGTTTGGACAGACGAAGGCGCAGGGTAGTTGGAGTCCTTTTACGAGCTTGCGAGGCAGTAGAACGGTGGGTGTTGCGGGGCATATTGGCAGATTTGATGATAAAGGTGCAGATTTGATGATAAAGGTGCGTATTTGAATGAATTGGATGATATTTGAATGATTCTAGAGATACGTGGATATTTTGGTTATTTCTGCGGTGTTTTGCTACTATTTTTCAGGGGGTGGCAGAAAATTCTGTTTTCGCAAGCTTTACGTCCGCCACAATAAGGAGCAGGCTAAAGTGACGAGGAGGAAAAATGCGCGAATAAAAGGCACTGAGGAAGCAACTGTGATTCGACCTGTTTCGACAAGGGGGATTTATTACTCCAAGGGCCTTGGCCTTCAACTCATGGCACTCGCCATAATCACCTACAATGGACCGTCGGGTATCGTTACATGACATGGTTATTGTATCTATCAAGAAACTCGATTTTACGTTGAACTCTGTTAACCCAAGGTTTTTCATGTTAGCATCCGTTTCTCACTGTTTAAATAGGCCATATTGAATTTCCTAGTTTTCTACTTTTTCCATTTTATTTTCAAACGCCCTCACCTCTGTATGCACATTTTTGCAAATAATTGGCTGCACATCTTTATTGGTCTTGACAGTGCACTTATGTCTTGCTTTTATTTCTTTCTGGTCTTCCATTCTATGTGCTATTTGATGTAATGTTTGGGCCATGCAATTCCTGAGAGTGCAGTGAAACAGATATCTCCGACCGCGATGACGTTCAGGATAGTCAAATCCTACCACCCAGTGGAGCCTGCTAAAGGTTCCCCTAACATCTACCTATGTCTACCATTGGTCCTCCTAGGATTGTTTCGAAACAATGGAAGTCCTTAACAATTTTTGTCCGTTGTTTTTGGTTTCAGAATATTTTCTCATCCTTCCCTCCTCGGAATTTTTCACCAAGGAAGATTATATGATCATTTATTTAATCATCAACCATATTAAGCTTGTAGCTATCTAGGAGGGGTATACCGCGGGATGGGAAAAAAAAAAAAAAAAAAAAAAAAAAAACTCGGAGGAATTTTCCACCTCCCTTTCATACACAAAGGTAGCATGCAATGAGCAAAAACAATCTAAGTCAAAATTTAATTCACCTCCTTTTCCGTTCAATCAACCTCCATAGCTTCCACCACGACCCCTTTACCACCTCTTTTTGCCCGCACATACCCAACAAACTCATCAATAGCACCCGGCCACGCGCCATCCTCGCTCCACCAGTCGAACGTTTCATCCTCCTTTGTCTTTCTCATAAACACCTCGACCTGTTCCCATAAGTCTTTATTGACAGGTCTCTTCCAGCTTTCCTCAACGAACTCAATCCACCAGTCGAGCCAGGGCGTGCTGCGCGTGTTCCAGTTGATACCACCATTGGTAGTTGTAAAAAAGAGTCGCCACTGCTCCGTGGCTATATCGAGAGTGAGGTTGCGCTGACCCGCTAGACGGCAGATGATGAAGGTGTAGCGATATACGCGGCGGAAAAGGTCGGGTTCGTTTGGGATACGGGCGCGAAGCATGGATGCGTAGGAGGCTTGTTTCGAAATCGTGTCGCAGCTTTGTTTGGGTTAATAGCTAGATACATGGAATGGGGGATTTGAAAGAAAGAGCACAATGGACGAGAGAAACGAAGGAGACGATGATAACGAACAAAAACAAGAAAGGCAGAATGGGATATGACGCATTTTAGAGGACTAGGGCAACACACTTAATGTTTTTCCAACCGTCAACAAAATTTTCTCTTGTGAATTCGCCCATGGATGGAGACCGTAGGTGTTCTGCGATGGCGAGACAAACAACCTCGTCTAATTGTACTTGAATGTCCCCTAAGTACCTAACAGCACCTTCAATCCCAATGACATCTGGATTTCCTACAGGATCATCTATATAAAATTCTCAGAAGGCCATCATTTTGTTGTATGTGGAGACATCGGTTAAAGGAACAGACATACCGCGATAGCTATCAAATAGCTTGTTGAGTTCCGCAACCGCATTATTAGAACCGCTGTCTGCTGATTTCTGATAATACCTGTGGAAGGAAATTTCAGTAAGCAGTGGCAACATGATTTCAGGTCAAGGAACAAGAAACAATAAACGGAAGAACGAATAATTGACAAATAAGCAAAATATTGGAGTGAATGGAAATGAAAGAGATTCCGGATATCGACCAGACAGGAACAAAAATGGAAATGGGCATAAACCGAACGAGGCCAATATCCCATCCCAAGTCACCCAGGCGTGTAAACGATGTATGTAGATAGCGGGTAACGCCTAGAAGCCAGCGAAGTGAAGAATTACACTGTCAGCTCCATTCCCGCATTTTGCCCGGGGAATAAATATGGATTCAATAGGACTAGGAAATGGTGAAGGTGAAGATTCGTATAGCACGAATGGATTTTGGTTATTCATTTTCTCTCCGCTGCGTACTCTGAGGGTTATGGTAAAATGATTGGGAAGAACGTGTCGTAGCCAGGCGCGGTTCTTATAAGGCAACGCCCCAATCCATCGGCTCTGGTGGATGTACAATCCATCAAATATGGCTCAATGAAACGAAGAACCCCAGATGGTACGAGAGGAAGAAAGGGAACTGGCTGCTGACGAGGAGCTGATATATCAAAGGGTGAGACAATTTGTATGCAAGCACATGAAGTATTGATAAAGGATTGCAAAAGCGGCGAAACGACATGTACGGGAAATGTCATCTGTGATATGAATTGAAATAGCGATTTGCCGTGAAGCATGAGGTACATTCACTTGAACCAAGTTGGTGATGGAAGCCTAAAGCCTAGCACCGATATCTCCAAGAAATAACTTGAAGAACGACTTAGTAGAAGGACAATGCAACGCCTTCCAGCAGCTGACTCGCTAATCGTACTTTCGTTTTCGATTTGCCCCTACAAAGGGCTTTTGAGTGTTGTGTATTTAGAGAAACTTGCCTGCAGGAGGAATGCTTTATTCTATGGCATGCAACAGGATTGTTCTGACGAAAATGGAAAGGAGGAAAGGAAACCCAGAGAATGTCCGTCCAAAACAAACGAGAATATGGAGTAGGAGAAAAACCATGGATATCACCTACGCGTCTACAGCACGTTCAACATTCCATCCGTTTGATTTGAGAAACTGGAAATGAGTCAGTATGCCGACAAGGGAGCAATAGTAACATAATACATATTGACTGATAAATAACAAGGCTCATTATCGACACATCAAGGAGAAAAGTCAAAGATCCAAAAAGGAAATAAAAGAAAAGAAAGGAAAAGAAAAGAGAAGAAAAGAAAAGAAGATGAAAATGAAAAAAGGCAAGCCATATGACGTACCTTGCCAGCAACATCTCGGGCGCCAGTGATACCAATAAACTGTGATATCATTTGTTTCTGGCTTGGTGAATATAGCGATGGCATCTTGGGAGACTTCAAACCCGTATCTTCTTTAATCGATGTTAATCAACTAAGGGCAATCTCTGTCTGACCGAAAGAATCTCGAAAGGCGGGGGTGGGGTTGTAGGAACGCTCTAGATGTGTGAGGGAAATGGATGTTTACGAGGTGTCCGATATAAAAGCCGTCAAGCAGATACACAAGAATGGTGGTCAGTATATAAATAGTTCGAGTTGTTGACCAGCGGTTTCAGCCTTGTAGATCGCCTCTGTTGTTGTCTTTCTCTTTCCTGCGCCGCATCTCCGCGAACATTTGGACGGGATTACCCGAACGAAGCGCGCGGCTAATTCCCAGCTTAATTCGACCTCACGTGGACATAAGCCCTGAACAGGCAGAATGAAACCAAATATTCCGAATATATTTATTAGGCCCAATGCATCTAGAATATTTTCACTATCGATGATTACTCTAGGCTACCATTTAGATTTGGTGGTAGGCACCAGAAACCAATGTCTCTCTAGCAGTGAATCTGGGAACTTTCCGATTCTAGGCACGACATGAGCGTAGTGGGTTAATCAACACACATACGTAATTAAAATGAACTTGAAGCTATAGATTTGAGTAAAAGTGGACACAGAACAAAGACGGAAGCCTGGAAAGTAACAAATGCGACAATCAGAAGTAGACACAAGTAAACGCCAGGATTTTTCCACCGGACCAGGAAACGAATAAAAACAGAGAATAAATCTAAGAATTGTTACGTGGTAAAAAGTGTATCCTCCTGTTTATGATGTTAGAAAAATTCTCTCGCCCAATATAGTTGGCCAGGTGACCATAGATATGTCCCGAAATGTATTTATGCTTCTTACCTCTCTGAGATACTCTCCTATATCTGCCTGCCTAAATGTTGCAATGCTTGTGGAGTCAAGCCTTCGTGCTTCCGCTGTTGATCGAGCGGTGACTCCGAATCCCTATTGTACACGAAAGCGTAATGAGCAATCACCCAGCCAATAAACAAAAGACATGGTATATGTCCAAGACGATCATGGTTATAACGTACTAAAGGCGTGTCATCCATCGAATACACTACCACACCTGAGTGTTCCGGACAGTCTTCACTCCACCGCCCAACATGCGCTTTCACAATATTCCCTCCGTATAGGAATGGCATCTCCCCGTTCGGCTTGATCCAGACCTTGTATCTCGCATGCGGTGCAATCACGTCCAACGCAGTAATATGTAGTCTGAATTTGCCCGTCTTGGTGAATTTCCCGATGCAAGTACCTAGCGAAAGAAGATTTTCGCGAGGCACTGCCGTGGCCAGGTTGGCTATCGATAGGCGCACATAATATACTCGGGAGCCATGGAGGCGGAAGACATGGCGGTCATCTGCTGAAGACTGGTCGCCTTCTGTGGCAGAAGAGGCGGGAGGTGCGATTAAGTTATTCAGGGAACGGCCAGTGTAGTTTGCGAGCTTGGAGAAAAGGGTTTTGGTTTCTGTCTCCGTGAGGGCGCGCATGGCAGCGGGATAATCTCTCGGAAGTACACGCTCCAGAGATAAGGGACCCAAGGAATAACAAGCTCTGGTGTTGAAGGAGATCCTAGAGCTGTGGGAATCTTTTTCTGCAAATAAAATTTCCCCGCTAGCGTGAAGTCTTGGCATTTTCAGTCCTACGAAATTATTTTTTTCCTACCACAGCAATACTAGAAAAGATGATAAATGCTTGCGACGAACACAACTACCCATGGCAACCGGACATGCATTTAAACGAAAAAGGCTCAGTTTGTCTAAGGATGGTGATTCACATACACCATTTACGAATGGCTCCTCTATGAAGGATTTCTACAGCCGAGCTGCAGAGTGGAATCTCGAACAGGATTACGAGCGCCGGCCGCGTAAAACGAGCAAACGAGATAAAGAGAAAAACCGTCTTCCGATTAAAACTGCGGAAGGGACGATAGAACATGTTTCAGAACCTATTGTGGAAGATGACTCGGAAGATTTATTCGATTCGGACGAAGATGATGTGGAGGAACAGCCAGAGGCCGAAGTTGTTGAGCAGTCAAAACCACATGTGCCTGCTAAAGTCCAAATTCTAGAGGCAAAAGAAGAACTGGCAAGGATCGCAGAGCTTATCAATGAGGATCCAGAGGAGCATACCGGTTTATTTAAAAGGTTGGCAGATATGGTATCAGAGACCTCGCTTCCCGCAGTGAAAAAGCTAGCATTGGCGACCCAAGTGGCTATATATAGAGACGTGATTCCTGGCTATCGGATAAGGCCGTTAGGCGAGGACGACATGACGACCAATGTTTCGAAGGACGTACGGAAACTTCGTAATTTTGAGCAATCGCTTCTCGCTGGGTATCAGAACACTGTCAAGATGTTAGCTTCGTTCGCGAAACCACAGACAAAGGAAAGTGTTGATACAGAAGGCTTGAAAGCTGTTTCAATCAATTGCGCATGCAGTTTGCTTATTGCTGTATCCCATTTCAATTTTCGGGGTGAGCTGCTAAAGATTCTGGTTTCGCAACTTGGTCGGCGGAAGGTCGATGACAACTTCGTGAAGTGTCGCGAGACAATAGAGAAGCTCTTTGCCAATGACGAGGATGGGATCGTGTCCATGGAAGCGGTCAGCTTGTTGTCTAAAATGATGAAAGCTAGAGACTACCGTGTTCACGACAGCGTGTTGGATACCTTTTTACACCTGCGTCTACTTTCCGAATTCTCTTTAAAGGGCTCAAAGGATACCATTGATAGCCACAAGAGCGACCAAACAATTAAAGGGAAAAAGCCAAAGATGAAGCGTGAGTTTAGAACTAAAAAGGAGCGAAAGCTGTTGAAGGAGCGAAATGCAGTTGCAAAAGATATGAAAGAAGCAGACGCCCTCGTCAGCCATGAACAACGGGATAAGATGCAAGCAGAAACCCTAAAGCTGGTATTCGGCACGTATTTCCGCATTCTCAAACTCCGCAGCCCAAATTTAATGGGTGCTGTGCTCGAAGGCCTTGCGAAATACGCCCACTTAATCAACCAGGACTTCTTCGGAGACCTCCTTGAAGCCTTGAAAGAACTCCTAGCGCAAGCTGCCACCTCCGATTCTTCTGAAACCGCAGATCCCTCGGATACCATTAATGGACCTGATTCCCTCGAAGAAGTTGCTACAAGAAGTATAACCCGCGAAGCGCTCCTCTGTTGCATAACTGCCTTCGCTCTTCTAGAGGGTCAAGATGGCAGCAAAGCTGCCTCCACACTGCACCTCGACCTCAGCTACTTCATGACCCATCTCTATCAATCTCTTTATCCCCTTTCTTTACATCCAGAAATCGAATACAACCCCAACAAATCCCTACATCTCCCTGACCCATCCTCCTCGCTTCCCGAACATGCTCAAACTAAGACCAACAACAGAGTGAACTTCCAAACTCCTACAGTTCTTCTCCTGCGCTGCCTCCAATCAACCCTCCTTGCCAAAGGTACTAACGCGGCCCCTCCAGTCCGCGTAGCAGGCTTCACGAAACGGCTCATGACCGCCTCGCTACAGTTGCCGGAGAAGTCATCGCTGGCTTTGCTCTCGTTATTAACTCGTGTAGCGAAGCAGCATGGGCGGAAGATCGCGCCGTTGTGGAATACTGAGGAGCGTCGGGGGGATGGCGTCTTTAATCCGCTGGCTGAGACGGTCGAGGAGAGCAATGTGCTTGCAGGGAATGTGTGGGAGGGCGAGTTGTTGAGGTTGCATTATTGTCCGAAGGTTCGGGAGGCTGCGAAGGAGGTTGAGAATGTTGTTGCGTCGGTGAAGTAGCGGAGGCGTATTGGCGGGGTAAATAAGAGTTAAGTCTTAATATTGTGATTAGAATCATGGGTTATAGATTTCCCTCCATATTTACTACCAATCGAGTGGTGTTGCTTATCGTGTGCGTTATTTGAATAACTGGTCGTTGCTAACTTACCTTGCCGAGAGCCTAAAATGAAGTCGAGGGGGAGAAAACGATGGAGATAAAGAAGCCTGGAGAAGCTACAGTCGAAATATCGAATTCCATGCGAGTGCCAAATTAATCTTATTCAATTGAATTTCGAACAATTAATTCCAACACCATATCCACATAGGACCATTCCACGACCAGAGATAAACTCACAAGTTGAAAAAAGACAGAAAACCGGAAATAAACTACTGAAAGGGCTGAAGAAGCGAGTGCACATTCCGTGTTATTCACGACATGTTCGAAACAAAAAAGAGAAAGATTGAATATACGACCAGAGATGAAAAAGAAAAGCTGGAAACTTCACAAGCCGAATCCAGACTATCTTATCACACTGTCATGATCATTGTGTGCTTTAGTTTGGTGGGCCTTGCATATCGTTATTTCCCTGAGGATTCACCTGGTGGTACCAATTCGAAACGCCTGCCCATGGCCTATGCGCGTTGAACTCAGTGTTGGCAGCAGGCCATTGCCCGACCTCAGGACTGCTGCCGACGTTTTGGGTCCCATGAAAACGATGAAAGCCTACTTGGGAGTATCCCTGCCCCGGGTGTCCTGGAGGCGATCCGTAATTGGGGCTAAAATCGCGATGTGGCATGTAACTCCGGTTTGAAGGCACTGCCCCGTCACGCGTGGAGGTCTGGTTGTGCCTCATGCTAAATTGACGGTGAGGGTATCCTCTGTATTGCCCAGAAGCGTGCGCATGAACACCATGTGTTCCTGGATTGCGGGAGGAAGGTTGAATTTGGGATTGTGCTTCATAGCCGCCATGTGTATACACCTGCGAAGCAGCTGACACTGGCTGTTGCTGTCCGGTAGAGTTTGGGGTCGCAACTGTGTGGCAAAAAGTTAGCAACTTTTTGCGGAGTGCAAAACGAATGCCTTGGAGCTTCTCACATTTCCTGCTGCCACTCCCGCTCGCGCTGCCACGTCGACTCATTCCACCGTTGTGACGTTTCCAGAAACCCCTTTTCTGGCTCGTTGGTGGGCCGTGCCAATTACTAAATTGTTGTTGACCTTGGTCCTGCGCCGTATCCCCTCTCACCGAAGGGCTTGTCTGGGAACGTCTTCTTCCCATTGGTCCTCCAACATTCTCTTTGCCAACATCGTTTTCCCCCATTCTTTCTGTACCTTGTACAGTTGATGGTCTACCCTGATCAACAGGGGTTATGTATGTGGTAATCGGAATACCAGCAGGAGTATCGTGAAACCCTTGTTCCACAGCATCAGACCACTTTAGATCATCGCTTTCTCTGGATGCTGGATTTGCGGAGATGGTGTTTGCCGTATTGTCACTGATTTTCGCCAAGGTTATGGCAACCGATTCCACTGCTTCATTAAATTCTCCAGCTACCTGGGTGACGTGATTGGTGATACCTTCTTCGTACGATGCAAGGCTCCTAATGCCTGCCTCACTTTCCAGTTGCTGCGGCTTTCCCGAGAAAGCTTTTAGATAATTATTGGTGTCTTCGAGCTGCTTTTTGATTCTTATCTGTTCGATTTTAATAGCAGCAACGTCCCCGGCGAGGGCCTTGAGGTGCGAAAGGATTTCATTCTGAGCAGTTCCTTCGACTGGTAAGTCCTGTGGAACCTTTTTAGAAGAATCAGCTCTGGGCGCCGACTGTTCCACCACGTTGGAGTCTTCTCCAGGAGAAGTTTCTAGCTCCATGTAGTGGTCGTGATGCGAGTGAATGGAAGGCTGGACAAAAAAAGGCGGCCCCTGACCACGTGATTTATTACTTCTTGCTGAGCTTCTGCTGGAGATTTTCACAGCGCTGGATATGCTTGCGCTTCTGCCATCGGGGACGAAAGAACTATAGGAGCTAACGTCTCGAGAATGTGGGCGTTGTCTAAATCCCACTGGCGTCGGTGGGCGGAGGGGTAGCTGGGGCAAGGAGGCGTGCACGTTTTGGCCCGGCAACAAGACCTCAGTGTTGTTCTCGCTTGAAGTTCGCCTTGGAGTCACAGTGCTGCTACTCCCGCACACAAACTCAACATCCGCCATTTCGACTGAGCCCTGAGCACTTGGAATTCTCCTCTCTGGTATGACCAGTTTGCTGCTGCCTCTCGTGCCGCATGTCCCTTTGTTGGTTAGGCTTAAATCAGGGGATCCAAGAATAATTCCCTCCAACTTAGGTAAAGCCTGGCAGTAATCTTCTTGAGGTGTCTCTGCTGACCCTACGCTTGACTCAGGAGTGAAATTCGGCTGAGCGGCACTCCGATTTCCACCATACTCCTCGCCTTGAAGCCTAGGCGTGGAGCTTACCTTCCTCACTGCTCGAGAAGGTTCGCCTAGCACCTCAGAGAAGGAGTCCCATCTTGGCAGAAGCGGCGCTGAATCCGGTTCTCTGTCGGTGCCCTTCTTCTCCTTGGGGTAATATATTTTGGGCTCTTCGGACCCTTCAAAGATGTTGCTAGTTGTTGTAACAGTTGCTGGGTTAGTTGCTGGGGGTGGTGCGGGCTCGTAGTTTCCACGGCTTCTGGGAGGCGGCGAGTAAGTCAGGGGCTGGAGCAACTCAGCCATTGCTTCGCGTTCTTGGGCAGCAAGATCTTCTCCTTGTGCCGCCTTCTGTCCCTGTTCAAACCTTAACATGCAAACGTTCTTAGGTTTCGGGCCCGTCGTTGGCCAGCTGGTGTTTTCCCGCTTTATCTTGGATGATAATTCATGGTTAGCGCCGTTGTACACTACTGGTGGTTTTCCCTCGTCATTCAAACATATAACAGAAAAAGAAACATAGACTTGCAAACTTCCCTATCCACACAGCAATAATATGGAGATATAGGGTAAAATGCAGGTAAGTAGAATCTAACAGATGACAATATTACTTCCACCGATGAAGAGAGAAACTGATGATTGTATTGACAGGGGGTTGAAGGGGGTGTTGGAAGAGATAAGCCAATTAGATATAGGAAACGCTAATAGCGAGTCAAGACAAAGGGATCAGAGCCCTGGCAGTTCATGGAAACGTTGCCTCCAGTTTCCAATCAGGGAACTTGGGCATTGCCAAAGCCGATGTCTCCTTTTCATATTTGACGGTTGGTTGATTCGTGGGGGCATGTATAGACTTGGGCAAAAATTGTAAAGCAGAAACAGGGTCAGGAGGAGGCAGATCTCAGGAGAAAGCAAAAGTCAGTAACTTACTTGCTAGAGGAAATGTCTTGACTATTAACAGACTCTGATAGTCCTCATATTCAAGATGCTGTTCTCAACTCATGCTAATGATTTTAGATACTACCAGACAGAATTCTCATAACAAAGATGATAATATTGCATGGTACAAAGATGTTTGTGCGAAAGGAAGTTCAGGGGCAAAACGGATGAGAAAGCAGGCTGTTGAATAATAACACTCCTAGCGTTATTTAAGCGAGGTGTTTTTGTTCATTCAGTGGACTGGGGTATACATTCAGGGCTTCTTTACTCTACTTCTATATCCTTTCGGGATGTGCTCTTTGTTTGGCTTTGCTTCTTGTATAGGGGCTCTTTGTTTTGTTTGTGGCTCGCGAGCGTGCACATGTGCATGAGGAGTAGAAGTGATAATGATATTGATTGCGCCTTAGAGATGGTGATGTCTCTTTTGCCTCTACTTCTATATCCTTCCCTTCCCTTCCATCAGGGAATCATATAATCCACTGCCCTTTGTTCGAAAAGGCCGTATACTCTCTTAGGACATGATGGGTTTGGCGGTCCTAGCTATAGCTAGTCTTTTTAATGGGCATTTTTATCATTCCCTCTCTCCCTTTCTCAAAATCCATGCCCCTGTTGTGGACCTTCACAAGCTGCAGAGAGGCCAAAGGGATAGAAATATAGGAACGACCAAAACGACGACGCAATCTGATTAACCGATAAGAGTCAAGCCATCCTTTTTCGTAGCTTAGCAAGGGGCAGCAATAAACAATCGCAAACGCCAATAGCTAACTTTTAATTGCGAAAGTGGCCGTTTATCCGCACCGCAAAGAAGACTGCTGTTGGGGTATAGTGCGGTCTATGAGAGCAAAGAGATGTGGTATAATTATATACTGGAAGAGCGAGCGTGAATAAATAGAACAATTAAAATAAGACACAAACGTATACCCGGTGGATATACCTCCCTTTTAGCGATGAAATGTTTGATAATATACAAAATTGAGTGTAACAAGGGAATTAAGCTAGAAAGAAGATAGGATATTCCCGTTTTGGCATGCATATATCATGACATTGATTGCCGGTTTCCAAAATATAGGGAATTGGGATGAACAGGCAGTTTTAGTGTAGGTCGGCGGTGTATCACAATAATGTATTTTTATCCCGTTCACTCTCTTTCTGAAATTTGCTAGCCTTCTCCGATGCAAACTTAATATATTCTCATCGAGAATGTATAGAACATGGAGGAGCCAGAGTTGGTTGTTAACGGCCTCCTGAGAGCACGAGGATAGATGTGGTTATTTGGTAACGGAGGCAAGTTTGCTGATATTCTCCATCAACGAACGATACACCTTTTTTGCATGGATCCAAATAAGACAAACATCGCATTCATCACGCCCTCTACTTCGAAAACGGTGTAGCAGGGCTAACGAAATGATAGTAGCCAATTCAAGCTCCTAATCGCTAAAAAGAAGCTAAATCAATGGAAGTGGCAAAAGAAAACGTGTAATACGTGGAGAACAAGATAATATTGCGGAGGTCGGCAACTCAACGTTCACTCAAATTGTTTTCGCCGCTAAAACCAAATAGAATCATATCCGCATACGCAGTAAAGTAACATAAAAATGCGGGGAGAGAATTCAAACTAGATGAGTGAAAATGATGAAACGCTAGAAATGTACTCGGCGATGTAGGGTGTGAATGTACGCCAGTAGAACGCTAAGGGGAGAGCGATAAGAGTAGTAACAATCGTAACAGTGACCAAGAGGGTCCTGAAGTTGGTCAGCATGACCCAGGGATGGATTTGAACGAGAAAAGGGGGAATGGATATCAAATTGAATCACGGTACAGTAGATAAATGGAATAATAGATACATACATAAGAAAAAGGAAATTCAAGATACAGGAAGAGTGATTTTACGCAAAAACTGGAGAGGAGGGAGAGGGAAAAAAGAATCAAAGGGGTGGGTGAAGCGGTGAATATGGGTGGTAAAGGCGGGATGATGGCCAGGGTGTATCCTACCAAATGAGAACAACGGGGGGGAAAGGTACGCAAAAGCAGAAAATTTCCTAAAAAATATGTCGCTTACTGGCGTGTAGTATCGCGTCGGCCACGGCGGAAAACCGAAAAGACGCCTCCCAAGAAGCTCGTGAAAATGGCGTGCCAGAGTGCTTTGAAAAAGTTCTTTCTCTTGTGAATTGTGATGGATGTGACGGACCGATCCCCAGCTGTCGTGGGGCGCGGTTCTTCGGCTTCCCCCGATGCTGCGCCTGACTTCGTTGCATCAGGTGCTGGCGATGGTTCCGAGTCTGCTGCAGCAGGTTCACTTGGCTTGTTGGTTGGTTCGGGTTCGCCGGAGATTGAAGGAATTGGCTCAGTTTGGCTGGTGGCGGTGGGTGGAAGCGTATAGACTTCCGCTTGCTTCGCGGAAAGCACCGCACCGGATTGTTTGGTTAGCTCAGGGGGGTCTGTTGCACTAGCTAATGATTCTTCTTGCGAATTGGCAGGAGCAAGAACTCTCTCAGTTGCACCCCCGTCCGACTCTTGAACCGGAGAAGAATTGTTTCCGTTGACCACTGCTTTTTCTTCCTTGGCCTTGTCGCTTGATCTACTAATGCCATTGGCAGTTACTTCTGGAGCGCTCGACAATGATGTTTCCACAGCAGAAACAAACACTTCTGCCGGAGCTGTCGAAGGAACATCTTTATCAGCGACAGGGTCTTCATTATTTGAAACCAGTTGAGTGATACCAGCACCAACAAGCGCAGTTGTAAGGGTCGCTGCGGCGACCTTCACTGCCGGCTCCACAAGAGGCGCCTGCGGTACCTCTTCCACTGGTGATTTGGATGTGGTGCCGTTAGTTCCAACGAATGGTTCTTCAGGTGGGACCGCTACCACTTCGACCTCGGGTTTAGGTTGCGTCCTGGGAGGCACCTCTGTAGCGGCATTCGCGTTGTCATGAGGCACGACCGGTTCGCTTAGAGAATTTTCTATTGGTGACTCAATGAAAGGATAGTTAGCCGTTTTCAATGAAGTGGGCTGCTTAATTTCGACAGCAAATTCCTTTCGAGTATCAGGCTCGTCCGATTCTGATGCCTTTGTTTCTCTGGGATCAGACGCAGGGGGCTGCTCCTTTGATTTGGAAGTACTTTCGAGCTCATCAGCCACTATCTCAGCATTAGACGATTCGAGGGTAGCAGCTGCCGTAGGAGGCTCACGACCATCACTTTTCTCAGCAGGCTCAGCGTGCTTAGTTTGTTCTGAAACTTCAAGATCAGTCTCTGCAGCTACAGCAACGGAAACAGCAGGCTCAAAGGTATTTCCGGACTTATTTTTCGTGGCCGGTTCGTTAGCGGGTAGAACTTCGGAAACAAAGTTGGTGGAAGGGGTAAGTTCTGGTTCAGCGTTTGGTTCTTCTGTTGCTAAATTTGGAATATCTTGATCAATTTCAGGCGGTGGATTTGGCTCCTGAGGAGGTCTGAGGGCAGAAGCTGAATCTACGGCGGGTTGTTCAATTTCAGTGAGCTCTGGCTTCGAACCTTCAAGTCCCACAGGGGTTTTCGTCACTTGACTAGGCTCGTTCGTCTCTGACTCGATCTCTGCGGTATGTTCGACCTCTGGTTCCTCAGCAGGAGTGGCATGCTCTGGCTCCTCTACTGCGATTGGCTGTGGGTCAGAGATTTGTTGTTTCTGCTTAGAAACTCCTGGTTCGTTGTTGAAAGAAGGTTCAGGGACATCTTCAATAACCACTGGAAGCTCTGTAGCGAGAGGCTCTTGCTGCTCCTCTTCCTTATCCGTTGAATCTGTACGATCGCCATTTGTGACCACCTCATCTTTCTTGTGGTCAGGGGTGATGTTATCGGCCAAAGGTTCGTCCTCCGGAGCAGGCTCCGAGGATTTTGGTTCTTCCATCGCTACGGGAATTTCAGGAGTCTCCACTTCTTGTTCCAGACCTGGAGCAGAAACCGCTTGAGGCTCCGTTCTATCAGTAGTAGAAATTTCTTGAGCGACATAGGTTTCTGTATCCTCGGGAGTTTTTTGCGTCTCTGATTCTTCTACGACAGCAGATGCGCCGACGGTTTCCCCAGTGGCAGGTATTGTTGTTTCCGGCTCGTTAGACTCAAGATCCCTGTTGGTATCAACGTTAACTTCGAGCTCTCTTTCTGCAGTAAAGGTAGTCGGGGCCACGGTTGCATCGGGAGCATCCTCCCGTGTGATTTCGGGGGCTACTTCGGGTGTAGGCTCGACCACAGCATTGTCGACAACTGGCAAATCCTCGGCCTTTGTTGGTTCTGGTGGGATTTCATATGTTTCTGATGCCGTAAGCACAGAAACTGGTTCCGATTTGGTAACAGCATCGCCGATGGCTTCTGAGGCATCCGGCTCTACTGCTTCTGTTGGGTCTTCAGCAACTTCAGAGATTGGAGCCTCCGGAGCAGACTTGGGCTCCCGTTCATCAAGCTGAGTTACGGCATTGTCAGCATCGATCGAAGTTTCGGGCTGTGATGGCTCCGTTGAAGCTTGGGTAATGTCTGACGTCGTGGCCACTGGAACAGGCTCTTGTTCTGGCTGGGGAATAACAGCGTCCTTGTCAGGATCCAGGTCTTCAGGCTCCTTCAAATCCTCCGGAACTTCGGGCGCTTGGACTGGTGGAGGCTCCGTTGCAGGTTCCGGTTCAGGCTCAGGCTCAATAGGTTTAGCAAGTTCCTCAGGCTCTATGGGCTCAGGGTGATCACCGGAAGGATGTAAGGTTTCAGAATCTGTTACTTCCACAGAAGCGTCAGCAATTTGAGATGCTGTATTCTCCGAAACAGGAGCCGTGTCAGCAACGACATCATCAGCAGGTTTCGTGGTATCAGGCACTCTCAGTTCCTCTGGAGCCTCGGGAGTTTCAACAGTTGCAACCTCAGTTGACGGTGCAGGCACAGCAGGTAAAACAACTTCAGCAGGTTCAGCAAGGTCAGAGACGACACCGCCATTGAGTTGCGATGTCTCGGGCTCTGTTTTTTCCACTGGGGCATCGAGGACATCAGTACTGATCGTCTGTACTACAGGCTCAAGTTCGGCAACCACGCCATCGATAGGTTTTGAGGTTTCGGGTTCCGTTTGCTCCACTTCTCCTTCAGGTATATCGGTGGTTGCAGGATTAGCTACAAGATCACCTGGAATTTGCGGGGCTGCTGGTTCCTCAGCCGTGGAAATCTCAACAACGTCAGGCGCTGAATCTGGAGCCGGATCCGCAATGTCGACAGATTTGGAAGTTTCGGGTTCCACTACTTTCTCAGTGGTCTGCTCGTCAGCTACTTCGGTTTCGGGAGTAGAGGATTGTACTAATTCTAAATCAGCAGCTGGCTCAGATGCTTCTGGTTCTTCTCTAGAGTTAGCATTTGTCTCGGGCACTATATCCGCCGCGGATTCTGGAGCCTCTGGTTCTTCAGGAGTCGCTGACGTGTCAGGCTCTGGTTCCAGAGCGGCATCATCTTCAGGTTTCGATGCCACTACCTCGTCAGAGGAATCAGGGACGACTGGTTCTTCAGTTTCCACCAAAGACTCAGGCTCTGTAGAGCCGGGGATGACATCTTGTTGTGTAACCGGCTCGACGTCCGGGATGGTAGCCTCTTCCGATGTGGGTGCTTCTGGCTCCTCTGTCGCAGAGACCACGGGAATTTCAGGGGTAATTTCTGGTTTTGGTGCAGCTTCATGGGACTCTGAGGGAGCAGGAGCTGCAGGGTCAGGTCCAGCTCCTGCAGGTTCCTCATTTTCGGGGACACCAGTAGTATCATCGTTGACAACAGCTTTGGCTGTTATATCCTCAGCCGGAGCAACCTCATGCGTGGGTTCGGAGACGAGTTCGGCATTTTGTTGTTGTGGTTCCATGCTAGCGTCGGGTGTGACGTCATCAGGCGCTTCCTGGGCGATTGGGTTTGCGACTTCCCCAGATGGCTCGTCCTCCTTGTCAATATTGACGTCCTGCGACTCAACAGCCTTGATAACATTTCCAGCTTGAGAGTCGTCATCTTTAATAACCAATTGTTCCGATTCCGGCGCGGTTACCTCCATAATAGGGGCTTGCACATCGGGCCCCTCTGGCTTTTCTTCAGGAACAGGATCAGGTTTTGTATCCAACTCCGCGATTCCTCCATCTGGTGTTGACTCTAGAGATTCCTCACCCGAGGTCCAAATCTCTGCTGGCTTGTCGCCCTCATCCTTTTTCTGGGCGTCTCCATTCACCAGGGTTATTATGTTCTCATCTACGGCCTGGGATTGGGCTGGTTCGGAGTCAGCAGGGGCGTCAATGGCTGTGGTTGCCTCGGCAAGCTCGGCAGGCTCGATAGGCTCGGTAGGCTCGGTATGAATGGGAGTAATTGGATCTTCGGGTTCTTCGATAGAAGCTGGAGCTAAGTTAGAGGGCGCATCTGGCGGGCTTGGCTGTTCGACCACCTTCGGTTCTGTCTCCGGAGACTCATTATCAACAGTGGTCTCCTCAGATTTGAATTTTTCGCCGGCAGCGTCAATTGAGGTTTCAGCGTTAGCTGGATTCTCCTCATTTTCTTCACAAACCGGGGTTTCTATCACCACATCCTGCTGCGAAGGCTCAGGCGTGTTGGCAGGCTCTGATGCTGGTGGCTTGTCATCAATGGTGGCATCTGGATCGGTCGCCACCTCGGTTTCCACAGGTTCTGCCTCGTCCACATCCGGAGCTGCAAGGTCGTTCTTCTCTGCCGGTCCAGTATTTTGTCCTTCGTCATTCTTCATTTGCAGTTGCCCCTCGTGCTCTTTCTCAACTATTTGCAGCTCATTTACTACAGGTTCAGGTGCAGAATCAGCTCGAGCCTCATGTGAATCTTCGACAGGGTTTTCGAGAAGCTCAGGAACGTCCTTTGACGTTGTGTCAGCTTCCGACGCTTCGACGTTCTCAGCTGCTAAAGGATCTTCGGCGACCTTTGTATCTTGAGCTTCAAGTATCGCTTCTGTTGACGTTACATCTTCGGCTATAGCAGTTTCAGAGGCGTCATCCTTTGATACTTCGTGTTCCACTTTCACCTCATCGACTTTTTCTACGCCCGAAACAGATCCGTTAGAAATGTTCTCTACGTCCTCCTTCTCAGGAGAATCGGCAGATTTCATGGTAGCCCTGACAGGTTCCACTACCAGAACGTTACTTTCGTTCCCGTTGTCCACAGCTACAAGCGTTATTCATGATCAGCACGTGTCATAGTAATCTTCACTAAATGACTAGAATTGGTTCTGTACCGCTATCGACCTCCTTGTCATGGAACCAGGAGCCCTCCAATCCTTCTCGAAATTTATACTGATGCTTTCCCAATGCCACCTCGAATGACTTCGAGAATTCGTATTGGGCGCCCGGGATATGGCCATTAGTCTGCACAACCGTATCCTGACTGGCAAGTGGAGGGATCGGCTTCACATCGAGCTCGACCGGCTCCCATGCGGGTTCAGTGAAGGAGGCAGCTAGGAAAATGGCGGGAGACTTGCTCGACCGGCGAATGGCAACAGTGACAGTACTCCGGGTATCATCTGCCATAGTGGATGGCTCGTGAAGTCGTTAAATCGTCGTGAGGGTCCCAATAAAAAGATAGAGAATACGGGACAAAAAGAAAACAAGTGGCAGTATTGAGGTATCACAGTTGCCTTTCCTTCGTTCTCGTCGAGTACAGGCTAGTAGTATGAAGGAGTTCCACGAGATGACGGGTAACGGTGTTTCTGTTGCACAGTAGCAGATCGATCTTAATGTTGTTACAAGGAAAACAAACAGCAATGCCACCAAAAAATCTCTACAAACAGTGGGATAACCAAGAGGGGAGAAAAACCACACAAAAGATAAACAGGTCAGCTATTAGGAAAACACAAGAAGAAGCCACAGAGAGGGGGAGGAGGAGCGGGGGAATTGTATTTTGATATTCCAGGTGAAGCACCAACGATTGGTGTGATTCTTCGTTCTCGCGGATGGGGGGCGGGGATGATGGAGGGGAAACGAACAGCGACGGAGGAACAGGAAGCAAAAATAGATGGGAAGAGCGACGAGGAAGAAAGAAAACCGCTAGCTTTGATCAACAAGAGTAATTTTTCTTTTTTGCTTTTTTTTCTTTTTACTCAAGCTTATGCGGAGATGTGGCAGCAAACAAAACAGCGCGAAGGATGAGCAAACGCGGGCGAAGGAACAAGCAAAAAAAAATAGCCCCCAAGAGCCTGTGGAGACTCGAGCCCTCGACTGGCCTGAGTGTGGTCAGAGGAGAACTTTTAGCATGAAGTGGCTACGCTTCCTGGCTGCTGATGGGCTAACTTGCAATGCGCTGCGTTGACAGTGGAGCCACAGTACGGACTAGGAATTGGAGCCGTTGCTTGGTCCCTGCTGTTGCTGCGCTGAGGCACGGAATTCCCATTAATGTTGATTGGGCATTATCTCATTGAATCTGTGAGAATTTACTTCTGTGAATACTAAAAATGAAAAAATTCCTCTGCTGCTATGCGTCCAATTGATTGCACTTCGAAACACTCTATCTTCCTCATCTACAGCCATGTTGAAGAGATTCATTCATACATAGATCGCTGCCTCCAGGAAGAGGAAAGACACAACTCCCGTCCTGAGTCCTCGACTCCGTAGTTCATTTCTTTGCTCGTGGAGCCCCTGGAATTGCTCGAGTTGGGTTTGGCGGGAATGAAATCCGTTGACGGCAAATCCAAGCTTCCCAAGACGAAGGAGGCTAATGCCAATATCACTGTGACGATGACAGGGTTTGCAACTTGCCCATGATGATGATTTGATATGGACTCTCCAGCTCAACAAATTGGAGTGGAGGGGAGAGGTACCCTGCTTTTTCTCCCTTTTCATTCCCATATTGAAACTGGTTTTATGTTGCTTTTCCTTTTCGTTCATTTCTTCCTTCTATTTTTAGCTGTGGAACATCGAAAGATCAAATGGGACAGGAAACAGGAAAAACCCTGATGATGAAATGAAAGTAAAAATCAATCGTTCGTCCCATAAAAAAAAAAAAAAAAAAGCAAAAAAGGCGGTACTCTAATATTTTCGGGCGCTCGATGTCAATTGCGGTCTAGCCAATCGTTGAGCTGCAAAATTGGCCTTTGGTGGAGGATATCCAGCCCGTGTCTTCGTCCCGCGTTGAAAATCGATTAGAGAAGAGCTTGAGGGTGATTGGGGATGGGGATAACGCGATCAACTTTCGACATACGAATCCGTGATATATATGGGAGATACATGGGAGATATGCTTGTGTCTTATCAAAAGAAGGGTTGAAAGTCAATGATGTTGCCATCGATGTCGTGATCATCATTTCCCTGGTCATTGAAGTTGAACAAGAGCGGTGAACGGGCGGAAGACAACTAGCGAACCTGAGAGCTCTTAGCTTCGGAGTAGCTTGCTTAGTTGAGTTTGGCATTCCATTCTGCCCTTCCACGCTCGATTGTCGGTTCTGTTTTCTCAACTCCAGCTTCACGCGATGGCTCCGGGGAAACAGAAGCGAACGTGAAGTGGAGGACGAATGGTGTGTGAGTGGTGGAAGCAAGTGCCTCGGTCGGCTGCCGTTAGCGAGCTGCAGGGCCGAAAGCCCAACTGCCAGCCTCCTGGATTAGCATGCCCCATCCCCAGTTCGTCAGCACCTGATCGCGCAGGAACGCGAAGGTTGTGTTCAAATCTTTGATTTGGATTGCGTTTGAGAAGAAATCTGGGTTGTACAGTGCATCGTCAACATTGGACTATTCTTGTTAGAATTGCAACAACATCTTCGCGCCCGATATGCATGTCACATAGAAGGTTTGGTTTCGAACTCCTATCCAGCTTCTGCTTCGCATGACAATGAATGGTCTAGTATTTACGCGACGATCGTGGTTAATCGGCAAATCGTTTGTCCTCCCTTCTATGACTTGATAATATACAACCCCACCACCATTGTTAGCTTCAATGCATGACGAACAGGAAGGTCAGGAGAGCAGGTGGAAAGGCACCATCGCGTCATTGATTGACAGCTGGCAGTCACCGTGCATGTTTGGGCGTTGCGTTGGGTAGAGTTCTTGCAGGTTGGGGCAACGAATCATGGTCATGGCTAAGTCAAACCGTAGATATTCTTCAGGGTTCTTTCTGCCTGAAGGAAATGGGGCGAGATTTTTATCCTTCTGCCCGCGTTTCAGATCAATGTTGGTTTTTGGCCCCTTGATGCGCTCCGTCTGAAGCCCGAAAGATGAACTACGGAGAGCAGCAAAATCTCAGCCATAGGCGATATATATAGTGCGTGAAAACCGAGGCATCAAAAGAAATCAAAGATCCATAATGGCCTACTGACAGGTGCTCCGCCTGGTTTATAACATCCCGCAAATTGTTTCATCACGAGATTCAATGGGCTGGAGAGTTTCTAAGTAGTTCAGTCACATATCTGTACATATCGATCTGTGGGCTGAAAAAGACTGAAGACAATTGCTTCCGACAATAAAACCATCTGCCTGTTCGGCTGGCTTCATGATATTATTGACCGGCAGGAACGAAGCAACTGCGGACATTGTGGATTCAGCAAATTATTCTAACTCCCAATCCGTCTTCTCTTGCATGAATTTCACGAAGTCACTGAGCATAGTCTCTGAATACCAGTGACCCAGCCCTTCATACTCATTCCACGAAACATGCATTCCAAGTGCCTCAACACAGGCAACTGCTTCTCTTCCCAAACGGATAGGAACCGTCATATCTTCAACCCCATGGCCAAGAAAGAGTGGCGTCTGCTGAAAAAGAAAACCTTGAGAGGATGAGGGGAGCTGCGGAGGGCGGGGAATCTTAAACTCGCCCCTGAAGAAGTCAATAGCATTACCAACCACATCACTGCCATTTTTAGATTTGATTTCACTTTCACCATCTGTGCTAGAAAGTTGATTGAGCCTCTCTCCCTCGATCGTTTGATCATCCTCCCCTCTGCCGCCTGTTAGAATCCTCCGAATCCGTCTTTCAAATGGCAGTCTGCCGCAGAACCCAACAAGCGCGCCTAACACCTCGCTTTTCTCTCCCCCTTCCCCAATGCCATCCCAGAGTAAACATGCCACAATACTGGTAGCGCATCCCTGGCTCAGCCCCCCCAAAAGGACATTCTTCGCGCCACCTTCGACCAACGAAATCTCCCGCTGCAGTAAATCATGTAAGAATTGCGTCGAGTCCTGCAGCCCACTACTCTGCAACGAGTCCCGCGCAAGGGGGAATGGCCGGTCACTGTTGTCATCTGTAGGAGATGAAGACGACGGCAGCCACCAGAGATCAAACCACTGGCTGATGAGATCGCTGTCGTGCTGCTGGGGACGTCGCAGGGGTGCTGCTGGGAAAACAAATTTTGCGTGAGGGAAGGCATCTTGTAGGGTACCGAATTTGGGACTACAAGACTGTGAGGCGGATGGCAGAGGAAATGATGTCGAGAGGATATCACGTCCGAAACTAGGACCATCGTCACCCCTCCCGTGGAGCAAGATTATTGTTTGCTTGTGAGATTTGAGATGCTGGATAATAAAGGGTGGAGGATAGTCGGGAAAGTCCATCTCGCTTGGATGCTCAGATTTATGTTTTCAGTGTTCGCTTTCTCGTTTATTTCCAAAATCTATGCTTTTCTCATAAAGGAGCAAGTAGCATACGGATTGGCAAAAAGACCAGGGGGGTTATACAGTTCACGTGGGCGCTGGAGCTTGCCCAGTCTGTCTTTGTTGCATACTCGTACGCATGCACTCACTAGCTCCTGAACACAGACAAAGAAAGATGTGTCCTGATACTCTGTACTGTTTCGATGAGAGGGAGTTAGCTCAACCTTGCGTTATACGGACATACATCCGACAAATATCAAACCACACAAATATCTTGCTCGTGTCATTTATTATGGTGATCATTGCAATATGTGCTAGCAGTTATCAGATTGATAAGATTGGAGCCCCCACAAGATCGGCCATTGCTCATTTCAAAAAAAAAAAAAAAAATAAATAAATAAAAAACGAGAGAGAAAACAATCTCAATTATCCTCCGCAACATCGGATGAAAAAGAAACAGCAACTCCGTACGAACCGACCCAAGTATTTCAGCGGCCACTAATCTGCTGAAATGGAAAGAACGGACACAATAAGAGATTGTATTTTGTCGAGGAGGGGCTGGGCGTCCCAGGCCAATTGTGTGGTTGTTGTACAGCAGCCCACAACTCCTGTCAGATATGGTGATACAATGTTTCTGGGCCGCTGAAGTTGAGGGAAACTTGAGAAGAAAAGTCGAATTAGGCTCAGCACCAGCCGTATCCAGTTTGTCGAATTCATATAAATGTGGTATTTGGGGGTAGAGATGTCTCAGGTTATCCAATTGCTTCTAAACAACCTACTACCAGTGCGATGGATGTGACAATGACAAATGTCAACTCTATTTAGCTTCATCCACATGTTGGTGCCGTAGTGTATCTACTTGCCATACCTACTACCGATGAGACATGGCGATCTATTCTTCGACAAAGACATCAGGCCAATGCCTCGAGAAACCTTGGATACCATTCCTCTCCGCGTTTCGAAGCGGTGAGGACATCGCCCCCACATCCTGGTCGCTCACTTTCATGTCAAAAACCAATTGTTATGCCATTCGGGGAAACCACTGGTAACATGGGCGGCAAGACAAATCTCTCCCAAAATGGGCTCTGCTACTTCTGTGTGAAGACAGATGACTCTCACCGGTGTCATTCTGTTGGCGGAAAACCCGCTCATGTAGAGTGTCCTAGCAGGATAAGATGATGGCAATACACCCTAGCATCTCGGTCTCTGTGGGGTGGGTGCGTCATGTTCCTCCGTTGGAGGTCGTCTAAGCATCTTCGTCCCTTTCTCACTGCGCCATTTGCTAGGAGGATTTTATCTATATTAAGCGTGTAACATTTGTCTTTTTTCACATTATCTGCTGACTCGAAATCCAATACCAGCTGTTCTAAGTGAACATCTAAAGTTTTAGATTAAGTTTTTTAGATCAATGTCAGTCAGGGGCAGAAGGTTGCATGGGGTTGTCAAGAATGAACCATAGCAATACCGCATGGTCGACTGTCTGGGATGTTCCTCCTACTCTCTGAGCGGGCGTCACCCACATGTGCACAGTTTGTATATACGGTAGGACAGATCTCAGCCCAGCCAGCAGCATCGAAGTTTGAATACCTGCGATGCTTAGGGAGACTCTCAGCAAGAAAGCAGTTTCACTTCTAATGTCACTCGGGGGCTTCCTGAATCCAACATAGGTCGTCACGTATGCGTGGTTAAGTTGCCCGACCTGACATGATCGGGCATCACTTTCTGAGGTGTATTCCCAGATGCCTGCCAAAGACACACATACATGTTCGTATGTTCGCGTACAAGCCTCACCCTTGCATGTGTCAGAATTGATAACGATACACGGTTTATTTCGATACTGTCGCTCAATAGGCGATGGAAGCTTGTGCGTCCTGGCTTCTGGGAGGGAACAATTCCTCAGGGTTAAATGTCGCTTTGTTTATTTAACAATTGGTCTCAAGAATACTATACGTGCAGTAGCAAGTGTGCAGGTTGAGACATAACTAATGGAAAACCATATTTTTTATCAATGAGCAGTTTTTCTTTTTCCCCTAAAAAAAAAAAAGGACAAGCTCTCCACGACAGCACTTGGAATGACAGTTTATTTATGTATTCCATTTTCCACCAATGAGGTGGTCAGGAGCGAGGTGCATTCTGATGTTGTCTTCAACAAAATATTATGGCCGACTGGAAAATAATTGATTGACCCTCTAGGAACGTGGAAAAACGGATACCTACTAAGTGTGACCTATCCTTAAGCGCATACGTATATATCACTGGATCACAACTGGCTAGACAGGGAAAGACAATAAAATGAGACTGAATGCTAACAGGAAGAAAGATTGACCCGAAAGTTCGTGATATAAAATCTTTCGCAGCTACACAGAAATCTGTGTGGAGAGGCTCTTTACATGAATATTTTCAGAAGAGCGGATTTGGCTAATGGTAGTATATTGTCGTATATGGACCGGTCTTCTCAGTGTAAGCGAAAGACACCCAAGCTTGAAAGTCGGTACTGGTCTCGATCTCAGATCCAGGCCTATGAACAGGTTAGTAACAATCTGACAGGGGTTGGGCTCTAGATTCTTCTGAGCAGATAGAACGTACATATACATTGGAATGAGTGACGATATCTGTTGGCTATAGGATTTCGCCAGCTCCGCGTATCCATGCTTCCCAAAAAATTTGGTGAGGCCATCGGCTATTACCTTATCACTAATACCTAGAGTTGGAAGGTAAATCTTTGGCTGCGGCCATTTTTTTCCCGGCAAAATTTCATAATTAGCGCACACCGGGACTCGGTCTGGGGGGTCTCCCTCTCTGTTCACTCGGTCAGGCATCTTCCGCGTTCCCGCAGGAATATTCATAGCCTCCCACAACTCCTTCAGCAAGGACAACCCATTGAGGGTCTCTGGGTCGTTAAGCTGTCCGCCGAGCGTCCAAATCCGTGTAAGACTCTCAAAATCAACTTGAAGGTCGAAAACATATATCTTGAACCTGCTCTTCTTGGGATCGATGAGGTCGCAAGACAGAAGCTCGACATCCATGCTTGGCGGCAGTGTTTTGAAAAACTTCTCTATCATTTCCAGGGAATGGTCACAAGTGCCCCCAACTACCTGTCGCACTGCATCCAGTATTATACCTTCCTTGGGTTTGTTTGTAACCATAGACTTCAGGCGTGGGTACAGATACAACTTCGCCATTATGTTGCCGTCTTTGAAGTCCAATGACATGTTATGCTGAGTTTTGCATGGATAGTTTCGAAGGCCCATCTCTTTCGCCGCTAGTTTCTCCTCTTCGTCGGTCACCAGGAACGCATTGCGCAATACGTGGTAAAGATCTGAATTCATCCCAATCCCCAGCAGCTTGAATTTAGCCACGGCTTCATCCAAAGCTGTCCTGTTGGTTTGGTCGCGGCCACTGTTGGCAGCTTGGTTCGTAGCTTCAAAATTCATTCGAACTATGCATCGCTCCCTGGTGAAATTCTGACTGAGTTCAAGCGGTCCGATGCGTGATCCTATAGTTGACTCGTAACCTCCCGGAGTTCGTGAGGGCTTAAAGGGGCCAAGTAAGGGGATGACATTCAGGGCATAAAAGCACATGTATTGAAATTGGTATTGAACATCATATTTCGCGTCCGAAAGCAGTTTCCCCAAAACTGGGCCCGTTCGATTCCACCAGTCTTCTTGATCGAGGTTAGGGAAAACAAAGCATTTGTTCAACAGGTAGTAAGACTGTGAATCCGCTACACATGATGGCTGGGAAGGCGTTTCTTGTAGCAGAGCCACACCAGTCAAGGTCGTTTTCTTTTCCATGATGTGTTCCAGTAGCTGTTAAAAATAAGAACTTAATCGTGAGGCCTTTTTTGGATTATGGTGAGGGGGAAAGCTGGCGAGGACTCCAAGTTAAAATGTTGGAGATAAATGAAGTCAAAAAAGGACGAGTTTGCAAGAGGGGATAGTTCACCATAGAGGTGATAAAGGTTCCATTTATCTACCACTGAAGTTATGTTGTTTGCCATTTCAAAAACTTGATTAGGATAATAGGTGATAAATGTCTCAGATCAGATCAACAACTGCATTCCAATGTCAGTGCTACCCACCATTTTTCCGAACGTTCTCATGTTTTTGTTGGGCACTGGTTGTCCACGCGGCCGCTCCACCGCATGCGATGACCCCTATATAGTTAGCTAGTTCCTGCCATAACAATAACAAGATCAACCATCCCACAGGTTATGGCCTGGATAGTAGATTTTTAAAGCAAAATGAGATATTTTAATTAAAATGGCTAGCATGAGAGATCCATAGAAACACATCACACATGATGTGATGACCCCTATATAGTTAGCTAGCTCCGACCACAAGATTAACCATCCCACAGTCTTCCCATATGGCCGATCAGCTTGAGCGATGATTTGTATGTAGCCGTCTTTCAATTGCGCTGATAACACCCGCATTGTAGAACATGCTTCACTAGATCTGCACTAATACACTCGCTTTCAATTTGTAAATACGGATGTCTTTCCCCAATAGTAGGTAGAATGAGCAGTAGCACCTCTCACAAGTCCCGTTCATGGCATTAGGAATCAAGGAATATCTGTTCTAAATCAATTGTCCTCATTGTCGGGATCCCCGGCGTATACAAACGTCAAACTTGGCCGCCCACTGCTCCGTGCCACCAGAGACTAAGTGCAACAGCTGGTTTGGAATGGTAGACTGCAGCGTAAGAGTGAGGAGGCTTCTTTCGTTGGGATTGGAGTGCAGAGCCAAATTTCGTAGAGCCGAGCCAGCTACTGTTTCGGGTAGGTCAATTAGTGGCTATCCCATCGACCATTGCAAATATGTCATTTGGACGAGAAGCAAACGCAATCATTGTAAAGGCATATTGCAACATTTCCCCTTTTAGGTAGAACGTATTGATTCGGAATCTGGAAACCGATGGAGACAAGAAACAGGGACACGAAATTGTAGCTGAACAAGGCAGCACAACCCGCTTCCTAGATATCAATATGGTTCAGTGTTTGTCGCATGCAATTTTCTGCTTCTGAACGAAGGAAACTCTGATATCTTGCTTATATATAGTGCTTCTTGGAGAGATTCTTTTCGATTCATTATATAGTCAGAGTTTGTATAGTAGTAAAACCTACAAGAGTATATATACCCGTAAGTAATAAGACTCCAAACAATTAAATGAATTTCTATCAATCGCAACTGACACAAACATTTCTGGGTTATATTTGTGCTTGCTGTTGATGATAGCCCAGGTCATACAATGTCCGAATGCACAGGAAATATGGAAGGCCGTTGCATATTTCCAAAACTAGAAGCTTCCTGCCGAGGAAACCCCCAATTCGGGTCAATCGATATGAAGCCAGATGCTCTTGATGATATCGCAAAAAGGACGACTAAAGAGAGTACCTCGTCCCTGTTCGATCTGGTTCAGTGTGCGTGGTCCATTCTTCTCAGCAAGTACACTGATTCCGACACCATCACTTTTGGGGTCATAGCGAATCCGAAGATGGATGTAATGGACCAGTTGTTAGCAGTGATAGACGAATTCTCTCCGATTTCCCACTCCGTCCGTCTTCAAAAAGTTCGGAAATTCCCAACGATGGAGTGTGATCACCAAGAGCATTTCAATACCTGTCTTCTCTTTGAAGATGTCATAACTTCAGGATGGATATCAAACGCTGGCGATGGTCTTTCCACCGTAAGAGATCCTGTGATATGGATTTTCAAACGCATTGACTCACTATCCGTTAACAAGCTCTGTAATTCTAGATTGGCGATATTTCAGTGATTGTGAAATCGTCCGCGCTCACCCCACAAATCTCTATGCACTATTCCACTTCAATCCTGGGCCATTCCATGGCTTCCAACATGATTGCCACTCTCAGTGAAATCCTCAACTGCCTTTTATGGAAACCGTCGCGGACACTTTCAACATCGCAACTGTTGTGCGGCTCTCACCGGCAGCAAATATCTGCATGGAATGCCCGGTCACACACCTATCCACTTGATTGTTGCATTCACGCACTCTTCCATTTGAAATGTATGCTTCATCCTGATTCCCAAGCAGTGTGTGCTTGGGATGGAGGTCTGACGTACCAGGAGTTGGACGACCTGTCCTGGAGGGTCAAGGCACGATTAACAACACACAATGTTGGGCCGGGATCCATAGTTCCGATGCTTTTCGAAAAGTCTAAATGGGCAGTTGTTGCGATGTTAGGGGTCCTCAAGGCTGGTGCTGCCTTTGTCGCGTTGGACCCTGCATACCCCGAAAAGCGTTTGCGGGACATCTGTGAGGATGTGGAAGCAAATGTCATCATTTGTTCTGATTGGCTTGTGCAGCATAACTTAAATTACACGACGATAGCAGTTGGCGATGGCACTGTTGCTTGGGGAACGGATCCTGCGCGAAATCAGTCACGAGTACAGTCCCACGACCCTGCATATGTTGTTTACACGTCGGGATCGACAGGGACACCGAAAGGAGTTGTGATTGAACATGCTTCGTTCTGTTCTAACGCAGTTGCCAGTAGTAAAGCACAAAATCTTGACAGCTCATCCCGGGTGCTCCAGTTTGCCTCTTATGCCTTCGATATCAGCATTCATGAATGTCTGACTACGTTGATAATCGGAGGCTGCGTTTGTATCCCTTCTGAGTTTCAGCGATTGAATGACTTGAAAAGTGCAGTCCAAAACTTGCAAGCCAACTGGGCAGAACTTACACCGACCGCTGCCAAGCTGTTACGACCAGAAGATGTGCCAACCGTGAAGACTCTAATTTTGGGTGGGGAATCCATGACATCAACGGACATAGCAATATGGAACGAAAACGTGCACTTGGTATGCGCTTATGGGCCTGCGGAATGCACGGTTGTTTCCAATGTACAACCCCATGTGACCGAGCCTGGTAATATAGGATTCTGCTTTGGTGGGTCATGCTGGATTGTAGATAAGGAAAACCACAATAACCTCGCAGCTATTGGGGCCATAGGAGAGCTCGTAATCGGAGGGGCCATCGTTTCCAGAGGATATCTCAAGAGACCCGAGCAGACAGCAGCTGCATTCGTTACTGGGCCCCAATGGGTATCAGATTTCGACATAGGTGTAGAGCAACGGTTTTATAAAACAGGGGATCTGGCCAGGTACAGATCTGACGGCTCAATTGTATACATCGGGCGAAAGGACACTCAAGTCAAGATACGTGGACAAAGGGTGGAGCTCGGAGAAATTGAATACGTCTCACAACAATGCCTCAAAGAAACAATGGTTGTCGCCGAAGTTATTGCCCACGAAACACGAAGACCTTCATTGGTTTTATTCATGGCGACAAAACAGTTATTTACAGCGGAGCTGGTCTCCGGCATCACCATATGCGAGCCGGATGGAAAATTTCGTGAAGTTGTAGCGCGCTTAAAAGTGCATCTGCAAAATGCGCTCCCAGCATATATGGTACCTGCAGCATACATCCAATTGGCCGCTATGCCTGTGTCACGGACAGGAAAGGTAGATCGACGGGTTTTGCAAAAGGCTGTCAGCGATTTATCAGAGAACCAGCTAAAGGAGTATCGCATGGTGACCAGTGTGGACAGAGGATTCAGCTCGGCAAATACTCCTGTCGAGGAGCTGGTCCAACAGTTACTGGCAACTACCCTTGGTCTGCCATTGACTGCCGTCGGAATGAATGATAACTTTTTAAAACTGGGTGGAGACTCTGTCTCTGCAGTCAGCTTGGTAGAAACTGCTCGCCAAAAAGGGCTCAAACTGACAGTGGCATCCCTGTTCACTGATCAATCAATATCCAAGCTGGCATGTAATATAGCAGAATACCAAATATCCCACGATCAACCACCGCCACCGCCGTTTTTCCTGTTGAACCCCCTGGAAAAGGACTCAATTATCTCAAGCGCAGCGGTCAAATGTTGCATCCACCCTGAAAATATTCAAGATATATATCCCTGCACGCCCCTGCAAGAGGCTCTCATCGCATACACGGCACGGACACCCGGCTCACTTCAGTGTAGTTTTCGTTTCCAATTGCCAAGGGACCTTGACGTGGTTATGTTTAAAAAGGCATGGGCAGAAGTGTGCAACGCAAATCCTATTTTACGCACGAGAATTATCATGGCAGATTCACTCCAAGCATTTCAAGTTGTTAGTTTCGAAGTAGAGCCACAGTGTCAATCAAGTGAAAATGAATCGGAATTTCCAAAAACACTCATGTCGTTCGGGACCCCGCTAGTTTCAAGCTCGATCGTCGATAAGGGGAGTGAGATCGAGCCATTGACCTTCATCCTCACAATTCATCATGCCCTATTTGACGGATGGTCATACCAGAGGATCTTGGAAGCTACCGAAAATGCGTATAAGGGAACACACATGCCGTCGCAGCAGCCTTTCGCGTCATTCATCGAATACGTCAACAATTTAGATCTAGAACTCGCGCGTGATTTCTGGACAGAAGAATTTCAAGGATTGAGAACAGTTGGGTTTCCATCCCCATTCCTCTCGCCAGGCTATACTCCAAAATCCACCAGAACCGCCACCCGGTCCATCATGGTTTCCAAATGGCCTAACGGCAGATATACATCATCCATAGTGGTCAGGTTGGCGTTCACTGTTCTTCTTTCATGGTACATGGAAACCAACGATGTTCTTTTCGGGATCACTGTGGCTGGTCGCGGTGCTCCGGTCCCTGGGATCTATCAAATGACGGGACCCACAATAGCGACGTTTCCGCTCCGTACTATTCTCCACCCTCATCTAAGCATCGAGGAGACACTGAGTGAAATGCAAGCGCATGCGGCGAAACTGATTCAGTTCGAGCAGACAGGCTTACGACGGATCAGAAGTTATGGAGGGGACGCATCTTCAGCGTGCGACTTCCAAAACTTGCTCGTTATACAGCCACAAAAGAGTACAATTTCTTCCGAGCTATTCATTGAATCTCCAAACAATTCTGCTGAACAGCTGAAATTGAGCACCCATCCACTAACAATGGTGTGCGAACTTTCTGGAGAACGGGCGTTGTTTGTCACTGCAATTTTTGATGGTTGTATTTTGGACCACGACGCTGCGCAGATAATGTTGGAACGCTTTGAGCACGTCCTTCACGATATTACAGATAATCCGGGACAAAAAATTGGCTGCGTAATTCCTGATATGCCACCAAACCCCGACGCCCCGATGAATGAATCGGGTCTCTTGCGTGACGTTGAATACCAAGCGCAAAAATATCTAGGCGAACCGTACCAAGTAGTCGTTGACATGGTTTGTCCAAAAGATCTGTGTACAGGGAGGCTTGCTGTATTTGTTTGTGAAAATCTGGGGCACCAAAGCATAGAGACAGAGCTGTTTGCCGTCCCGGAAAATACCTTCAAGCTCAAACTCCGTGGGTTGATAGAATATATGAGCAAAGCTATTCCTGGGAGTATGTTGCCAATTTTATGTCTTCCAATCAATTATTTACCGTGGACCGCTGCCTCCCAGCTCGACAGAGATCTCCTGCAACTCGCAGTTTCCAAAAAAGGCCTAACTTCTCTCCAACAACTCACGGCGTTGTTCCCCAATCAATTTCAGGGCGCAACATCAGACCGTGAGGAGAGAGTTCGAAAAATTATTGCACGAGTCATCGGCATAGACACAGATGCGGTTGGGATCAACGATGACTTCTTCAACCTAGGCGGTGACTCCATCTCGGCAATACAGGTGGTCACTCTGTGCAGAGAAGATAGTTTATTGCTGACCGCCTTGGATGTCTTCGACGCTAAAACTGTCAAACTCATAGCCTCGAAAGCAAAGCCTTCTACGATTCCAACACCACCATCAACACCCAGTGAAGGTGGACAGTCGATGGTCCGGTTCCCCTTGTTATCCTTGGCACCTCCTGAGGAAGAGGAACTCGAATTAAGGCTCAAAGAGAACTTGGGTATTTCTTACGACGAAGTAGAGGATGCGTACCCTTGCCACCCTGTACATGAGGGGCTTCTCATCACTCAGTCGTTGAATACATATAAGTACCGGTCATATACCATATGGGAAGTGACTTCAAAAGTTCCCCAGTGTTCCATATGGCCAATGCGCTTGGTAAAAGCTTGGACAGACATTGTAAGGCGCCACCCAGCCCTGAGAACCATTTTGGTTAATCGCGGAACCAACGGCCAAGGGAAAACACATATCGTGCGGAAGGTGATAAATACTGACCTCCACGTTCTGTCATGTACTGATAACGAAATTATGGACATATTGCGCAAGTCTTCCCTGAGTAATGAGGTGAGCAGTGCTCCTCCATATCAATTCACCCTGTGCCAAACCGATACTGGTAGGCTTTATTGTAAGCTCGAGGGTAGCGATGCCTTTCTAGACGCAGCTTCCCTCCTAATAATTTTACGGGAGTTGTCACAATCATACGAAGGACGGCTCTCTTTCTCTGCAGGTCCATTGTACAGTCAGGCCACTGCGTACTTCTGCGATGCCGTGAGGTTCAGAGGCCTGATAGACTACTGGAAAACCCAAATGCTCGATATGCAACCGTGCATATTTCCCCGACGCCAAAGTGACGAATTTCAGAGAGAACTTCGCACCATGAAAAGAGCAGCTACTGACAAAGCTTTGCTAGGTCGCTTTTGCCTTGAAAATGGGGTCACTATGAGCAATGTTTTTCAGACTGCCTGGGCTATGGTACTGCGGAAATACACAGGGTTGGACGACGTATGTTTTGGGACAGTTGTTTCGGGGCGGGATGTTCCTATTCCCGAAATCCACAATGTCGTTGGCTCTTTTTTCAATGTAATTGTTTGCCGATTACGTTTCACAGCGCAAGGCAGCTGCCGCGACGTTTTGGTAAGAAATCAGGCGGAGCACGGAACCAGGCTTCGAAATGGGAATTGCTCCCTGATAGATGTTTTGCAACTTTCCAAGTATTTCGGCAAACCGCTATTCAATACCTGCATATCGGTAGAACAGCCCTTGTCAAATGAAGACGAGAGCGAAATTTGCTTCAAAGAGGTAGAAACATATGAAGCGACAGAGGTAGGTCATGAACGTCATGTCAGACACAAGAAGCCAGGTTACTGACGCTGGAGATAGTATGACATTATTATCAATATATGCGTTGGGAAAAACACGGTCGAAGCAACATTCACGTATTGGGCTTCGGCATTGGAAGATTCCGAGATCATTACCGTTGCGGACGAATTTAGAGAATCTGTAGCACAAATTCTCCTTTTGGGAGAAGCAACCGAATAGTGTATTGCTTTGATAGCAAGGGAAATTCCAGATGTAGGGTGTGGAGTACGTAATAAACGTTTGATATTGAGCTCTGCCTGCGCGCGGGTTTAGCAGTCACTTCGGGACGAGCATGCAAATGGAAACGGCAGTAAAAATGACTTCAATGAGGTGCTTGGATCAACTTATTTACCGTGAGAAAAGCGCAAATAAGTCAGTAGAATTACTTACCTCAAACGTGTCAAGGCGACCTTGGATTAACGTCTGTAAGCTATCCGTAACAACTGCAAGCACATATTATTTATAGAGGTGCTTGAAATTTGAGAAAAGTTGATTAACCACAAAATGCTCTCTGTACGACCGGCGGCTGTCAGCACGATCAAGAAAGGTTGGTGAAATTCTTTAAGAAACTGAAAATCTTAAATCAATGAACATTTTTGCTTGGAGGATACGAAAACGTCTGACAGCCCAGCATTCTGCTAACCATGCTCCGCTGAAATGGCTAAACCAACGTCACAAGCTGCCGCAGGGAGCAGCAGAGGGATGGGGTTTCGGGGACCAAGTCCTTTTCACCAGAACGAATATAATTCTCTGGACGAGTTGACAATTTTCTCACAACGCGAAGTGTTGGATTTTGGAAGCTGCCATAAAAATCACTACAAATTCAAGCTGAAGCATGGTACATTCATTGGTGAGACTAAAGATCATGCCATATCATGCCAGGAGGCTTGTATGCTCTTCCTCCTAGTGATCGACATGCGTCGGAAGGTGGATCGGAAAAGGGCACCAGCGATCCATAGTCCTCACGGTCCAAGTAAAACAACATGTCCTCCTGAACAACGACACTGGTACAGGATATGTCAAGCAAGTATATTTTGGGTCCAATGGATTCGGCAAGCAACTGTAGAATATCGGTACCTTGAGCTGGAAAGGCTGGTCACTAATTTTCAGCGAAATGGCATTCAACCGCTTCGTTTAGGATCTCGATCCTCAGGGAAACGGGGGCTAAAAGTAAATTCCACTCACACCTGACCTGAGAGCCGCCAAAACCAGTGACAAGATGAAACACAAAGAAAGTTGATGGTCACCCTACTAGTAGTCAAAAATCCCACTGCACAAGTTCCAACGGTGATGTTATTTCTAGTTATGTTATTTCTAGTTGGCATGATGTTCGATTGAAGGCTTCAAATAAACGAGGACCAGTTGTGGGGCCAATCTCAGCCGCGCGCTACTTTCCCGCTAGACTGAAAAGGGGCAACAGCGGGAGGACAACTAGTTACCTAGTACTCTGGCGTCCACAACCATCCCCTCGAACATTCATACTACGTCTACTGATAGTTGTTGGCCAAGTGTGTTCTGGAAACAGATGCGGCCGTCTTTTTGACACCCCAAAATCCAAAGAAACTCAGCAAGCCGGGATTCAGCAAATTAGACGAGGAGAAATAACATAGAATCGGTGATAACAGCCAAAATTCCTATCTATTGGAGCTTTGTACGCGAAAATTTCTTAACCATATATCGACACCATTGGCTCCGGATTTCCCAGTGTGTCGAGTTATCCCACTGTTCTCGCACTTCTCAGGGCAGTCTTGCTCTGATAACCGTTTCGTCAAGCTGTTCATTTTTAAATGAGAGGAATGAACTTTACTTGCAATTGGGTGAGACAATGGAATTAGCTCTTCTCACTCGCCTCTCTCAGCCTGGTTGGCAATTTTCAGCTTTAGGTTGTACTAGCTCTTGTCTATTTGTCAGATACGGACATTGAAACGGCGGCATTAGCAATATGGGTCTAAGATTCCGGCATCACTCGCCCAAGGGTTTGCTGTTTACCTCTCTTCATTTACCTCTCTTCATAATGAACTCGTATGACCAACTTCCCTAATTCTCCATGATTGCATCTTTCCTTCCAGCCGATCAAATGCTCGTGTATGTCTTTTCTATCCCTGATGCACAAATATTTTCACTCTGTATTGTTATGTGCATCCTGACTATCTCCATTTAATTGATATCAGTTCGCATCATATTTCTCATATTACCCTTCTTACACCTTTCGATTCCGACCACCAAACCTAAGCACCCAAATATTCGTTTTACAATTGTATTCCTTCGAACCCCTCTCCATCAAAAGATTGATACTCCTGGCACTAACCGAATCCAACAAGGTCGCAAGACGAAGAGTTAAGGTGCAAAAATCCCAATAAAGGCCATGAGCGCTGCAGTGAGAGGCGCAGCATTTGTACTCGCCATAATAAATCCCAGAAAGATCTGTTCATGAACACATGTCAGATGTGGATCTCAATCGCCGTCAGCGATCAGGGGTTGAGAGGAGACCTCGCTCATACCGAAGCTACAGCTGTCCAACGGCTTGCCGTCCGTTGCGCTAATTAATAGGGATCTTCAATATATCTCCCTCTTTTCTCCCCTCCCTTTTTTGGTATCTATCCTTTTTTTTTCGTCTCCATTTTTCTCATGCGTATGACGAAATTTGGAGAGTGAGTCCCTCTAATCAAGCAGCCGGCTAGAGCGTGCGCGCATATACCAAATTGAATCCTGCAAATGCTTTGCTTCTAGCCTAGTCATAGCGAAGCTTTCGGCATCGATAGAATATACAAGGGTTGCTTTAACATTTGCCATCTCCAGTTCTCGTTATTGGAATAATCTACCCAACACCACGCCTGGAAGCATGGGTTCAGTGTATCCAGAGCGTATATTTTTCTATGAATGTAATCCGTAATATCAACGATGTAATGCATTGTTACACTAGTATAAAGGCCGACTTGCCTTTTTCAATTGAGACTTCCCAAAGCTAGCACAGGTGTCGAGACTCGATTTTTTTTTTTTTTTTTTTTTTTTTTTTTTTTTTTTTTCCGGAAAAAACATGTTCGTAAACAAAAATATTTGAGTTGTAGTATATCAAATAGTATATAACAAATATCTATTAAAAAATAAAAGAAAGAAAGAATCCGTAAGTAAGTATATAAATAAGAGAAGAATATTAAAGAGAATTGGCGCTGAAAAATTCAAATTTCGCTTATGCCTGTGAACCAAAACAGTCGTGCGTCTGCTTGATCAGTAATATTTACGTCATGAATGTGAATAAAGGTGCATCAAAAGAAATGGGAAGGAACCCTTGACGGCAAGATAAGAATCACACAGGTAGAATTAAGAAAATAAAGGGGAAAAGGAGAAGGTGGAAAACAAAATCCCAGACGAAAACCGAATCAACCCCGAACACGTCCTGAAACCCCAACCCAACAAATCACAACGAAAGGGAAATTGGCTCAATCATAAAGGAATCCTCAAAAAATCTCCAGATCCTCAAACTCCACAACCAGCCCGTCGGGTCCCGCGTCGTCGTCCATGGAACGATTTACGATGCCACTCCCGCCAGCCACAGCCCCTTGCCCTTGCTCCGGAGGCCCACCCTGGACGAAGCGATTCCCATTCCTCATTTCCCACGCACTATTGCTTATCGAAAAATTTGATGGACGACTAGCATATACGCCAACATGGACACTCTTGTCCTCAACACCCCAAAAGAACCACGTGACCTCGCGAAGCTTTCGCCAGGTATCACTCAACGCACCAGGTGTGCATGCATAAGGGGAGACGGCTGAAGGCAGCTGGTACCAGACCCAGAGTGAGTGGCCAACGCGCTCGAGCTTTATCCGCAGCGAGTTGATTGTTGTGGGTTGGTTAGGCGGTGCCAATGGTGATAGACACCAATCTGCACCATCCGCCGTAGCGCTCACGGAGGAAGCATTGACGGTTCCGGAGGAAAACTCCAGACCGGCCTTTACCCATTTGCAGGGAGTGTGCCGGGTTGGCTGCGGGTATGGAGGTGGTGCCGTTTGCTCTCGAGGTAGTTGGGCTGAGGGGATGACGTGTGTGTTATGAGTATTATTATCATTAACATTATTACGGCCAATATTTGAGGGTGGCAGTGCTTGTTGGGACGGTGCTGGGCCAGCGAATATAACCAGGCCGCCCTGATCCCATTCCATCTCCCAATCCGCCGTGACTGTCACTTCCGCAATAACGAATGGCTGCAACAGCGATGTGAACAAGATGGGAGCTGTCGAGGTGTCGCGGTCCGGTGGTTTGCGCCATAAATCAGTGTTAGGTGCTGCAGCCAGAGTAAAATAGTCCATGCGCTCCGGGCAGGAAAAATTTGGCGGCAGGTTCAGTGCCGTAAAACATGATCTGTCGGGGGGCATTGTTATAAACCCAATTGCAATTGTATTCGCAGAATTGATTTTTTATATCAAAGCGTCAATTCCCGGCACGTAATTTTCTCTTTTTACTTTCCCAGAGACCTTGACCTGTTTAATTTTAATATCGACTTGCCTAACAGGAGTTTTCCGGTTTCTCGAAGTGAAGCTCTGTTGCTCGAGTTGGGGGTACTGCTAGACCAGCGGAATGGCCAGTTGTCGTCGAGAACAGCGACCTTAGCGTTGCTACCTCCCCAGAGGGGAAATTGCAGTACGGGGTATCAACAACAGTAACTAAGGGCTCGGAAAGTTCTGTTCTGCGCGTGTGTTGGTAGGGCGAGTTGCTGCGCTATTGTGGCGGACGTAAAGCTTGTGAAAACAGAATTTTCTGCCACCCCCTGAAAAATAGTAGCAAAACACTGCAAAAATAACCAAAATATCCATGTATCTCTAGAATCATTCAAATATCATTCAATTCATTCAAATATGCATCTTTATCATCAAATACACATCTTTATCATCAAATTTGTCAATATGCTCTGCAACACTCACTGTTCTACTGTCTTATAAGCTTGTAAAAGAACTTCAACTACTTTACATTTTCATCTGCTAAAACTGTCTGTTCTGAATGTTCTAAATAATGATGAGAATTCAACTGATGATGAGAAGAAGAATAAGAAGAAGAAGAAGAAGAAGAAGAAAAAGAAGAAAATATAATCAGAAAATTTTTAATTTCTGTAAATATCTATTTCTAAATCTGAAATCTCATTCAGACTGTATGAATAAATGATTATCAATGAAATAAAGAAATCTATAAAGATCAAGTTACAAAATGTTACAATAAATGATATGACTGTCAATTTCTATCATATTCAATATACTGCAAAAAAATAACTAAAGAGTATGTTATGAAACAAAATTGTAAGAAGATAGAAATTACAAATTATATAATAATCATCTCATCAAATAAATATGAATCTTCAATTAAAATCATTTTTGAGAAGGAGACAGATTGAAGAAAGATTATCACTTTTTTAAAGAAATTAAATAAAAAGAAAATAAATAAATTTAATATCAAAACTATCATCTTTTTTAATTTTTTTAATGTTTCAATTTTATTTTCAAATATCTCTATAATACACAGTTCTGCAGCTTTCATTGAAGTGTTGAATTCATAATTAACAATTCAAACATTGATATGAAAAAAGAGTATTAAATGTTAAAAAAGAAGTAATTTTATCATTTATCAAATTCTTTCTCTATCATTCTGTTAAATTTTCTTGAATTTATAAAATATTTGATGATGAAAAACTGTCATCTGTATATACAAAATTCACAGCCACTAACTAGCAGCTGAAAAAGACTTGAAATTAACAGTTAAATGAGTGTGATTTTTTACAAATTGAGTGTGAGATAACTGCTCACTGACATTGTTAAAAGATGAATTGTTATAACTTTAAATAGAGTATTTGTTGAATAACTTTTAATGATACTCATATTCAACTTCTGAGTAATGAGATTATCAGTTGAATAGATGATATTGAATGTGAATATATAACAGTTAAAAATCTCTCAAGAAAAATAATAAAAAGATTAATAAATAAAAAAAAGAAGAAGAAATGAAAAAATGAATTTATTTCTGTTTTTAATTCATTTATATAAAGATTTCAGATATCAGTAATTATATTCTTTTTTTTAACTTTTTCTTCATTTAATATTATGTTTTCAAATGAGAAATCAATATGATGATGATGAAATATATGATGAAAGAAATGAGAGATATAAAAAAATTAAATTCAAATCTGTTGTTGAATTCAAATTTGTTATTAAATCTGAATCTGCTATCGAATTTAAATCTGCTGTCAAATCTGAATCTGTCTTCTATTTGAAGTAGTTCAATCTCTCAATTTGATGAACACATGAATCTGTTTATTGATGAGTTTTTCAACTGATTGATGATAGAGAGATCTCAAAGAACAGAAGCTCTTTTAACTGTAAAGAATATTATTCAAAATAAAAAATTTGAATTGAATCATATACAAACAATGACAAATGAGCAGATGATTCAGTTAAATATTGAAATGAATATATTTTCAATAATAAAAAATAGATTAAAAAATTTTATCTGACAATTATAATTGAAAAAGTTTAAATTGTATTTATTTATTATTTATGATGACAACAGCAGATCTCATACTGCTTCTGCTTCTGAATTTGAAATTTAGATATTACATATCATCATAATTGAATTGCAATTTAAATCTTTTTTAATTTTATAATATTATTTTATATGAACACAGTATAAATACCTTTTTATATCTTTTTTTTCATGAAGTTCTCCACTATATGATGTAAAAAAGTTTTAAAATATTCATTAAATTGATTCTTTAACTGACATTTGTATTTTCTAATTCATTCTCCGGGACGTTAAACCTATACATACATATATACATACATACAGACAATCTCATCATAATATGCAGTTAAATATATTTCAAAAAAGTTCTTCAAATCTGATAAAATATTCAATGTGATCTTTGATTTTATATTTTATGTTAAATGAAAACTTCTAGCAGTTTCAAAACAGTAAATATTTTGTTGAATTCAATATACAATGATCAGATGACATTCAATGATTCATACAATTTGAGCAGATATATAATCATTATTTAAAAGATGTTATAATAAGCGTACTTCAATTAACAATCTAGCATTATTTTAAATACAGATTATGAATTGATTATGAAAAGAAAAAGAAAAGAAATTAGAAAAAAAAATTATATGAAAAAGATTTTTATAAAGAGAAGATCAGAGTGAAAGAATATTTGAAGCCATTTCACAATGAAGTATGAAGCAGAAGAACATTAAAAATTACATAGAAAAATTATTAAAATTATATAAATGTGAAATGTGAGGTAAAAGAAATTATGTAGAAGAATTGTTAGACTACACAAATGCAGAATGCAATAATAGAGATGAATAAATGCAGAAAAGAAGTTGATTATATAAGTTAATTATTAATAAATGCTAATCTGTTATATTATTCCTCTTTACTGAAGTGAGTGATGACTTATAAACATTGAAGGCGGTGGTGTTCTTCATGGCAGACGCGGGTTCCCAACTCAGATGATCATATTCTACTCATTTAACAAAGTATTCATAACAGCAATGATTAGTTCTATCATCAAGAATTGCTTTGATCATTTATTCAAATTTGTTATCTTCTTTTATGATGATAGATGGCTGTCGGTTAAAGATTCTCTATGAGAGGAATAGATTCTCAGCTGCAGATTGGAGCAGATTTGTATGAAAGATATTATGAATGTCAAATGAAATATTGAGTTGATAATCATATGTGCTTAGAACCTTCATCATAGTAGATTTAATATGACAGTAATTTAATGTACATGAGAGGCAATTCATTCTTATATTCTTGAGATCTAATCAGATTTTGTTTTTTATATAATATTGAGTTGCAGAACTTCTTCTGATGTTCATTTAATTTTTATAATTTTGCTGAGCACTGATTATAAAAGCCTCTACTCATTCACAAATTTTTTTAAGCTTGCTCACAATGTTCTTTATTATTTGTATGAGACTGTGAGTGTACATAATTTCTTAAAAGTTCTCAGAGAAGTTCAGAACTTCTAAATTATATTCATGTAAAAGAAAGAATGAGTTGATATTTGTTGTGACAAAATCTCAGCTGTTAATTACAATTTTAATATATGACAGCAGATGGCTTCAATTGTTTTGTGTGTAATTGCAGAATTTATGAAGAATGTTTTTTATTGTTTATATCATTCTCTCTATAACTTCATCAATCTCTAAATGATATACTGTTGACACTCAATTCTTAGCAGCTGGCAAATGTGGGTTCAGAGTGCACTGACAAATTGACTGCTTATATCTGATACAATGAATGAAAATGTAAGAGATAGGTTATAGAAATAGTTATAAGAGTAATGTAAAGTATGCATAATGAATATTTAAAAGATAGTAATCTCTATCATTCAAAGTTAATCACTGATCTTCTCTATCTACAGATACTAGCGAGCATTATATAGACAATGTTGCCACCACACTACATTCAAATTTCTGTCTTTCTTCTGATGTTAGAAGCACAGACAGCTTTCTGATCAACTGAGAGAGGTATCCCTCTCTGCTCACTATAAAGCCTTCCAGGCACGGCAGCGGCGGTCCCCTCAGGGAACCACACTATAGCCCCACCATGAATGGCCATACGTCGGGCCAGAAGTGGATGCGCAGCTCAGAAAAATCCTTTGCAATGAGCTGAGTCTTCTCAAGAGTTGCCACCTGGATTCTGTTTTCTCTCTCTGTGTACATAGAAATCTCTCCAGCGTAGCACGTCTCCATGCCCTTCGGGAGGCTTCTGAAACACGGGCGCTGCCAGTGTTTTCTCCGGGACGTTAAACCTATACATACATACATACAAACTTTCATCTGAATATGAGATTTAAAATTTAACTGAGAATCTAACCAGATATCAAGCCATCTAACTGAGCTTTTTGGTTTAACTGAATGATTTAAAAGCTTAACTTCAGTATCTCTTTCTCTGAAATTTGGATAAAAGTGAATTAATTCAGTTTTATCCATATCAAAAACAATTTTTTTGATTTTGCTTTTTCAATCATTTCAGTTGCTGCTTGCTCAATCAAATTGCAATTATTTACAATTGATTCTGAGCTTACAACTAGACCCAAATCATCCACATAGCTTGGAGTTCTCACCATAATTGCCATTTGTCTATTAATAAATAGAAATTTGATAAATATAGTAAATAAAATAGATGAGACTGGGGAACCCTGAGGAACTCCTACCTCAATATCTGTTATATCTTGTCTCATTCCATCAAAAAGCAACTGAATAGTTCTTTTTGACATGAAACAGACAACCCACTTAATGAGAGACTTTGGCATTCTCAGTTTTATCAAAGTTTTGATCATTTGAGAAAGTGAAACACAATCAAATGCACCTTTTATATCAATAAACATTGTAGTTGTAACCATTTTTTCATTCTTTGCAAGTTGAATATCATGAACTACAGAGAGAACTGCATCAATTGCTGAGTTTTGCTTTCTACTTCCCATCTGATCATCATATAATAAATCAGTAGTAGTAGATAGAAAAGACAGTCTAGTTGCAATTATCTTTTCCAAAATTTTTCCCAGATAATTCAGCAGAGATATCACTTTATAAGATTTAAAAATAGTTGGTTTTCTATTAGATTTTGACAGAATAACTCCAACACCATGCCTCCGGCACTTAGGATGATACCTATATTTCAAAAAATTTGAGAACAATTTAAAGAGCTCATCTTTTAATACTGTATAAAGCTCTTGAATTATTAAATGATTTATAGTATCAGCTCCTGCTGCTGTGACCTTTGAAGATGAAAAAATAGCTGTCTTTAATTCATCTTCAGTTAAGTCAGGCCATTCCCATTTCTTATCATGTTCATATTCATTATCTTCTTACAAAGAACAAACCTCAGTTGAATTATTTGATGATGGAAACAATATCTCATAAAAGCTTGACATTTATCTTCAAATGAGCTAGCTATAATTTCGTCATTCTGAAAATTATAAGTTAATGTTGGTAGCTTAGATATTGTTTTTGACTTTGTATATCTGAAAACTTTGAAAATCTCTTTTCCCTGAGCGTTTTCTAGAAAGTTATTCCAACAATCAGTCTTTGCTTTTTTAATTGTCGAGAAATAATCATTTCTAATATTCTTTAAATACTCAAATGAGGCAAGATCTTCTTTTCAATCTCTTTTAACTCTAGCTAAATATCTTCTTTTATTTGAAATCTCATCATTCCACCAAGGCTTAGAGAATTCAGAAACTCTTTTCAATGGAATGTAACTTTTTACACTTGGAAAAATAATCTCAGTGATTAAGTTTGCTCTTTCTTTAAGCATTTTGTCTGTAAGATTTGTATCTGATTTCTAATAAAGAATTTCTTTATTCTCTAATTTTAACTTTTCAATCATTCTTTTCACTTCTATCCACTGAGCTTTTTCAAAATTGTATTGATTTGAATATAATGGGTTTTAAACTATTTAATTACTATTGAATTCCATATTAACTTGAATTATCTCATGTCTAGTGGCAGCACCATTTGTTTTATTTGAGTCAACATACCAATTAAAATGTTTATTCTCATATAGATTCTTAGAGAAAAAAATATAAATCTATAATTGATTTCTGTCTTAAACCTGGCTTGTGAAAGGTGGGAATATCTTGCTCATTTATCAACTCTAGTTTGTTTAAAAGTGCCCATTCAACTAGTTATTCAGATCTAATTGACTGAGTTCTTTCTGAATTCCATCAAGAGTGATGAGCATTGAAATCCCCCATGATTATTGAGTTTTTTTCTAGTTTCAACTGCATTAAACATCTATCAAATGTCCAAGTTCTATTGTTTTCTCTCAGTGATCTTTCATTGTAGATATTGATTAATTGAATATTTTTAAACTGTTTTTTCATATCCACAATGTTACCAACAAGAATATCAGAGTCAGATATTCAATCATATCTCAGATTGAATTGAAATCTTGAATTTTTTCTAGCATAAATTGCTACTCTAACTCTAATATCTGTTTTCTCTGGTAGAAAACAATAGTACGCTGGATGAGATACACTATATTCTTGATCAGCATCATGTCTGAGTTCTTGAATAAGAACAAAGTCTGCTTTTTGCTCATAGCCAATTTGTAAACAGGAATAAAGGCATAGATTTGTTCTATCCACATTATTTTGAATAAATTTGATTTTTGTCGAGCTTTTAACATATTTTTGTTGTTTTTTTGATATTACATAAATATTAACAAGTATTTCTCTTTATTCAGAGTCAGATAACAGACTGAATCCATTATTCACAACTTCAACTGCTATCATATCCTGCATATGTATTCCACTGAACCATCTGCTCATTTGTCATTGTCTGTATATGATTTAGTTTAAATTTTTCATTCTGAATAATGCTCTTTACAGTTAAAAGAGCTTTTGCTCTTCAAGGTCTCTCTGTCATCAATCAATTGAAGAACTCACCAATAAACAGATTCATGTGTTCACCAAACTATTGAACTACTTTGAATAGAAGGCAGATTCGGATTCGATGGCAGGTTTGAATTCAATGACAGGTTCGGATTCGATGGCAGGTTTGAATTCAATGGCAGGTTCGGATTCAATGGCAAGTTTGAATTTGATGGCAAGTTTGAATTCGATGACAAGTTTGAATTCAGTCCTCCCATGCCTCCCATTCCTTCCATCATATATTTCATCACCATCACATTGATTATCTCACTTGAAGACATAATATTAGATGAAGAAGAAGTTGAGAGAGGAAATATAACTGCTGACATCTGAAATGTTTGTATAGAAGAATTAGAAGCAGAGATAGATTCACTTTTTTATTTTTTCTTCTTCTTTCTATTCATTAATCTTTTTGTTATTTTTTTTTGAGGGATTTTTAATTGTTGTATGTCCACATTCAACATCATTTATCCAACTGGCAATCTCACTACTCAGGAGTTGAATATGAGTATCATCAAAAGCTATTCAACAAATACCCTGCTCAAAGTTATGACAATTCATCTTTTAACAATATCAGTGAGCAGTTATCTCACGCTCAATCTGTAAAGAATCATACTCATTTGACCATTGATTTTGAGCCTTCTTCAGCTGCTGGCTATTGGCTGTGGATCTTGTACATGTAGGCGGCAGCTTTTTATCATCGGATATTTCATGAATTCAAAGGGATTTGACAGAATGATAAAGAGAGGATTTGGTAAAATCATAAAGAGAGGATTTGGTAAAATCATAAAGAGAGGATTTGACAAATGATGAGATTACTTCTTCTTTGACATCTAATGCTCTTTTTGATGCCAATTCCTGGGTTGTTAATTGGGAATCCGACACTTCAATGAAAGCTGCAGGACCGCGTATTACAGAGGTGTTTGAAAATAAAGTTGAAATATCAAGAAAATTAAAAAAGGTGGTAATCTCAATGCTAAATCCACTCATCTTCTTTTTATATAACTTTTTCAAAAGAGTGATAATCTCTCTTCAATCTGTCTCCTTCTCAAGCGTGATTTTGATTGAAGATTCATATTTGTTTGATGAGATGACTGCTATACAATTTGCAACTTCTGCAGTTCTGCTTCATAACATACTCTTCAGCTATGGATCTTTTTGCAGTATATTGGATACAATAAAAGCTGCTAGTCATATCATTTGTTGTGACATTCTGTAACTTGATCTTTATAGACTTCTTTATCCCATTGATAATCACCCATTCATACAGCCTGAATGAGACCTCAGGCTCAGAGGTAGATGTTCACAGAAATTGAGGATCTTCTGACTGTGTCTCCTCCTCCTCCTCCTTCTCCTCCTTCTTATCCTCCTTCTCATTATCAGTTGGATTCTCGTCGTTATCCGGAACATCCGGAACAGGCGGTTTGGGCAAATGAAGGTGCAGGGTAGTTGGAGTCCTTTTACAAGCTTGTGAGGCAGTAGAACAGTGGGTGTTGCGAGGCATATTGACAGATTTGATGATAAAGGTGTGTATTTGAATGAATTGGATGATATTTGAATGATTCTAGAGATAACCGTGCCATGCTTACTCACGGTTACATGGATATTTTGGTTATTTCTGCGGTGTTTTGCTACTATTTTTCAGGGGGTGGCAGAAAATTCTGTTTTCGCAAGCTTTACGTCCGCCACAATAGCCAACTCTGGCATCGTGGTTTCCGGTGATTTGTGCATTGCAGCCCTCAGTTGCAAACCCTCCAGCCCAGAACATTTTGGACAGGCCCAGCTGAGAGGAGTAGAACTGCGGTTGATACTGCAGGGTTAAGACTTCTCTCCGCCAAAATTCCATAGTTAGTTTCTGAAATAATATGATTTAAACATGTTTGTCATAGTTAACTATCCCCATCAAAAACCCTCAATGTGGTATCTTGTGGCTGGAGTTAGGGTGGTAAATAAATGGAACTTGAGCCGCGCTAAGCCACAACGGAAAATGCTTGAGCCTCATCATGCGGCTTGTCCATATCATGCTTCTCCCTTCATCCTTCCTCTAGAAACCACACAGCTTCGTTCTGGGGTCGTTTTATCTTCAGAAACAGCTGGCGGGATAAGACGAACCTATTTTAAGCTGGCAGCAATTCCCGTGGCAAGATGGTCTGTACGAAGTGCCAAAGGAAGCTCAAGAAAACCGAGCTCGCCACTCCAGCTGTCACACGAAAGAGTGATATATATTATGGCTCTCCGAGCAGCACCGTTGGTGGCGGTGGAGGTGCGAATAGTAAATCGTCTGCAACCCTAGGAAAAACTGGGATATCAAAAGTATGTCATTTCAATTTATTCCATGTGTCCACGGCTATCATCCCAGCCCTCACCCTGAAGGGATTGTGGATTGTCTGGTATTTGACGAGTTAGCCACATTCAATGCTTTACTCGTATCTACGCAAGTAACTACGTTGTAGGGGTTCAGCGTGGCTGAATTGATTGCGTGTTGGATTAGCCAACATTCCAACATCGACTTGTGCAGATGCCTTAGCCCTACGGATGGCCTCCCTTTCGCATACGCAACTTTAGAATCGTTTATCAGTTGATACATTCAGCCCTCCAAAAAAAAAAAAAAAAAAAAAAAAAAAAAAAAAAGAATCGTGAAGGCATCCACTAACTTCTCAGCAACAGAATAAACTCCTTAGCAGCAAGGCCAAAAACCCATATGCCGCCTACTCGAGTGCGTGCGAGTCGTGCAAAACCAAGACAGAGCAGGGCAGGAAATTCTGCCAACGATGCGCTTATACGAAGAACGGTATGTTTCCCCAACCTTTCTTGTTTCCCGGTGGTTGAAATGATGATAGTTTATTAATCAAACTCGTTGTAGCCTGCGCAATGTGCGGCAAAAGCCTAGCCGCCGCGGGTAAAAACTCGAAGGACCAGCCCGTCGTTCAGGCGCAGAAATTCAATTGTAAATGAGCGAAATATGTGCCCACCTTTCTCATTTAATGGCTAGTTTGTGTTCTTACCTGTCTGCTCTTATATCTATCTCTCATGTGGCTATGGAGAAGAACATGTGTATGTCTGATTTACCAAATTTTCGGCGAAGAATGTTTCTCTTTTGGTTTAGAAGAGGCTATAAGGAAGAGATTTCCCGGTGATGAATTCTCCCTTTGGATTCTTATCTTTATTTGCCCTGGGTTTGAGGTCGGAGTTAGGGTGGTGCGCGGCGTTTCTAATGGGAAGCTTGGGATATGTTTCTTGAAAGATTGTTATGTCATGTTAGTTAAATACATCCATTATATCAACTTTCCAAAAGTAGTGAATAAACTGGGGAAATAATTCACTGATGGAGATATTTTATAAGGATAGTAGGAGGGTTCTCAGCGAATCAATCCCACACCCCAAAATAGGAAAGATGTACAGCTTTGTTAAACGTCAAATTCCATGAATCTAGTAATTGTACAGACACAAATGAGAGAAGGGAAATCTTAGAGGAAGAAAGAAAAGCTCCAAAAATCAACCTGATCCAATTCTTTACCAGAGTGTAGTCCATACAACATTGCAGTGTACAGGGGGGAAATTATACAAGACCTCCACGGGGGCAATTCAAATCACAACTTCACCTACAAAACGTCATCTCTCCTCCAGCATATTCTTAATCGAACTCCAATACACCGGCAGCACATACTTTTGAATCTCATCCTTGGCCAACCACTTGAAATCGACAACGCCCAGGGTATTTTTCAACAGGTCTGCCTGGCCGGCCATGATTCTCCCCTTAAGGAAGAAGATTTTTTCGCCGCGAAATTCAGTCCCCGCTTCTGGATCACGTTTCGGTTTGCGGAGGTTGTAGACGTAGTGGCCGATCGGGTGGTAGCCAACCATCCAGGTATTCATGTTAGGGCCGGCGGAATCCAAGAGCGCACGTTCCGCTCCCTGTATTGATGTAAATGATATTACGTGGTTAGCTTGGAAAATATATTGATATCGTCCGGGGAAAGGTTGAGGCAGGAATTGCGATAATTCGCTGCCTTGAGACAAGCAGCGACAACGCATAGGACATAAAATGAGGATTAAAAAAAAAAAAAAAAAAAAAAAAAAAGGAAACGAAGAATTAGAACGAACCATTCTCAAACTCTCCTTCTCCTGCAGCTTCACACTCGGAAACATCCAGAATGCCTTCTCCCCATTCTTGACCTGCACCAACAAATACAACGTCCGATGCAACAGCCGATCCAAGCTTCTATGATCCCCTTTCTCATCCGCCTCCGTAACCCTCGGAAGCGGCCGCGGAACTTCATCTTTTTTCCCCTCCTTTTCATCCGTATCGGTAACAGCTCTTCCCTCCGCGTCCTTCACCAGTGCATTGATCTGGTGCTCCGGCTCCGACTCCACGGAGCCAACAAGCAACTCGTCATTCCATGCCTCACTCGAATACGCATTGTACCGCCCGATATCTCTCGAGGGCGTCAGCCGCTCTTTGATCTTGCGCTTCCAATCGACGTCTGCGGGTGTGTCACGCTTAAAATAAAAGTATTTCGTAAAGGGCAGTGCAAGACGGTCGTTTAGACGGCGTTGGTAGAAGTAGAACGCTTTCTCGAATGAGGTGAGTTCGCGGGTTAGGCGGGGCGGGCGGGAGAGGACGATTCCGGCTTTGATGTCGTATTTGGGTGTTAAGGTGGGCGAACTACTTTCGGTGTCTGATGGTGTGGTCTGAGGTGTCGCTGGAGCTTGAGCTGCGGGCTCAGCAGCAGTGGCATATCCGCGGCGACTGAGCGTTTCTTGACAGCTTCTGCACACAGCAGAATCAAATGTTGACGGTCCTAAAACAAATTAGCATCTGTTCCCAGACAAACTCAGGTTCCCCTTCGTAGATGGGGAAAAAAACAATATCACATACTCAACAGCGTTGCAAAACGCCTGGCACCATTGGTTCCCACAGACATCTCACTGCCAACAATGTAGACAGCAATTGCTCGTTGCTGTGTGGCCTGGCCTGCGTCCTGTCCTGTCCTGCCTACTGAGCCTGGAAAAAACGTCTCCAGCAAAACGTTCCTTAAACTCAAGTGCTGGCACGCTAGATCAATTATGGCTTAATCTACACACGTGATGTAACTAATATTTGCACATAAAATTTTCTGTGCCCGTTTTTGAAACATCTTCTCCTCATCTACAAAATATGGCACGAATCCTTATCATCAATTGCGTCGTTTTACTCCTCCATAGCTATTTGATCATTTAGCAGTGCCTAGAGAAAGATATTCCGTCATTGCGGTCAATTTTCGCTAGCGGTACCTTCGTCTTCTAAGGTGTACGGTTAGATAGCTACTGCATACAAAAATATGCCTTCCAGAACCAATGTATTCGGGATACATCAGTTCTTCTATTCACCCTCCCGATAATAATTTAAATATTGCATTCAAACATTTGTGTAATGCTTTAAAATGATCTAAACTCCTTGTGCAAATCGTTTTGAGTCGTGTCGCGCGAATTAGGCTCCCTTCTCTTAAAAAGATTACTTTAAGTCACAAATTTCTTCCAGTGTCCCAAAAACTCGAAGTTTGTTTCCGTAAGAATCCCAAAAATCATCGGAAAATGGAGGAATTAGTCTTGAATTTTGTCTCTTCCGTTGGCTCACGGCCTTCTCTCGAAGTTTTCGGAAAGGCGAATTGGAATCCAGAGATAGCAGCTGGCTTTTGAGAGTACCGTTTTCGCCATCAGCAGGTTGTTCGGAAAAGAGGGAGCGAATACGACAGACTTCGCTCTCTGTCCTCCAATCCACTGGTGCTTGTTTTGGCGTTGATTTATCCTTCCTAATCGGCGGTCTATTAAAAATTGACATCACCGACGTCGATGAGGAGAAGCTCTTGGAATCACTGCAATCTGGCTCATCTACGTCTATGAGTTTTTCACCTTTATTTTCAATGCGTTTTCTTATGCTTGAAGTTGTCTTCAGAGGCGCCCTTGGCCAACTATCAAGAACAATGGACTCAGTAATCGGAGGCGCGGAAGGGCTGGAAATAGTTCCTTCTCCCAACAACTCCGCAGCCAGCCTGATCAGAACCTTTGCTGTGAGCAAGCTATCGTAACCCGCTTCGTGGAGCGGCTTTTCGTCAGCATATTTATCATGTTCTGGATCGAGAACTAAATTGCACGCGGTTAGAAGATGCAATTCTCCATATGGGCTGTGTTAACGTACGTATTCTTGGAGTCCTCCTCTGCTCCAGTTTGTCGTTAATTTCTGTCAGGGACGACGAGGGTGTCATTGATGAACAATTGTGCGTTGCCATATATTTCGTGTCAATAACGAGGGGAAATAAAGCATGGATAGCGTTCTTGAAATCTTCGATGCGATCCGGAAGGTCCCCAATGAAGCATTTGTAAAAGTTAATGAGGTCAGTGAACAAGTTATGCCCAACCAACACAGGCTGCCTTGATTTTAATTTCAACTGTAAGTCGTCAGAGTAGCTCAACAAGGCGCTCGTGCTCGTGTTAACTGGAGCGGGATTTGAGATACAGCTAAGAAAAACCCTTGGGTCCATTGCAGAGAGGCCACCTCCAACCATGCCCTCAACAACCCACCGAAACCCCGTTTTTTGGATAACCCGCTCTCGAAGAGCTCGTGATTTATCAACACGTATGCTCTCCTCACGCTGTTTGTCGTATGGAATGATTTGTACGAATGTTTGTCGACCGATTGAGACGAGCGAAGGATACTCTACCCGAACCAGCTGATGTACCAAGCGTTTTTGGTAACTGTTTAGACTGAACCTCCAGCTTCCTAATGGGCTTTCTGTGTTTCCATTTTCTAGGGGACAAGGTTCCGGAATGTTGAGGTAGTCTTCCTTATCCTTTAAAGCCGTTAGCGATGACTTTCGAATGAATAGAACGATCATCTCCTTACTCCTGTCTCGTTAATCCAAGCGTCAATAAGACGGCGAACCTGGGTTAAAAAGGCTTGGGATTCTGGGTCCATGTCTTTGGGGTTGACATCCATAATTTTTGTGATACTATGCTCACTCTCTGCTAATTTCGCCATCGCTTGTTTTTCCTCGAGGCGCGACAGATATGGCAGCCCCTCTACAAACGGTGCTTCCATTCGGAATCCATTTTTCATCAAAAACTGGACAGCTTTGTTTATTCAGTAAAACCTCATTCATGGGTGGTGGAACAGTAAAATTTGCCAGTTGATATGGGGATACAAACCACGGCTTTGATACGACCATCGTCTTTCAACCCCTAATCTTTCGTCAAGCACGGGATTCAAGTGGAGGTTATAAGGCCGTAACACATAGGTTCCTATTATTCCTGTTTAGCATCAAACCCAAAGTTTGGTCAACTGCACACGATCACTCTGACCAGTCTCCGTGTCCTCCCTTGCAAAGGTCAAGCCAATTTGCAACACTTGATAGGTCTCAGCTGCATATTTAACTTCCTCGTATCTTTCCTGAAGAGTTTGTTTCTCTCCCCACAGATCGCTTCCGGGACTAGGGCCAGACTGTCTTGCGACGATTCCAGAAAACTCTAGGTCTAGGGCAACGAAAGTGGACTCGGCCAGGTCATTCAGTAGTCTAGGTAGGTGCTGGCTAAACGATTGCTTTGTCACATCCATATTTGATAAACACGCAGGTTCAGATATGGAAAATTGAGCAGATGGGACACAGAAAGTCAGGGAGAGTTGGGTTCCTCAGGGCTCACTCATGGATTAAAAGGGATGAGAAACCCAGGGGAAATGAAAGAGATTGAATGAAGAAATTTTTGAAAATGGAAGAAGCCAGTTTAGAACATGTCAGTCTGTGTGCAGCACCCAGGAGAGAAGCAACACAAACAAGAAATGGGGATTTTCCTCTTCCTATGTAAGAGAGGTTGTGATGATTTGGTATTGTCGCTGGTTAAGAAGTCGCCCAGCAGTGTGACCTCAGTTTCCCATCAGATCTAGCAGGAAGTGTGATAAAAAATCCTTTTGTCTGCACCACAATTGCAGGCGATCTTGGGCAGGAGACAATGGATTTGAATTCTCTTGTTGTGGTAACTTAAAAGACTAAAAATGCAGGCGCCAAGCGTGGATAAGTTACAGAGACCATTGTCCCAAATGTGTGTAGCTTCAGTCAAGCCGCCCTTGACAGAGAGCTCCTTACCATTGGGCTTCTTTGCTCTCTTCAAAGTTCAAACCACACGGTCTCTCGGTGATCGACTAGGTCAGTCGTACAGACGGTGAGCGAGAGCGAATGGGAAAATCTAGTCTCGCTGCGTTTGCTCACACCTATCCCCAGCAAGCTCCTACTGCGCAGACCAGATACCCCATCCAGATCAGAGGAAGTTGTGATATTGAAGTGCTTTACCGCTAGGCTAAACGGTGGATTCTCTAATTAGCTTTAAGCTCAATTCTCTTTCACGCCTTGAAGTCTATAACAGAAACAGAACTTGACAACTGGTGACTGAGAACACTGAGTTCAATCCGAGTTTTCATCAAGACAAATGCATGAACAACTCAACAAATATTAGACTCAGGAAAATTCCAAAATAAAATAAATTAGATAGATCTCTTTCACATATTAATTTGGAAAAGATTAGACCAGAAGTCGTAGAGTGAAGAGAGGAGATATGAAAGCTCCCCACTCTACAACAATAACTCCCCCCAAACCATCCAACTCCGTCAAGTTGAAAGGATTATGAGAGGTGTCAAAGTCTTTTGAATGAGGGTATTTGGTCGCCTAAATCGAAGAATTGGATTCGCTTAGTGGTTCGTGGTTTTCAAGCACCTCAGATGTAACTACGACAGATAGATTGAATGATTGAAGTTTTGTTCCCTATGACGAGGATCTCGTGATCCACATTTAGACCGAGGTACCGAGGATGCTGAGGCTCGGCCAGCCCAAGCAGGAGTTCTGCTCTGCAAGTCAACAAGGATTCTTGCTAATTTGCTACGTCTGACTGATCGACCCCGACAATCCGAAGTCTTGCATGATGGCAGAGAACAGCGTACATCACGCTTCGACGCCGCCACGATTGATGTCCTCCTCAATCTCCTCCCTCAGCTCCTCCCTATCCCTCTCATCCTCCAAACAAATATCCCAGGTTTACAAACAGTCCTCGGAGCTATTTCTCACTCGCCGATTACAAGAAGCGTTATCAGTTGTTGAACCCATCATCACTCCACCTTTGTCACAAGATAATCAAGAGGACGGCCTTGCTCCAATTGCTACAGCCTCGAGTAATCTCAAAAAAAAAGTTTGGACCCTGTACATCTCCATTCTCAATGCCATTGTCGAACTCGGCGCCGAAGAGGGGATAAAACGATTTGGTAAAAATGAATGGAAAACTTTGGCTTCCAAAGCCCGCGATGGTGAGCTCTGGAACATCGTCTCCCAGGTGGGATACGGAGGCAGGGATGGCTGCATAGATGCGGATGTCGTTTATAACATGTGAGTTCCGATCAAGGATGCAGTGCAGGGAGGCTTAATATTTTTTTTTTTTTATCTTGAACAGCGCTGACATGTCATTCGCCATTACCGTTCAGTGCTACTCTGCTCCTTACCCATGCACCATCGCAGAAGCTCAATCAGCAGCGCCTCGAACATTACATATCCTCCTCCAGTCAACCTAACCTTGACGTCGCAGCTCATGTGGAGAACTCACCGCCGCCCAGGAAGCGAAAATATGGAGCGTCGCATGCAAATGGGACAGATACGCCAAAGGACCTGTCGGCGCGGGTCCGGATATTAGAGCTCTTCACCCTGCATGTCCTCCCTCGGAACGACGAATGGGACTACGCTAAGGAGTTCATCAGCCTCTCTGAGATTCTGGACGACGAGCGGAAAGACGCCTTCCTGCAAACGTTGGAGAATCTACGAGAGGAAAGAAAGCAAGGTGAGCTACATGCTGCAGAGCTCCAGCGCGAGAAGGAGGCGGAATTCGAACGCCAGCGACAAGAGGCGGCAAAGAAGAAACTACCTACAGGGAAAAAGACGGCTACGGAGAAATCGCGTATCGCGAAAGTAACGAACGTCCATCGAAGAATGGGCAGCGAAGTCGACTACGGAATCGAGAATGAACTTCCAAATGCCGGCACTCCTTCGGGCAAAAGTCGAAATCTCAAACCTGCAAGAAAGGCCGTTAAGGCAGCTTCAGCCTCAGCGACTGAAGCGTCGAAACAGTCGAACCAGGCCATGGGGCGAATGCGCATGTTTGCCAGTTTACTGGTTGCGCTACTCAGGAACATGCGTCGCTACATGTCTGCGAATCCGCTATCATTTTTGCGTGCGCTCCTTATTGTTTTCGGTGTCCTTATCGCGCTTAGACGCGCAGATGTCCGAAACCGGCTCCGCAGAACCATGCATTCTGGATGGCAGAAAATTCGTGGCACTGTAGGCATGGGCGTTAAGGTTAGTTACATATAGCAAAGGGCATGATGTACTGTACATAGGTATTTTGTTTATAAAGTCTATATTTATATTTCCCCCCCGGTACGGCCATATTGAGTTCGGTGTATATAAGGAGATGGGTTCGTTGTTCATCATTTACCTGTTCTATTCCTTTGCATTTCTTTGGTTCATAATCTCCCCCTAGCCGGTTTTGCGGTCTGCATTTTTATATATAGGCTATAATTTCTACGATGATATCCAAATTGCTGAAAACCGGATAGGCGAATTACAAATATTACCCAATTTCAGTAAACGTACCAACCACCTTTTCTCCGCGCTCAACAACATTCTCAATAACATCAGCACAATCATGTAAGGTTTCTTGCATATCTTCACTCGTTCCACCCGCACCAGTACTCACACTCAAATCCCCCCGCTCACAACCTTGCTCCCTGCCCACGTCGACCAACGCCGCCGCTTCATCTCCACCCGCAGCCCGAGTCATCACCACATTTGACACAATAGTGGTCGGCAGGCATGCCAATATGATATACCCGGCCAACACGTGCCTATCAATCTTTTCCGCATGGTCCGTGGTGTCTACCAAACGCACCAGTCCGGTCATTATGGCCGGGATTACCAGAAACGAGATACCCTGAGTCTTGAGATGCAGGCGGAAATTCAGCAGGTGCTGGAGCAGTTTGTCCCTAGGGATGGAGAGACCGCTTATTTATCAGGAAAATCAGAGCCACCGCCCCATACAGGATAGTGTATTCTGATCTAGTGATGCCACCATGCTTGCCCACCTCCGGAAAGTAGTCTCCGGAAAGTAGTATGCGAGGGCACAGCCAATATCTAAGCCGATCAGGAGCCACTGGCGGAGAACAAATTTTGAAAATAGTGGTACAGAGGGAGTTTTTCTCTTCCCCTGGGGGCGTAGGAGAAAAATGCATTGGGGGTCCCATGGCTGGGCTATTTCAGAATATGTACGCCTCTCCGTTCTGCTTTCTCTAGAGAAAGTAAGTTGTCTTCTCTCACAGAACGACCACCTCTTGCCAGGAGGATACGATGTGTCTTTATACGCCCTTTTCGGCAGACTGGACTCACGGAAGGGGCATCTATAGGAAGTGGAGTAGAAGAGAGGGTAGACAGCTCTTTTCTCTCTCGTCGAATGCTTGGAAAGAGAAAAATACAAAAATAGAAACAAGAATTTGAGCTTGTGGGAGGTGGGAGGTGGGTGTTTTAGACCAGCCGCATTAAGCAGCGACTAGCGACTAGCGAGGGACAATCAGAAGTCGAGAGATACGCTGGATATTTGGCATTTGACCCTAACGTCCAAATCCCTTCCCTGCATTATCGAGAGCAGTTGAGAGTATCATAAATCTAGTATGGAAGGAAGGTGAAGATTGGTGGGAGCAGTTTAAGGTTTCCGGCTCCCAGCATCATCGACTTGGCAAAGGCGTTGATATTTTTCATAACGAGCATTCGGTCAGGGCTGTTTATATCACTTTGGCAAACGGTGCAGGTCGAGATGAGGATGGTTTCCTCCCTTCCTGTCCTCCATTTCTCCGTGCCGCTCATTATTCACAATGTGTTAAAACGGTAAGGATCAGGGCTTGAAAGCAGCTAGCTACAGGATTTGGGCCATAATTTTTCGTTTGCCTCACCCTACTCACTCAGATATACTAATATTTCTCTGTCCCTGTGTGTCTAGTCAGTGGGCGATTTGAAGACCGTTGGTGATTATCTGATTAGATTGTCTCCCCTATGTAGCATAGGGCTGCCGTAGTTACGGCTAGACTAGACTCATTGGTCACTCCATCTACTCCGTAGTTAACCCGAGACGCTGATGAGAGACACCATTGGATACCTCCTAATCAGATTCAAAAGCGTGAAGCCGTGTGTAACCAGTGGATATCAACGTAGTCCTTTTCACCCGCCTGGCTTTTCTGAAGAGGCTCAAACATGAGGGATCCGACCTATCCTTGAGATTAGTCATCCGACTCGGCAAAAGCCGTAACTAGCGCGAAAACCGAAAAACGTCACGCTTCCACGAGTTTCCCGCGAGTGGCCCGAGATTACCCACTTTCGGCCAATGCCCCGCAAAAGGAAGGGGAATCCATGCTGCCCGCACTAAACCCCATCGGTCAAACAAGCTGTGTCTGGGGATGGATGAAATCCCTTCCTTTTTGTGTTTTTCGTTGGCTGCCTCTTTGAAGGCATGTGAAAGAGGGGCGAGTAGCTACATCAACAGCTGGTCGTCTCTTTATGTATCATCCAAGGACCATCCTAGAAGACGGGTTAACGTTTCAAATGTTATTCCTGGGGGGAGATTAATGAGGGGCGTTTGCTTTCACATGTCTTTTCTGATCCCAACCTAAATTTCTGGAATGATTCGAATCAGGTGAGTTAGATCTGGGAACGGTCATGCAGGTCCAGCTTCGCGCCGCCATATTTCAAATGCCTGGGAGCTGCGACTTTTAGTTCGGCAGGACCTCGGGACTGGCGAGAGCCCTGAGATCGCCACGACCATGGCTTTCAACAGCCTCTGTGTAGGAAAAAAAACTGGCAATGCACTTGATCGATCCGTCATAGAGACAGCTGATTCAAAAAGGGAAGAAACCTCCAGGTACTTGTATGTACTAGTAGTCGGTAGCCCTGCTGTCGGGTGTTTAAGATAAGGGCTGTTTCGCCCTTCCGCCCTTCCGTTCGTCCATGGGCCCCTCACAGCGAAATACTCTCGCTTCCCGGTTGTTCAAGGCTATGTATTTTCCCTATACAAGATGCTTTCGGGAGTATTGAAACAGAAAAAAAAAAAAAGGTAGGGCTTACCCTTGTATTGCATCATTATTGGCCCCATCAATTGGATCTCCGTTTCCAAAAATTCCCGTCCTCGATATTTTTATGTGCTTGTTTCCGCACAACTCCCGTTCCTTGAAAAATCTTTATTGTGCCTAATCCAAAATAAAATAAAAACAAAAAATATCTTCCCTCGGCTTCTCTCATTTTTGACTTTCACCTGGGATTACGTTTTTCCCTCCTTTCCCTTTTGTCAATTGTATCGCCTAAACATTGAGATTGGAAACGACTGGGTTCGAAGATAAACAGTTCGCGGACTTTGAAACCGGCGCAATTCCTGCTTTACCTCTCTTCTCCTTCTTTCCCTCTAAACTCCTTCACATCATAATAACATGTCTGAAAAGAATGCAAACGGTCAAAATGGGAAAAAGCCCACCTCGGTGGCCACCAATTTAATTGGTTAGCTTGATAACCCCCTCTGTCCAAATGCTAGCCTGGGGCATTGCTGTGACTGACTGAGAGTATAGCGGGTGGTACGGCTGGAATGATGGAAGCGCTCGTGTGCCATCCTCTAGGTACGGAATTTTCCCTTTTTTTTTCTTTTTGTTTTTTTTTTTTTTTTTTCGGTCCGAGTCAAAGATAGGGTGTGCTGGGCACGGGCTCAATTTCTTATGGTTTAGATACTGTTAAGGTCCGAATGCAACTGTCGAAAAGAGCGCGGGCACCAGGGGTGAGTTCTTCGATACGGAAAACCACAAGTGCGGTTTTGAAACTGACGGAGTACGGGTGTAGGTAAAAGCTCGTGGATTCATTGCGACTGGGCGGGAAATCGTAAGGAGGGAGACAGCTCTCGGTTTATACAAGGGTCTCGGTGCTGTTTTGAGCGGAATAGTACCGAAGATGGCCATTCGATTCACATCGTATGGGTGGTATAAACAAGCGCTCACTAATAAAGAAACTGGGAAGCTTTCTGGCTCCGCGAACATGCTTGGTACGTTCGATCAAGGGAGCGTTTGATACGAGGATTTCTGCGTTTGTCCAGTTGAGCATAGCTTACAATTTATCTCTGAATTTAGCTGGTCTTGCCGCTGGGGTCACAGAAGCTGTCGCAGTCGTCACGCCCATGGAAGTGATCAAGATTCGTCTCCAGGCACAACAACATAGCCTAGCTGATCCTCTCGACACCCCTAAATACCGCAGCGCGCCACACGCTCTCCTCACCGTTGTCAGGGAAGAGGGTTTCGGCGCTCTCTACCGCGGCGTCTCCCTCACGGCCCTCCGACAAGGCACCAACCAAGCCGCCAACTTTACTGCGTACTCCGAACTGAAGGCGCTCCTTCAAAGATGGCAGCCCCAGTATTCAGGGAAGGAGCTCCCCAGTTACCAGACCATGGTTATTGGATTGATTTCCGGAGCTATGGGTCCCTTCTCGAACGCGCCCATTGATACGATAAAAACCCGTCTGCAGAAAACTCCAGCTGAGCCCGGCCAAACGGCCATTTCACGCATTACGTCTATTTCGACCGAGATGTTCAAGCACGAGGGCGCCAAGGCGTTCTATAAGGGTATCACGCCTCGTGTCATGCGTGTGGCACCAGGCCAGGCGGTAACCTTTACCGTGTACGAGTTTATCAAGGAGCGCCTCGAGCGGTCGCGCTGGTCAATTGTGGGCGGGAATAAGTATAATGAGTAACTTCAATACTTTGTGACTTGTTGTCACCCGTAGGTTGTCTGCACTGGGAATCGAGGAATATCATTGACAGCAAGTCGCTGTGGTGGAAGCTGCGTTTTTAGCCCTGACTTAGCATGTGGTGATTGGCTGCATTATTTCCGTTTGCGGGTGTTGGACTTTTTATTCGCGTGTTGGTTTCCTTCGATGTCACCTACCGTCTGTCGCTTTGGGATGTCCAATTTATGTTGTGGATATTAGCGATATTGTTGTTTTTCTGCCTGTTTCCATTTCCCTTAGTTGTATCTTGTTTCTCTTGTTTTCCCTTTCTTTCCCTGTTTGCTTTTTTCTGGAACTCAACAGTTTTTATTCCTGGATTGATAGACTTGTGGCATTGTTTATTTAGGCCGCAGCTTATTCTTCTCGCAGCCGATGTATGTACATTTGGGAGATTCGAAATGTTACTTTCATATTACCGATTCTCTGGGATCAATTCTATCATAGGTTTCTAGCTATTTTTAGCCCATATAAAGAAGCTGGAGAAGTGCTATGATAGGACATCATCAGGGTTCAAATCTCCACTATGAAAATAAAGCAACGGGTCTCGTAGCGAAGAACATATCCAGCCATCTCAGTAGAAAACTCTATGATTGAGAAATATCTCAAAATAACAAAACAATAAATAACTATGCCAGTACATAAATTCGGGATAGTTAAAGGATTGAAGTCGAGTTCCGTGGCACAGAAATAGATACACATATTTACTAGTTTGGGGCGCTGAGGCTGGGTTTAAATAGTTGACCAGCGCGTTTCTTCGCTTCCGGTACAACAAAACTACATCGAACACAAATTACAAGACAGCCTTCCGAGATTATAAGCGGTTACAAACATGCAGTCCGGAATATCAGGTATATATCCTCCCCTCTACATTTCATTATTCACGCTCTCCAAAAAGAAAAAAAAAAGAAAGAAAAAAGAAAAAACCCAAATTGCTGATGGGCCAACAACTATCTCCGCCTCCCCGCAGTCTCCCCTGAGCTACATAACGCCTTTGATGCCTTCATCGCAACCCCCTCCCACTTCTGTCTCCCCGTAACAATATCCTCCGAGAGTCTCGTCCCTCTGGACCCTATCGCTTTCCCTCCCCCCACTACTGATGATGACATCAAATTTTTCAACTCCCTACCCCTCCTTGCTCCGCACATCCAACCCAAAACCCCAATCTTCCTCATCCTCCGCCGCACCATCGTCTCCAACGCCCTCATAGCCGTCACGTATATCCCATCGACATCTCCCGTGCGTGCAAAGACTCTATTTGCTAGCACACGCGCAACTCTCGTACGCGAGCTTGGCAGCGAGAAATTCGATAGCACCATCTTTGCGGCGGATGCGGAGGAGGTTCTGGATGCTACGGTTTGGAAGGAGAGGGATGCGGATAGAAATGCGGCAACCGGAGGTGCTGCGGAAGATGGCGAAGCGGAGAGTAGGAGGGATGGTTTGATGGGGAAGGAGGAGAGGGAGTTGAATGAGGTTAGGAGGCAGGAGGAGCAAGCGAGGAGTATGGCCAGAAGGAGGGATGTGGGGATTGGAGGAACCATTGGACGTGGGAATGGGGAAGGGGAGAGTGAGCTGCACATTGGGATTGGAGATGGGGTGAAAGAGGCTTTGCAGCGGGAGCGGGCTAACGGCTCAGTTATTCGGCTGGTGAGTTTGTGTGCGCTCTTTGCGCCCGTGGTGGGCTTTACCACTTCGTGGAGTCGAGATATATGATGAGTTGGAAATTACTTGCCATACGCTAATCTAATGTGTGCCTTGTGCTACCATATCTAGACTATTGACGTGGCAACCGAGACTCTCACTCTAATTTCCACCGAGTTGGATGTCGAACCTGGTTCTCTTGCAAGCTTGATCTCAGATTCGAAGGCCCAGTACACGTTTTATCACTATCCGGACCCCAAAGCTGTTATCTTCATATACACCTGCCCATCTAGCTCTGTAATCAAGGAGCGCCTGTTACATGCCAGCTCGCGGAATGACGTGGTGAAACTTGCCGGTTTGCAGGGCCTAGAAGTTGCGCACAAGGTATCTTAAGACGCTTTATACTCCGTAGAAATGAAGAGTATTCCTTTGATGTGCAAATAGCTAACTCTAAGGTTTTGCGGAGTAGATTGAGGCATCGGAGCCCACAGATATCACGCCTGGAAGTCTTGCTGAACTAGTGAATCCACGAAAGGATGAAGCGCGAAAGGCATTTGCGAGGCCAAAGAGGCCCGGACGGTGAGCTGTGGTGTTTTGCCGTTTTCCAGGACTGGTCCAGGATGGCCTGATCACCGGTCCAAGGTATGGTTCCATTTTCAAGAATTACTGGGGCATTGCTAAGGTCAAAATGTCTCCGCTCTTCATTGATTTCCGGAATCCCTTATATATCGTATCCATTTGCGCATTCTCTATAAATCCCAAGACCATTTTGGTAGTTGTAAATCCCGCACCCTGAACGCCATCGCAAGCTCTATATTCCGTGGCGACTCATAACCCATAAAGAAAACGCGTAGTCACTGCATTAATTATGCACCTTTTTTTTCCCTTCATGCCCATCCTTACTGCGCCTCTCACGCGCCTCCACCACCATTCTATCCGTTCCCCACAAGAAATAACCAGTTTCATCATGTCAAAACCGAGCACACATGACAAAGAGACGACGCATCAAGATACCCCCGCCCGATGCTGTTTCCGTTGGAAGAACAAGTCCGTCCTAGAGCTACCCAAATTGATAATCTTCGGGCACCCATCGCGATCCTTCTCCAAGCGAGTACACTCGAAGCAATAAAATGCGTCACTGATGCCTTCGCCACCGCACACGATGCACTTATTTTGATAGTTGCCGAACGAGCACTCGTCGCAAATACGTACGAGAGTGGTAGGTCGCACGTAGGAGTCGCAGACGGGGCATTTGCCGTCACATTTATCGCAGAGGCGGCCGATGGCGATACCGGTCTGCTTGCGGCACATTACGAGATCGGGGTGGTGACGGGACATGGTTGTGGCGGTGGTAGTTTAGGATGTGGGACGCTCTGGGCTTCTCGTCGAGGGGGCGGGCGTGCCAAATTCAATGGCTTCTATTGCTAATTACAGGAAACAGCTGCTTCTCTTCTCGTGCTTTCACAGGATTTGGGAGGAGCGTGGTTTTCTTCTCGGGTTTGTTCTGAATCGACGCAGTTTGATGGAAATTGCTCATAGCCAGCAGAACACACAATTTGGCAATATCTTTTGGTTAGATTGCAGCAGATATTTGATAAGGTTGTGTTTCGGATATAATTAAACAGAACAAATCATCCGGGTTTGTTCTTAAATAAATATGTTGAGATACTCAAAGACCCTCAAGAGCTTGGGAGATTCTCTGAGAAGATTTGTAATCTCAATGGTATAATACGCTATACCCGATTAATTCTAGTTCCCAAAGTTTCCGTCCAAGTCTCCATTCTGAGGTATATCCGCATATCAGGAACTTAGCCCACGTTTAGACAAAATCTTCATTGTTTTTGGTCCTTTTTATTTAGTGAACTTGTCTTTTATTTGAGATCCATGTGACATTCCGCTTATTATACCGAACAGCTTAATGATGTCGGACGGGTAAGTAACTCTCTCCAGCAACACGGCCCATGGAGCTAACATGATAATTTTTGTCCCAGAACCATCGCATCGGCCGTTGCACTTCCCGAACAGGAAGAACGTCCGGATAGCAGGCTAAAGCGCCGCCAGTCCCTGGCTGATGACAATAAGAACAAGCGTCGCCGGTTGAGCGATAACCTCAGCCAGCCTGAATCCGGGGAGAACAAACCATCCTCCCTCGCAGCCACTACATCTGAGACCATCAACAATGCCACAGACCAAAGGGAATCCCGACGGAAAAATGGTGCAGCAGAGGAGCGCAAGCGTGGCCAAAGATTGTTTGGCGCGCTGCTGGGTACACTCTCACAGAGCTCACCTACAGCAGCACAGAAACGTCGCGCCGATATCGAGAAGAAACAGCAGGCAAAGCTCCGTATGCAAGAGGAAGAATACAATGAACTGACACGGAGGAAGCGAGAAGATCTATTGGCAATGCGGAGGAAGCAGCAGAGAATTTATGATGCGCAATCAGTATGTTGATCGCTCCAGCTAACCGGCAGTCGTTGGAGTTAAATTATCAGATAGATTAATGTTTTTTTTGGTCACTTTAGATGCGTCTTCGACATTCGAACCAGCTAGCTATGGCCCATTTCCTCAAAACAACAGCTGAACCGGTCCTCGTACGTATACAAAGCTATCTCAACAGACTCATGGTGTACCTAAATTCTGCTAACACTTAACTATTAGTACTATAAGCCGTGGGAACTTCGACCTGAGGAGGAAGATAAGATTAAGAAGCAAATCGAAGATTGCAAAGTGGCCATTGCAAGGGAGGTTGAGGATTTTGAAGCTAAAAATCCACCATCGCCATCTCGTCCTGTCCCAGAACGAGATGATGATCAGGCAACCGCTGCAGATGAAATAAACTCAGTCGCCCTTCCAGGGACTTACACAATTTCTGATTCTCAGGACACAGTACAAAAGTTCGATACGGTGGGTGCTGACACTAATAGTAATCACAACCCTCCTCAACTTGAACATAAGGCTGAGCCAACCACCACTACTGAAATTGAATCCCTCAAACCTCCCCTTCCCCTAACTGCCCCGGCTACGTCTGATCTTCCCACTGTTTCTGATGCTACTAACGAAACCTCCACATCTCCTTCTAAAACTCACATTGATCACCCATCCACAGCTGACGCTAGCCACCATCAGAAGTCAACTGAAGATGACTCCGGGGAAGTCATACTTGAAGATAAGGAGGATACTGTTATATATTAGAATCAATCTGCTTCGACTTTCTCTGGCAGCGTATCCGTTCAATCTTCAACTTTTCGCATTGTTCCCCATCCAGCCCCTTGTTTCTCCCTACTTTCTCTCTTTCAGTTCGTCTCTATTCCCATCATCTTATAAAAGGAGCAACTTGGACCCCTGAATTACACCCTTTTATTCCCCAGTTGCGTCTCCGCCCCTTTCTGTTCCAATTTACTCTTTACTTTTTATTTCCAGTCATTTAAACGCGCAGCGTTACGCCCATTATTTCTGCCCACCCAAGGATACTTCCTGAATGTATACCAGCGCAAGTGTTTGAGAGCGGCTTATTTTTATCACAGATTTGCTAGGGTAAGCCTTAGTGTATGGTGTGATGTAAATTGAAGACTATGTGAGCAGGAGGGTGAAATGATGACCGAATTTCTTGAAAACCCATCTTCTTGGAACATGGGGTTGGAATGAATGAATGGCTTTATATTTTTATACACATCCCCCAGCTACGGCTTATGTTGATAGGTGATTTTCGGTGAGCCATATGGAATCGCTTTCGCTCTCCCGATATCGGACGAGGGCAGATGATTCAAGCACACGATCTAACGCTTTCGACCCATTCCTCTAACTTGCGCAATACCGGGTTTGTCTGGTCAGCATCCCGCAAATATGGCAGGTTCTGTCGGTAGATTCAGTGCCGTTGACATGGACTCTTGACCTGGAGTTATGGCAATTCAAAGTATAGAATAAGATGAGGAGAAGGGTGAAGAAGAAGAGTAGGGACAAAACTGGGGAATCGGGAAACCAGATGGCAGATTCGCCGCACAGGAGGAATGCTCGGGTTGATATTGATATGCACAATTAACAGCTTGTCAATAATTCGTGTTGGGCAGGTTTTCGACAGATACGGAGAGGTCAGGCTGGCGAACGACAGGACCAATATTTCTTGATAGAAATGAGTCTCTGCAATATTTTGAATGAGCTTTTGGGCCGTCCACGGCATGGTTTCGAATCTTAGGTGTTGTTGGGCCTCAGGAACAATGGAGCTGGGGCTGTCTTAGTAAGGTTTAGCGTTCCTGCACGATCCATTGCATAAGCTTGTCTGATAGTTACCGGGTGTATATTATGATGGCGCGTTGTGTTGGAACTTCAGCTTTGGTGGCAGCAGCCACGGATATGGAGTTGTTCGTAGGCCCAAAGAAACTAAGGACGATACAATTAACAGCATATATATATATGCATCTATCGTAAAGTAGATAAACGAAAATGTCATACAAATAAGCAATCCCATTTTACGCCTCCAAAACATTCATCTGAATCGTGATCCCAACCTTATCCAAGCGATCAATATACTCCTGCCCTAGCATCGCAGGTGTCAGATACCCACCTTTTAATTCCCGTGGCATCCTCTCACTCGTCAACAAAACCATAGCCGCCTCCGCAAGCAACACTCCCGTCATTCCATAAGCATCGCAATTTGCCTTGTACGTCCCCAGTACTTTGATAGGTTTCCCTTCAGCAGACCTCTCTTCGGCCGTTGCGATCGCTCGATACTCAATTCTGTTTTCCGTAGTTCTCCGCTTTTCCGGCCCGTCGCCTGGTGCGTAGATGAGTTTCCTCACCAGCCAACGCACGGGTAGTAATGTGAGCGCCAGCACTCCAAATATGGTTGAAATGTGCAAGATGATTCCGACCAGGGCATTGCGAACGGCCGCAAAAGACTCGAAGTGGAAGTGCGGCCCGTACAGCTCGGGCATTAGGGAGCTGCTACGGTGAACGACGGCGACGTCGCAATGGCCGGTGATGTAGCTGGTCATCGTGCCTAGCTCAGGCACGACGCGGACACCAAGTACTTGTTGAAGAAGAGGGGCCGAATATTTTCTTTTGTGTTGGCTGGCGGATAGGTAATAAGGGTCCTGTGCCTTGTATAATTCCTTCAGGGGCACTTTGTCCACCAGTCCTATGAGGGTTGAGAAGGTTCCGCCACTCACGCCTGCGGTTCTATAAGGACCAAAATTTTTTAGTAGGGCTACTACAATTCTCATAATATTTTCCCTATACAAGTGGGAAAGGAGTAGCATGGTGGTAATTGCTTACTTCAGCTGATAAATAGAACTAATGACTTCCTTGGTGTGGACAGAGAATTTGTCATTGACATATTTGACCAGTGCCCAGGTTAGTAGATCTGTGGGGGCGCATTCCAATCCGTCTGCTGATATTATCTGATGAACAGGTAGTAAGTCAGCAATAAAAATCACACATACCCCCATGATTTATATATATGCCAGCTTATCACTCACTATTGCACCTGTCTCCTTAGCTTTCTCGTGGTATTTCCCGATCATCTCTCTAACCCACGGCATCTCGCCGGTCCTATGGATCAGAATCTCCGGTAAGTATTTTGAACTGGTAAGTAGAAGCTTTAGCGATCCTTACACATCAAAATAATGAGTACCATTGTTGGCACAAGCTTCCACAACTGGCGTCGAGTACAGATGGTACGGCCCGACACAGTTGAGAATCACTTTAGTCCGTTTAGCAAGTGAATCTAGCTCTACAGGCCGAAGTTGCAAATCTACGATCTCTGCCAGTACCTCGGAGAATTAAATTAGTAATCAATTATATAAAGAAACCGCCCGCAGGGGTGAAGGTATAGTGGAGAAGAGAAGAGGCTTGAAGACGAACCTGGTCCTTTGCGCGCGGGATCAAGTTTTCGCAATTGCTCCCCAAGCACGCTGAGTTTCTCGATACACCGTCCAGCAATTGCCCATGTCAAGTTTGTGGGAAGATTCTGCACAATGTGCTCAGCGCAAAGCTTCCCCGTATATCCCGTTGCACCCAGAAGAACAATGTCGAAATGCCTTGGGGATGTCATGATTTTCTGCAACGAAAACTCTTGTTGCCATAACCATCCAAGACCAAATACTCCTTATCATTCGATATTATTTATTTATTTGTGGGGGGCAAATTTGGGCCAATCATCAAGAGTAGAACTGAATAACGCTGGGAATATTATTCGGGGAAAAGAAGTCCTTGCACACACTAGAAATATTAGTTATAAACGTAAATCTCAATACCACATCTACCCCAAACCTTGCCAACTGGTAACTTTGTACTAGTATTCCAACAAGCTGACCATAGATTTCTACCCTGCTCCCAGCGTGTGGCAAGGGCAGAAGGGAGCTAGAATAATAATATGGCTGAAGATGTTGCAAGCCGATCGGGTGGTATAAGAAAGCAAGAAATTTCTCGAAAGGCTCGTGGATTTGGGATTTTTCCGTGATTATGAAAGGAAAATTATCCTGATTATAAGTTATGATTGTGATTGTAATTTTTTTATCTCTTCATTAGTTGAACCTATCCAGGGTTAGGGTGCGGATATTTATCATGTGATATTTATTCACGTGATTTTATTTATCGCGCCAAGTCTCGGATTTTGACCTAAGCGAGCCCACAACCTTCAACGACTGTCATCACGCAACAGTCTGATTTCTTGTAGCCTCATACTTCCTCCTCTCCTTGCCCGCATATACACATCCAGCGCGACAAGATGACGAAGCGCACCAAGAGTACGTTTGCTAATCATGCTTATTAAACTGTCCGTTTTTCTAGATTTAATAACTAGGCTAATTTGATATTTTTATAGAGGTCGGTGTCACCGGTAAATATGGTACCAGGTACGATTCAATCCCATGGTCAAATACTACGATCTCCCGGCTTCCTCCTGTGGTGGGGTCGCTTTCATGTAGGAAGCGATATACATATGTGTTTCAGGGAATAATTACGGCAGAAGCTCTGGAAACATACAAAGGCGAGAATCAAGACGGAAAAAGTGCTGAACTGACGCAACAATATTTTTCTCGTTGCACAACAGATACGGTGCCTCGCTCCGAAAGCAAGTGAAGAAGATGGAAGTCTCCCAGCACGCCCGATACATCTGCACTTTCTGCGGCAAGAATAGTGTAAAACGCAAGGCCGTTGGTATCTGGGAGTGCCGGTCATGCTCAAAAGTCGTTGCTGGTGGTGCATGGACTGTCTCGTACGTTTACATTCCGTCGATTGCGCTCCATTCCTGGGCTCTATTGTCATTCCCTCCACCCAAGAGGTTTTGTCGAATAGATGTTGGGCTGACAAAAGGCGCTTTTTGGTTTTGACGCTGTGGTATTAGGACTCCTGCCGCAGCCACCATCCGATCGACCATTCGTCGTCTCCGGGAAATTGCGGAAGTTTAAAGATGACCGGAGGATGGGAGTTATTGAGTTGTGTTTCTATTTTTCATCTGTGGCCTTTTAGTGTTTCTTTTTAATGTTCCTTTTTTTTTTTTTTTTTTTTTTTTTTCTCGGATGAAATGACGGGAATTTGGGAGGTTGCAATTATGCAAATGAAAAAAGAATCTCGATGAGAATTTCACCAGTTTATATATTTTCTATTCGATTTCGCTGCGCGTACATTCTGCGAAACAAGAGATTCACATTCGGGTAAAGGAAACATTCGTTCCACCGCGTGAGACACTCGATTGATGGGTTTTTCACGGCTAACTGATCGAAGTCTCCCGAGGCCGAGTAGAGAGAGAAAAGAAAAATCGAAATTTTGCATTTCTTCTTCCCAACCAGGTCCGAATTCGCTGATCGGCCACCCTTTCTCATGGTCGAAACACACATGGCAGGCGTTGTTCGGGCACTTGTACAACTTCAATATTCATGCCTCTGGCAGACCCTATCCATAATGATGATACCTATACTCCCAATTTCTTTATATACCACACACCGAGCACAGCCAATTTGAGACTTCCGCTTTACCACACAAGGCTTGACAAGCCCTGGCTAGCACGATTACCTTGCACTTCCGCTAACGCAATCATGAGGAAGGTGGCCAATGCACTGAAAAATATTGAAAAAGCGCTATTTTTCTTAGTCTGCCATGGGAGCGATGGAAAAGAGCAGCTCCCCTCATCCGCAGAGACAATCTGCTTCCGCAACCCATAAGAGCAAACGACGGGCAAACTCTTCCTCTATACCAATTGCCGAATCAGGATTTCCGGCCAAAATTAAGTCAGCCTGATTATCTTTCCCAATTTGCCAGGGGAAAGTTACATATATCGAGAATGGCCTTAAGGATAAGTGTTATTTAAAGAGTAGATCTTTCTTGGGTGACCTCCTAACTACGGTGGTTGGCATCTACACCACTCGCGTAGAAATCAATGCACGTCTTAGCTGGTATGGCTAGCATGATCAAAAGCCAAACAATACTAAATTAGGATATTTTGGGGGTGAGGTGGGCGGTGAAGAAATCATGCGCAAACCCTGAGCCAAGGAATCAACCTGGGATGGTGGTATTGGCAGGTGCTGAAACATGAAGGATCTAGTGACGTGGCTAAACTGCTCACGAGTAATAACGCACGCGCAGAATCAGCTCAGCTACTGTTCGACTAAAAGTATAACCTGGCTAGGATAGTTAAAATGCCCCGATAACTACAGAGTACTACGTACATAATGAAGAGACACACCCTCTATGACCCCCAATCATACCCGGCTTACAAAAGGTACATGGTGGGTGCATCCTCACCGGTTCGTGGCGCATATCACGTTGCTGCGCTAGTACCCCAATAGGCCTAGTTGGCTGCTTAGCCCAGGTTGAAAAGGCAACTCGTTCCCCCACAGCTTCCAGTTCTTTATCAACTTCATCCCATCTCCAGTACTTGAATATAACGGAAATTCAGCTCTTCATGCCGCCACAAAACCTCCTATCTATACATACGCTCTTCTATTCTCTCAATAATGCCAGACACTTGCATAGTGTGTCTAGGAGACCTTGGCGATGGCGCCAGCGAGCCTCCTTCTCTTCGTTCCGTCGTCGACGCCCTCCCGCCAAGACCTGTCAATAGTGACGAAGCTCCGGTGCTAGAGGTTGTGGTGAAATCCCCACAGATGGACTTGGACCCTGATTCGGGGAAAATTGCCCATCTTCTTCCTTGTGGTCATAATCTTCATGACGACTGTCTAAAACCTTGGGTAGAGAGGGCGAATAGCTGCCCCATATGCCGGCAAAACTTCAATATGGTGGAGCTAACGCATACTGTTGGAGGTAAGTGGTGAATTTTTCGTCAAGAGGTCTTCACCTTTGTTATACAAGTGAATTTGTCACTCTCCAGCTGGGACTTGAAATTTCTAACCCTTCTACGTTGTGTTGTATTATTTTAAACAGGTCCCGTTGTTTCGACATATTGTGTCCAGGACCGTGTGCAGGTTGCGGAGATTGACCCCTCGATGATAATGGACGATCTCGGAGATGAGTCCGATTCACAACCATGTCCAATTTGTGGATACAGTGATAATGAAGACGTCCTTCTCCTCTGCGATGGTTGTGATGTTGCCATCCATACCTACTGTGTCGGACTGGATTCCGTCCCCTCCGGCCCATGGCACTGTTCCCAATGCGAAACACAACGGCCTATCTCAGCGGTAGGCCAACGTATACCGAATCGGTCCGGCCGCCGCACCCGCAGTGATCAGAGGAGAACGCGCAGTCGGAATCAGATGCATGCATTTCATTGGGCCCGTGTTTGGCAAACTGTCTGGGATCACCTCAACCTAGATCTAGACTTTCCTTTCGACGACGAACAAGCGAACAGCCGCAGTGCTGAACAGCAAAGACGCGAAGCTAATAATCGCAGAGAATTTCGTGCTTGGGAACGTCGCTTTCAGATTGCTGAGCGCCAGGGGGCGGCTAACCGATTTAGAGATACTGCGTCAGCGCTTCTCGAAATCGGACGAGGTTGGCCCTCTAGACCTAGGCAAAGGGTTGAGACCCCAGAGCCCGAGTCCCTGGACGAAGTAAGGGCCTGGAACGCATTCGAAAGAGCAAGGGAAATACAGGACGATCCCTGCTCGAATCGTCGAAAACGCAAGTCCCCGACTGCTTCGCCCTTTGAACCACAGCCGCCACAGCCCGAGCGGAAATTGAAACGCCCCCGAACGAGACGGCCGGAAGCTCTTGCTGCTGACTTTCTTGATCACGGGGGTGAGTCTTCCAGATCTGGAAGATCAGCTAACGGTTCTGCTTCTTCTGGAAGCGTTCCCGCTGATAGCAATGCTAGTACGGGCCCAAGCTTTCTGCAATCCCTTCTCAAGGAGGTTGAGGACTCTTCTGCCCCGGGTTTGACGAACGGCTCGTTGAGATCAGCCGCTTTCTCGTCGACACGAGGAGATTCGAACTCCCCAAGACCATCATCCCCGACGCAGTCGTCCCTCTCCTCCAATCGCTCCTCACCTCGGCCGTCATTTTCCACACCACCTTCGTATAACAGCAGCAACAGACCAGCCACACCCACCGCAATATCTGATTCATCTTATTCCTCTCCCGAATTTTCACCCTCGTGTTTTCCTAACCAAGAAGAACCAGGGACCGCAGAACAACCTCGGCTGCCCCGCCAAATGGACCGAACGCGGCGAGCCGGCTACAGCTCATCGACATCTCCATCACGCTCGCTATCCGATGAATCATCTCCAACACGTTCCTCACTCTCGCTCTCGGTAAAATCAGATCTACAGAAAATGGTGAGCGCAGCTCTAAAACCTCATTACCGAAGCCGCGGTGTTTCAAAAGATGAGTACACAGATATAAATCGACGGATCTCACGATTTCTCTACGACAAAGTCGGTACTACCGTCGCACTAGATGTAGAATCGAAAACTAAATGGCAAGCTGTTGCCAAGGAGGAAGTAAACAGAGCCATCGCCAGGCTCAAGGAGTCTCGGGACTTGAATAAGGCGTGTGAGACAAGTGACATTGATCAGGTCTTTTCATGAACTCACGATGCATATCAACGATCCTTATGACGATCATATTCCCTGGGGCCCCGCATTTTTGCATCTTATATTTAGCGAGTTTTTTGTTTTTCCCTTTTGTCCTTTAACCCGGTTTAAAACCATATTGTCTTCGTACGTTGGAAAGTCAATACGCGCGGCTGATTTGTGTATTTCAACTCAAGACAGGCGACAAGGTTTCCCCGTGCGTGAGTCTGTCGTTTTTATGTCGTGGTTTAGAACTTGGCAGGACCTAGATTTTTTGCTTTTCATCACTCTGGCGTAGGTGGATATTTGTTCTGGGATGTTATTAAGGATAGATACCCTGTTTTCTTTGTGGTTGCCTTCTTTTTTGACTCCCTTTTGTCAATTTAATCCGACTCTTCTTCCCTCTACCCCTCTCTCTGCCCATATATTCCACTCTCCTCCCTCATCACTCGATACAAGCCCGCAATTGCACCTATATCTAGCATGATATAATGTGATATTTATTGCCAGACACATCGCTGACAAGCAATGGATACCACCAAAAGTGCCGTTGTCAGCCATTTTGTTCATACCACTCCTATTTCTCGCAGGTTTGCAAAATTAAACCGCCGGTTTTCTTATTGCTCATCGATTGGTCTTCCTATCGATGATATGGATATTTATCGATGGTATGAATATCTATTGATGATATGATTATCCAGCAATGATATGAAGCTCCAGACATATATGACGCTAATATCTAGTGATATCTCTCAGTATTATTCTTTATCTACGTTGTTCTCCAATATCCCATCTTAGTAGATGCGATGCACTTTCTTTATGCTTATGTAACTGGCTGTAGTGATCGTTCTCGTTGAGATAGTGTTGGAAGTCCTACACAACCTAGACTAGATATTTTGTTGGGGGTTTGGATTGGTTCGTTCCACTCTACTACCAGAATGGCGATGGTGGTGATCGAGCTCTTTTGTCCCAGTGGCCTAAGAGCTTTGAGGGGAGACAAAATGTTGCTTCATTTTGTGGCTGAAATGATGTCAACGTGTGATAATTTATATTTATGCAGTGGAGACTTGAATTCAACACTAGTTCACAGTTGGCTTAAAATCCCCTCTATTCTTATCCCTGAAATATCTGTCTTGCCTGCTCAATTTCCAATCAATTTCTATGAGAATAAACATCACCATCTACCTCTCAATGCTAGCTTAGTAGCTGACTATCTGTCTGCCTACCTGCTTGTCTATCTACTGATCTGCCTGAATGAATGATATCCACTGATGACATCTATCGATGACATCTACTAATGATATCTTTCAATGATATATCTATTTGATGATGTCTGCAGTGATATCTAGCAATGATATCTACAGATGATACATCGATGATGATATCTGCAATCATGTCTAATGATGATATCTGTGATGATATTGTTTAATAGCAACATAATGAATAATATGACTTCGCACTTTCGCTCCATCTTGCCCCAGCTGTATGTTTCATGAAGCTTCTGCTATAGAGTGTTGTGCCTGAGCTTTCCAACCCTTTTGGAGGAATTAAAGAGACCTTTATCTCTGGGATTTGCCCCTAGTATTTATCAAACCTAACTCTGCTCGTTGATAGCTATAGGTTGGCAGTAAAGTTGGGGTGGCGGATAACGCTGTGGCGGACCCTCGTTCACGAGGGTCTGACCAGAGGTTTTGAGATGAACGGTAGTTTACAGATCATAGGTCAAGTTCAGAGGGTTTAAAACCATTCACTGAATTCATCATCAAAGTTAACATTTTGTTCGTTTGACCTTTCGGGGTTCGAGGGTTGGGATAATTGTGGCGGAGAACCTTAATTTCAGTATTTCATGCCTCACCAAGGGACCTTATGTGGCAAGACCGGTTGAAGGGCACACTCTATCTGGGTCCTGCACTTCAAACTCGATCGATCGATCGTCAGGTCTTAATTATGATTTACTTTTAGTTACTTATTCTTAGATAGTAATACCTCTCTCTCTCTCTCTCTCTTTTTTTTTAATTCTCTTGCTATTACGTATATGCCATTCGTATTCCCTATTTCAATATCTATCTACAGATATAAATTGGTAGTAAAATCTATAAATAGAGTAATCAGAGTTCTAGGGCAAAGGGCTCAATCACCACCAGCGCCGTGGTGGTATAATACGAATCACCCAATCCAATCCCCCCAACAGTTATCCTCCCACATAGATATCAATGTATCATATAATCATCAGAATGGAATCAAATTTCAGTCAAAATTATGATCAGACTCAGATCATGTTCTTATTTTTGATAGTCAGCCCATGGCGTAGTGGTAAGCGCTGTTCATGGAATGCTTTCTCAAGTAGGCACTTGGTGTTGGGGCCACCTCTGCTGAGACAAGAAGTGGGTTTGAATCCCACCTTCTCCAAAAAGGATATTATCACATCTTGGTGGATATTGGAGGTATCCTTTCTTATCTCATATCTATTGGTAACTGCCACTGCAGGGTGGAGCAATGTTCAACACTATGTATATAGTCTAGATGGATTCAGTATCCCCTCGTCGGTAGGTTTTGTGCAAATTAGCGTGGTTTCGATAGTGTATATTATACGAGATCTTATTGAGCAGCTAAGGTATTTTTCGGTATTACTTGGTATTAGTGTATTTTATAAACCCTAATTAAGGATTCGTGCTGTCACTGCCAGATTGGGCCATCTCATGAAATTCCTCCCAACATCGAGTTTTCAAACAGAGAGGTGTATTTTGACAAGCTGAGCAATCAGAATTTGATTGACCTGCTCTTAATCCTTTCTGCTGTCCTATCTTTCATTTATACTGACACCAGGCACAAACTAGGTGTTTTGGCAGTGAAATTCGTTGGTGATTTAGATCTCTATTTGATCATTCGATAGGGAGGTTGTCATGAATCTTAGGTGCAAATTCAAAGAGCTGTTGATAAAGCTTCTCATAAAAGCTTATATGAGAAGGCAGATCCTTCTTAGGGACTCCCTGCTGCTTCTTATATAAGTAGTAAAGCCGGTAGGCATCAACCGCCGCAGAGTCAATAAGCCAGTAGAAAAATAGGGAGCCAGGTCCGATAGGTAATTCTATGGCTAGTATATGCCGCACGGTACTGATTTGCTAGGTCCACCCCATTCATATTATGATTGTAGTCATCTATCATGACTGGGATTTTCAGCTTCTTCTGTGGCTGACCTTCAAAGACCTTTCGTACAATATTGGCATTGGTTGAGAGCTCTCCAGACCGCTTTCGAATACGTTCAATAAAGGTGTCAAGCGAATGAATGGTGCTTAGTGCTAATACCATATTATTATCTTGCCATGCAAGACAGAGAACCTTCTCTTGTTCAATAGCATATAGAGTATTCCATGGAATAGCTGCTGTATAATCTCTAAGCTCTGCGAGAACTGCCGGAGCCTGATTTGAATGAGTAGTTCCACATGCACCATATCCCTTTTCACGTAGGAATTTGAATAGTGCAACAGATGTAAAGTAATTATCTAGATAAACTGAGTAAGGAGTTACCTGCTGAGTGATAGAGAATTCAGTGATCAGCTCTATAAGTGACTCTGTAGGCAGCTCTGTGAGCAGCTCTGTGGGCGGCTCTGTGGGCGGCTCTGTGGGCGGCTTCGTGGGCGGCATAGAGATAGTGGGAAGCCATTGAAGGAGATTCACCACCATAGATCCCATCTTTGTTAACCCTGGGAATTGAAACATAGGCATTATACTCTGCCGGCGGCTTGATCAGAAAAAAGATCATAAATAGCCGTGTTCTGCTAGGCCAAATATCTTATATCCCCGAGGAATTGGCTTGGAAGGCATTTTGTAGGTGTGTTGACTCCGTCCAAAACATTTAATCATTATCTCATCTATTGAAATCTTAGAGCCAGGGGTGTAGTATTTTCAGCATGCTGTATGAAATTCAGTAGCTAACGGCTCTACCTTATACCACCAGTCCTTATTTTGAGCCTCGGGCCGACGGGCTTCACGGGGGTTTGATATATGAATATATCGTTTAAGCTGTTGGAATCGCGTATGGCTCATATGGGATTGAATGGAATGAATAGAGCCCTGTTTCAGGTCATTCCGCCAGTATAGATCAGTCCGTTGGGATTTATGGACTTCCATATAGAGAAGAAGGTCTATAAAAACCTTTATCTCTGCTGGATTGATCTTTTTCCATTCTCGTGGCTGAATAATAGAAGTAGAAATAGAAGATGTTTCCACTATTATTTTCTCTGTTTCTATCTCCATCTCCACATCTGAGAACTTTGGAGCTTCATTATCAGTATCTCCATTCTCTTTCTTTAGTTTTGCATAGAGATTTGTTGAATTGCTGATCTGTTGAAAGCATTCCTCACTGAAAAACAAGGTAAACAGGGCATAGGGACTCTCAATATTAATATCTATAGAAAGGTTGAGAACTGGGCCTTGTGAAGTAGGTTGCATAGAAAGGAATTTAACTGATTCTAGTATGGAATCTCAGCAATGACCTTCTCAATAGGTCTCTTTCATTTTTTAGGTGTTTTTGTATGAGCTGGAGAATCAATTAGTTATCTAGGTCATAAGGATTGATTAATATAAGGAAATTACCTTTGGATTTGGCAGGTGTTTCAGCGGATTCCATGTTTGCAGGTGGATATCATGAAGAGAGGCCTGTAGGGAGGCCTGTAGGTAGGATTTCATTGCGTTGAATTTCATACACGATTTGAATGCTTGGCTGAGAAACGCGCATCAGTGGATTTCAATAGCCAATAGCTGCTCATATAAAATTCTATGGGATTCTATTGGCCATGCCAAGGCGCCGGTGCAAATTTCCATACGACTAATTGAAACCACGCTAATTTGCACAAAACCTACCGACGAAGGGATAGTGTGGGATTCTAAGATGTGTGTAGCTTACATGATCCCCCTCGTCTGGCCGCGAGGACACAATTAGCGTATTACTATTAGTGTAACAACTAAGCTGTTAGCTCTGAAGTACCAACCAATAATTTCTCATACTAAATTCTATGTAATCTGATTTGTTGATACCACTCCACTATCTCGCGTTTTCTGCTCTACGCGTTCTACAACCTTGGAATCTTCTCATCTTGATCCATATTCATATCCACCGTGGATGCGATCACCCCCTGCCCACCCTGGGATAGAAATATGACCTCTACAGGTGATTTCCAATTCTTCAATGCTTCTTTTAATCAATCAGATTGACTGATTTATTTATTAGAAAGTACAAAAACAGGTGTAAAGCGAAAGCGATCTGTCAGTGCACTTCTAGCAGACATTCCACCTCTGAAGAGTATTAGATTCAAATCCATGGAATCTCCTCATCGCTCTCCAACTGCCAATCTGCCCAATATTGATCCGCGGAATCCATACACCCTATTCTCTCTCTATATCTCAGAGTCTGATATTCAGAATATTGCCTGTTCCACCAATGCCTACGCGGAGATACAGATATCAAGGAATTCAGCCATTCAGCTATCAATCCACGGGAATGGCAGCCAACTACTTCTACAGAAATCAAGGTATTTCTTGGGCAGATTATCTATATGGGAGTACATAGATCTCCGGCAATTGGAGATTATTGGAACAGGAATGATGTTCAGGGGCCAGTTCACTCATCAAGACTTCATATGGGACAAAAGCGATTCGAGCAGATCAAGAGATATATTCATATATCCAACCCTCGCAGGCCGGAATCCTCCTCCTTTATACAGAAGCTAGAGCCTTTATACTCCAACTTCCATGCAGCATGCCGGAAATACTACAACCCAGGTTCAAATCTCTCCATTGATGAGATGATGATTCGGTTCTTTGGACGGTCCAAATACACAGTTAAGATGCCTCAGAAACCAATCAAGCAGGGATATAAGGTCTTTGGACTAGGAGAACAGGGCTATCTTTGGACTTTCTCCATGTCTAATGATAATCTCCGCATAAGTACGATGTTCCGTACTCCAGGATTAACCAAGACTGGATCTCTTGTGGTGGAATTGATTGAACGGTTGCCAGTATTTATACAGAGCTCCGCGGCTCTGAGCTCTCTACAGCACTCTGAGCAGCATCTAGAGTTGAATAACAGCAAAGAGGTTGCTGGCTACTCAATTTACATGGACAACTACTTCACCTCTGTTGCTCTATTCCATTATCTTCGAAAGCAAGGAATTGGAGCTTGTGGAACCACCCGTCCTGCCAATCTGCCTCCTCTTCTACAAGAACTAAAGAACTCCGGACTATCCGCTCATATTCCCTTCAATACTCTGTGTATAATACCTCAAAATGAGGTTCTCTGTCTTGGATGGAAAGACAATAATATAGTATTACTACTGTCTACAATTCATATGCCAGACAGCTTTGTTGAACGTGTCAGGAAGCGCCCAGGATTGAACTCAACTAATGGCCCTCAGATCCGGAGGATATTTGGAGACAATTGGCAAAAAGCAGTGGAGATTCCTACCATCATTGATGATTACAATCATAATATGAATGGGATTGACCTAGCAAATCAGTATAGAGCATCCTATGAGACTCATATGCCCACTAATCGCACCTGGTTGACAATTCTGTACTGGATTATTGATCATGCCATTGTCAATGCTTATATTCTTCATCGACTGGCTACTACTGGCACTACTGGCACTACTGACACTACTATATCTCACGTTGAATTCCGCCGGCAGCTCTATATTCAACTCCTAGAATTCTCAAATCCTCTACCTACTACTCGATCAAATCCGGATCTAAATCACCAGCGAATTTCTCTGCCATCTTCTCAAACTTGTGCCTGGTGTCAGTATAAAAGAAAGAGAGAAGAAGGGAATAAAGGAAGAGCTCCAAGATCAAGATATGGTTGTGCAGCATGTAACAATATTGCTCTCTGTTTGAAGAGAGGATGTTGGAAGGAGTTCCATTCCAATGATATTAATTAGGGCTAGATCAATAGATTACATAAATTACACTAAAACACGCCAATACGGCCGATCTCTCATATAATCCAGTAGTTATCGCGTATTTAATACGCTAATGTACACGCTAAAAATACGCTAATTGTGTCCTCGCGGCCAGACGAGGGGATACACCCTCTATCTAGCCTATTTCAGTTAGAATTCTCCACTTTTCAGTCTAAATAGCTGGTTGAAGTCTAAGCCTGTATAAGTGGGGAATATAGAAAATACTAGATGTTTTTGAGTAGGTAAAGCTGTGTAAGAGTGTATTTGAGTGTGTAAGAGCATACAGACCAGAAAATTGGGTCTCTTATAAAACTTTAGATCAGGTTAAACCGGACAACCGAACACGCCCTTAGCCTATTCATGAGCCCTGAATTTATTTCCCTGATTTAAAAGAAATCAGGCTAACTGTATCTAAAATAGTATTCAACTTAGAAATTATTATTGAACCTCACAAAGCACTTACAGTCGATAAACAGACTTATTTTTATTTACTTATTTTTCATCTTATAGATAAGTCCACTCCTGATTTTAAGATCTGTGTAGCTTAGTGCGATCTCTTTCCCATGGTTTTTAGAGAAAGGTTATCTTAATATCTAATACGATAAACCTTAATGCAAAATATCCGAGGCAAAGCAAATTTAAAATTTCTGCAAATATATAAGGAATATCTAATGATTAGAGAATGGGAAGGCTTTCCATTTGCTTTTTTTTTTTTTTCAATGCTTTTAACCTTTCCGCAACGTTCATCTCACTGCAAATTACTTACCCATTCTTATATGTTTGATGAAGTCATCTATGTCAGCATGCTGAAAGTGACTACTGTGCTACTTATTTTCATCAGCATGGCTGCTGGCAAACTAGTCCCCCACTATCAATCAGAAAAATATCCAAGGAATGAAGAAGTTGACTGGGACTATTGTGCGACGGAAGTCTGGGTATGTAATGATATAATTCACCCCCTTCAACCGTTTGCATGTATCTAAATAGCTTATACTGTTATCTAGTGTGAGACCAATGAGGATTGTAAGGTGTATGATGATTGTTATCAAAAAGCATTAGTAAGTGATAGTTTTTTTCTAAAAATTAATGAAAGCTGAAATAGCAAATACTGATCAAATTGAAACCAGTTTCATGATACACGTTATGTTGGATGTGGTGTTTCCATTTTTAAGTATTATTCATGCTGGACTTGGACTGTAAGTGGCCCACCTCTCTTCTATAAGCTAACTTCTAACAGCAAACACAGCCAGGAGTCATTCGTTAGCTACACGCTTTGAGCCACAAAATGAAGCAACTTTTGATCCTTCCAAGCTTCATATGGTTTAGAGACTTGGCTTTTTTCCATCTAATAAATTGTGAGAGCTGTATTCAGATTATAGTATTGTTATCAATGTAAATAATTCACATTTTGAAATGAAGAACTTACAATCTAAATCATAGTCAGCAAGAAATAATAGATTATAGTAGGAGCAACCTGCCCCTAGCACCCCCCTTCAGGGGGTGGGCAAACGAACCTCTAAATCCCAGGGGATGAAGGCATCTTTAATTCCTCTAAAGGGTCGGAAAGCTCAGGCACAACACTATAGCAGGAGCTTCATGGAACTTGCGCTGGGGCAAGACGGAGCGAAAGTGCAAAGTCATATTATTCATTATGCTGCTATTAAACGATATCATCACAGATGTCATCACTAGATAGATATCACCGCTGATATATCATCGGTAGATATAATTAGCAGATGCCATTGCTAGATATTATCAGTGGATATCATTCATTCAAGTAGGTCAGTAGATAGATAGGTAGACAGATAGCTAGATAGTGATGTTTGTTCTCATAAATATTGAGCAGGCAGGTTTGTTGGTAGGTTTCTGTCGGAACTAGATAAAGTCCGAATATTGACCCAATTACTGAATATCAAAAGAATAATTTAATTGCTTATTATGACTCCAATAATTACATGATAACCAGGCAGTATTTATAAGAAAGAGAATGCTAGAACATATGATAGGGGCAGTGCTGGTATACATCGGAGCAGTGATCCGGTTTCCGGAATTGAGATAATAGAAGATCCTTGCTAGTGCAATCAACAGAATCCGCGATATGATATATCACTTCTCACAGTTTCTATGTTCCATCAGCAATCGATCGGATATCGAGCAGATTGGTAGGTCGGAGTAGGGTGAGAATGGGGGTCTGAGCCAATTGTGGACTAGTCTTAAAGTCAAGTCTCCACTGCGGAAAGCAAAAGTGGGAAATTATCAGCCACAAAACGATGCTTTTGTTCCCCAGTCCAGAGCTTCGTATGGTTCTTGGAGACTTCGCTTCGATCCGTCTAATCATTTAATAATAAGGATTGATGGTTAAAGAGCCACTATTTCTTGTATAAATTTAGTGTCATATCAAAATAACTAGCGGTTCAAATATAGTCTTCAAAGTCAAGAATCAAATTTGCATCTTTTTCCATACAGAATCAATTTGTAACGGTAGGCCCCTTATAAATAGGTGTTGGGCGCGGCTGGCAGGAAGTTTTGGCCTAGGTGGTTCGTGCTGTACTCTTACACAAAATCATTAGAGAAGACAAGTATACTTCGCTTACTACTCCGCACACTTCTCATTTTTGAGAGCACGTAACAAGCTCACCACGATCTGTTATAAGTACAGTACAAACCTCTTGAATTCACTGAACTCAACAAAAACAGTTCATCGAAAGACGCAATATTATAGAATATCATCAACATAGAAGAATATATAATTTTAGAGTCTTAATCGGTTATAAAAAGTAGTGGTAAAAAACTATATAGTAAGAGATAATTTGAGAGCAGAAGAGAGAGGATATTGTAAAGCTTTTCAATTATCTGAGATCTTATTGTATCATCTTGAAACCCAACTTGAAATTTGATAACTGATCCACTATTTTCATAGTTATGCCTCTTCTTATTAGAAGTGCAATCCTTTTATGTTATTGTAAGAATACTTATTAATCATACAATTCAATTGATAGTTATACACTAATGTGTAACCACTGGGGCAAAAGAGCTCAATCACCACCAGTGCCATGCTGGGACCAACCAGTCCAAACCCCCAACAGATCTTTGTCTCCCTTCTATTAGTGTATCATCTTTAGAATATCACAATCTTCTAATTTTGAACTAAAAGGCGAAATATCTAGAGATCTCATGAAGAGATATTTTAACTAAAGGTAGATGATCCTTCGCGAACGCACCCCTGACACAAGGTAACGCCTGTTTGACTTAGTACTAGCCCCCTCCTCTTCACTCGATACCTAATTCTCCACACCACCGGAATTTGGGCAGCGTGGTGGGTCTGTCGCGATGGGGGCTGGTCGATTCACCGGGGGAAAACTGTTCATTACTATTGTTAACGACTCCACTCAGGCTCATTTCAAGTGTAAGGATGATATTATGTCTAAGCCATCCCATCTCAATGGCCCATGCCGTGGTCACTGGTCCGTGTTCTGTCAACCTTGCCTAAGCGGGGACGTGACACAACTAACTAGTGGGGTAAAACAAGAGAAGTATGTTTAGCCTTGAACCATAGCAAATTCAAAACGCCTTCATATCACCCCGAATAGGCAGTGCAATCAATACGTGCCAATTTCCAAACAAAACGTTCGATCCCTCCGGAGAAGATGGCGACAGATATTTCCCTCGCAGGTCATATTATGTGTTCATGCTAACCAACGGGAGATAATTAGACTAGCTGCAGATTCGCAACGCGGCCTTTGAGTGGTCTGAAAGCTACGATCTCAAAGACTGGGAGCGACTTCAAAAGATCCTAGCCCCTTCTGTCCGTCTTGACTTCCGCGGCCTCAAGGGCGAGTTACATGAGAACTTGAGCCCCAAAGAGTATGCCGCCATTCTTTCCAGCAGGCCACTCCTGGGTGACAGAATCTTGAAGACACAGCACCTCTTAGGCGGCGCCAAAGTGGAGTGTCAAAGCGACGGCACAGTCAAAGTCCAGCACCAGATTCGCGTCGCCCATCAACGCTACAAAGACAATACCTTTACTGAGGTCCTAAACAAGGGCCATGGTATTGGCGTTACCACGCATTGGACAATCTATGTCTGTATCTCTGCAATATACACTGTGGCTATAAATTCACCATTACTATGTTCGTACTGATAACCTGCACTCTTTAAACTAATAGTCTTTGTGCTTGCCGTCCCATGAGACCACGGCCTTAGGCTTTGTCAAGAAGGTCCCATCGTACTTTGTGCGCATCAGATGGCAGCTCAATATTTAACTATCATGGCTTACCGACCAGCAAACCACATTGGGAAACTGGGCGTGAATGTGCCCACCAACGGCGGCGCAGACGAAAGGTGTATGTTTATCCGAATATTGACTCTAGTTAACTTAGTTACTGATGGAGGTGCAAGGTTGGCTCATTGTAACCATCTAGTGGGCGCAGCACTGCTTAAATAGGTGTTGTCAAGTGGCATCAGCAAGTATTAGGGATGCCAACAGTTACTATTTTTACCCGCGTAAGGAGTTGAAATGGATAAGCTCTGGAGCTGATTATAGATTTACGATCAGATTTGATCCTAGATTGTATCAAGATTTAGATAACCTTTATCCAATCCTCGCCCCCGGTAAAAGGAGACTTTTAAGGGGAAGCTATATGATTATTGCCAAGATGCTATAACGATGCTGTCTTCATTTCTTTTACATATACTTTTCCTCATAAATACCACTATATTTTCAAGTAATTATCAGAATTATTATCTATTGAATAAATTCCTTGATATTCGGTCGATAACTACCTAAACCCCGGAGGAAAACGAGGTGTTTCACGGTTTGAAAAGATCTAACATTCAACCGAGGTTATTGCTTGGATTGCCAAACTTCCCTATTGGTCAATCAAACGGCTGGGCATTAGTGGCGTGGAAATAAAGTCCTTGTCCTGGCAAGCCCCTAAGCAGTTTGAGTCGGTTTAGAGGCTGGGTGCCCTAAAGCTTGGCTGTTAAGTTAGGCACCAAGGCTCCAGAACTTCGACTGTGAGCACTCCTGATTTCCATCATAATTTCTAGCGCCGGAAAATAAACTTTATTTCCACGCCCCCCCGAATCATGGGCTGTGACTGAGCCCTGCAACGGTTCACACATTAGTTCGTCAAGGCAGTTCAGCTGAATCTGCATTCCCACGCAATTTGATGCTCTTGGATATGAAATAACTTCAGAGCTTGTTTCGAAGAAGGCAGGATTATAAGACCAACTAAAAAAAGCTTTGCCATGCCTTCAAGCTATCGAAGTACGGAAAGCAACATAACTTATCTAGACTTAAGTAGAGCTTGATAAGCTCGCTTGCTGTAGTTGTCTGAACGCATTGAATATGTAGCTCAAGAGATCTTCAGAGAAACTGCAGGGAGCATTGGATGAATCTTTCAAGCATCAAGGGCCTTCTGGGATATGTGTTAGTTTGTCAGGGATATCATCCTGGACGGTGCAGGTTTTCTCACCCGGAGATAAGAAAGAGGGCGATCCCATGTGTTGCATAATATATATAGTCAGGATGAGGTTCATTCTTCCAAGTTCTCTCGTGCTCTCGTTCTCTTGTTCTCGTTTCACCTTTTTATTTTCTTCTCTCATTTCTACCTCCACATTTGGATTCATATCATTTGGCCAGGTCCAAGCGAGACTTGGTCTCGCTTACATCAGAAGATGGAAGAGGAAGACATAGTTGGTTCACCATCCACAGTTCGCACAATGGCAACTTCCCTGCAGCCACTGTTATCAAACGACACCATAACCGAACAAGAGACATTTGGACCGAATCATGGAATCGAAATAAAAAATACTTCGAGAGGATTCAGTTGGGAAGGGGGCCAAGCGGACGCTGGTATTGAGACGGACGCCCAGATTAGGGAGGCGCGATACCAGCCGGATACCAGCACGGCTAAAGACCCGAATCTGGTTCAATGGGAGGGGCCCTCCGACCCGGGAAACCCTATGAACTGGAGTCTCGCGAGGAAGTGGTATATCACCATTGCCATTTCGTGTGTTGCATTCCTGGCCATGTTCTCCAGCAGTGTTTTCGCCCCAGCCACCGGGTACACTGCAGAGGAGTATCATGTTTCAGAGTTGGTCATGACACTGGGGACGAGCCTTGTTCTACTCGTAAGTCCTTAGTGGATTGGTCCCTTCCAATTTAGCAACGATGTTGATTGTATTCAGGGATTTGCTTTCGGACCATTGATATGGGCCCCATTATCCGAAGTGTACGGCCGAATGACGCCTCTATGGGTCGGCTTCGTTGGATTCACCATCTTCCAAATACCCGTGGCGACAGCTCACAATGCTGAGACTATTTTGATTTTTCGGTTCCTGATCGGGATATTCGGCGCCTCCACGGGTGCTACCATTGCGGGTATCATTTTTGACATTTGGGATCCCGTCACTCGCGGAGTTGGTGGAGCGGTATTTGCCGTAGCAACTTTCGTTGGGCCTGTTGCAGGTCCAATTCTGGGTTCATTCATCGTAGAATCGAAGCTTGGATGGCGCTGGACCGCATGGCTGACATTCATTTTCTCTGGAGTCTGCGCTATTATTGGAATCACCACGATACGAGAGACTTATGCCCCAGTCATCCTGCAGCGCCGTGCTGCTCAGCTCCGGAAAAGCACAAGGAACTGGGCACTCCACTCCGAGCTGGATGAACATATGCCAACATGGGTAGACCTCTTCACAAAATACTTCTCCCGCCCACCACAGATGTTGATTAAGGAGCCAATCCTTCTATTCATGACGATATATATTGCCGTCACCTACGGCATGCTCTATCTCTTTTTCTTTGCGTATCCTATCTCTTTTCTCCGGGACCGCGGCTGGAAAAACGCCGGAGTCGCTTCATTACCTCTATTGGGTCTATCCATCGGAATCATAGTTGGTCTAGGCATCATCGCCTATGGCACAAAAACCCATTTCGCGCGTAAATTAAAGGAACGCGGAAGTGTTTCCCCCGAAGACCGACTTCCCGAAGTGATCATTGGCGCTGTCTGCCTACCCATCGGTCTCTTCTGGTTCTCATGGACATCCAGTCCAGAGATTTCCTGGGTAGCGCAAGCTCTTGCTGGAATCCCCATTGGTGCGGGCATCATCATAATATTCTTGCAAGGAATCAACTATCTTATTGATGTTTACATGATCCTTTCAAATTCTGCTATCGCGGTCAACACGTTTGTGCGATGTATTACAGCCGCTGCTTTCCCGCTGTTTGCGGTACATATGTACGAAAAGCTTGGGGTTAATTGGGCGGGAAGCTTACTGGGATTTTTGTCTCTCGCACTGGTCCCGCTGCCGATTCTTCTTTATTTTTATGGGGCGAGAATTAGGGCTATGAGTCGCTTTCAAGTTAAGCAGTAATGAGTGAACGATATCAAAATAGTAACAGAATGTTAGTACCTGATTCCTTGGAGATTTCGCTCCCGCCTCTTTCGTAGCTCTCTCTAATATGGGGACGAACGTGTAAAATCGAGGCTGCTTAGCCACTATGGTGGAAAAAAAAAAAAAAAAAAAAAAAAAAAAAAAAAAAAAAAAAAACCACCCTTGAACCCTTGGTTGTTGGAACAGGCAACGAGGTCAATCAGACAAAGCAATAAAATACTCGTACATCTCGTTACAAGATGTACCGGCTTACCACGTGACTGTGCCCGTACCTTTGAGTTTAACCCCGACGCGTCGACTCTGAGCCGCGCGAACAGTGGAAAGGAATTCGCTTCATATAGCAAAGCCAGCATAGAGACGGCCCGGGTACACAGGCTATCGTTGAACTCATTGTTCTCACAATTGCTTCCCGCGAATCCAGCAAAGTCTCTCCCGGATTTGTCCTACCAGACCAATTGATTGCCAAATCTGTCCCCTCCCCTTTTCACCTCTGATCAACAACCATATGGTCACCTAGCTTCCGAGGAAACCCCCTCCCCACCCTCTCTCTTTCCCACAAACGACGATGCCTACGCGCACTCGACATTCTCTTACTGCTACGACTCAAGTTGCTGAGCCTGAGGAAGAATCGAGTGGCCTCCGTCGCCTAAGGTTTAACGAGACGCTCTCATGGCGGGCTGGTCGAGCGATTCCGGTTGCAGACTTGTTGGAGAGGCTGGAATCGCTCGCGCTTGAACTGCGACAACTAGACCAGGAAGAGACGGATAAGGACTCGCTGAAAAAGGTATCCCAGGAGCTGGCAAGCGGGCATTTGCTAGGGCACCGAGATAAGGGTGTGCGCGCATGGACGACTTGTTGCGTCGTGGACATTTTGCGCCTCTGCGCGCCAAATGCCCCCTTTACGGGTAATCAGCTAAAGGTATGAAAATGCGGGTTTGGACTGATACTTATTGAATGGGTTCTGAGGGAGGGGAAAAATTCTGACATAGCCATTTGCCATAGGATATATTTACCACCATCGTCACCTCGATAATTCCTGCCCTCGCAGATCCCTCCAATGCATATAATGAACAGCACGTATACGTTCTTTCGTCCCTTGCAGATGTCAAAAGTATCGTGCTTTTGACAGATCTGGATGCGCCTGATACCCTGATTCTCCCGCTGTTTTCGTCATGCTTCGATATCGTATCCGGCTCATCAAAATCATCCACGGGCGAGGAACTAGCAAAGAATGTGGAATATGACATGACACGGCTTCTGGTACCTATTATTGATGAATCGTCAGTACTTGCGCCGGAAATCATTGATGTTATTATCGCACAATTCCTGCGCGTTGATCCGCGGATCGTCGAGCACACTTCCAGCAGCAAAAGCAAGAAACACGGTGCGCATGTGGATGCAAAACAAGGGACATTACTCCTGAAAGAATACCCCCCTGCTTATAACATGGCTAAGGCCATATGCAGCGCTTGTCCTGAAAAGATGACGAGCTATGTGAGCCAATATTTCAACAACGTGATTGTAGATGCTTCAGGTTCTACGGAGACGAATGGGCTACCGAAGGTGCATCATCGTGCAGGCATTGATGATTCCGACGACGAGGCAGAAAATATTAAAGAGCTAAGCAAGGCGCATCGTCTTATACGAGAGGTGTGGCGTGCTTGTCCGGATGTGCTTCAAAATGTGATCCCACAACTAGAAGCGGAATTGTCCGCAGAATCTGTATCATTACGACTTCTCGCCACGCAAACAATCGGCGATGTCACAGCTGGCATCGGTGTCGCGGGCCCTCCAACGCCGCCGCCCATGGATCCAGCTGCCTATCCGCCAGCAACATTGACAGGCGAATCTCAAATCACGCAACCGAATGCTCTACTCCTACCACTCGCTCCTAAACCCTTTTCGCAAGCCCATTCCACCGCGTACCAAAGCTTTCTTAGTCGACGCCAGGATAAATCTGCATCTGTACGGGCTGCTTGGGCTACGGGGATCGGTCGAATCATACTAACGTCCGCTGGTGGCTCTGGGCTCAGCACCAATGAAGAGCAAGATTTGGTTAAAAGTCTAGCAAAAATGCTTGGAGATGCGGATGAAAAGGTCAGGATTGCTGCAGTTGAAGTCATCGGGACATTTGGTTTCTCAGACACTGTCAAAAAACTTGGTATCAGTGGTGGAATTTCTGATCAAGATTCTGTTCTTTCCATTTTGGCTGAGCGTGTTAAGGATCGAAAACGCACTGTCCGTGAGCAGGCCATGAAAATACTAGCACGTATATGGGGGGTCGCATCTGGTGAAATCGAGGCGAATAATGAGCAAGTTGCAATGGTTCTAAAGGACATTCCCTCTCGAATTATCGACGCTTATTACACGAATAATCTTGATATTCAACTTCTCCTTGACCATGTAATATTCGAAATTCTTCTACCACTGAATTATCCTCCCCTAAAGTCAAAACCTCTCAAAGGCGATTCGAGTCAGTTGCGAAAATTGAAAAACTCAACCCGGGAAGCTGAGGGTTATACTGAGGCTGATATTGAAATGATACGTGTTCGACGAATTCTTACACTGGTTAAGGGTCTAGACGAACGGGCAAAAAAGGTATTCTTCGCCTTGCAAGCTCGTCAATTAAGCATGAGGACATTTATGACTTTCTACTTGACCGCCTGTGAGGACTACAATGTAAGTGTTAGGGTACCCCGGTATTGGTACGATGATATAAGTTCTAACAATCACTTCAGGGCGGTGTGATGGACAATGATGAGGAAATTACCAAGTCGAAATTATCTAAAGTCATTGATAACCTGGCCAAAATGCTTCCAGACCAAGCCAAAGCTTCGGCGGACCTTTGGAAATTTGCAAAAATGCATGACAGGCGCAACTACCAGCTTATTCGGTTCGCTATGGCTGTCGTGAGTGATTACCGAACCGTAACAAAGGCCATCAGGGAATTATCCAAGCGGATCACAGCAAACACCTCTGCTTCTACGAGTTTGCTCGAGACATTAACTCCGTTGGTTTACCGAAGCAGCTCCCTAATCTTCAACCGAAGTCATATCCCTGCGATTATGGACTTGTCAAGAAGTGACGAATTCGGGCTTGCGAATACCGCACATGAAATACTCAGAGAAACTTCATCCCAAAACCCGGAAGTTCTCGAAGCGCATGTCCAAGATATGTGCAAAGACCTGGAATCTCATGCGCCAAGCGCGAAGCAATCAGATGAGGCGGGCGTTGAGGAGGTATTAAAAGCTTGCGCCGGGTTCGCGAAGAAGCTACCTACTAAACTTCCCACGGAGCGCAAATTTTTAATTGCTCTTACCAATTACGCCCAATACAGCTCGTCGCCCAAAGCGGCGAAACATGCCGTCTCGATTATCATGGCCACATCGGATAAGAAGCAGATGTATGCGAAAGACCTAATAAAGAAGTCAGTCCAGAACTGCACATACGACTCACCACACTTTCTATCCAAACTTGCAACGATATCCCAAATCAATCTTCTTGCTCCAGAGATTGCAGATGAAAAAAGTGATGCGATCATCTCTATCGCTACGAATGATATACTATTCAATAATCGGTCATCAAAACCGTCCGCTGAGTACACGTGGTCTGATGAGATAGATGATGAGACGTCTGCTAAGGAATGGGCCCTTAAGATCCTCGTGAACAGAGTCCGTGCCAAGCAACGCATAGAAGATGAACAGACTTTCCGTTCTTGTGCTGAACCTGTTTACAAAATCCTCAATACCCTTGTTGCCAACAACGGAGAACTTTCTGAGAAACACAATTCTCCAGCAACTCAAAAGCCAAGACTTCGTTTACTTGCCGCAAAACTTATCATCAAACTTAGTAGCGCTCACTCAATCTGCGAAAAGATGCTGACCCCGACGGATTTCAATGTTGTCGCCCTGGTTGCGCAGGATCAATTGGAGCCCGTGAGGTCGAGTTTTATTGGACAGCTAAAGAAGAAACTTACGCAAACGACGCACTTGGGTACAAGATGGTATGCTGTTGCCTTCCTCCTGGCGTTTGAACCAAATAAAAACCTCAAGGAGAGCACACTTACCTGGCTACGATCTCGAACACATTTCTTTACCCGCCTGTCGCAAAACAATGACAAGGGATCAGACCAGCAAACAGTCATGGAATCACTGGTTGCACGTCTTCTTTCCCTTCTAGCATACCATCCTGATTACCCCCCTGAATCATCTGATGAGTCTACTAAAGTGGATGACCTCGCGGATTTTGCTCGATACATACTTTTCTACCTTTCTGCAGTTGCCAACGAAAACAACCTTTCCCTTATTTTCCACATCATACAACGAGTTAAGCAAGTTCGAGACGCCATCACCGGCTCAGCATCGATGTCCACTCGCCTGTATACTCTCTCAGACCTTGCGCAGGCGACCACCCGTCGCTTCGCAGAATTATACTCCCAACAGCATAAAATCGGTGGCGGTGGTGGCAGTGGAGCAGCCAATATTCTCCAAACTTATCCTGGCAAAATGCGGCTCCCAAGTTCACTCTTTACAACTATACCGATCCACAGAGAAGCAGTTTCTATTGCAGAGAAAAATTACTTAGCAGAGGAGGTTGACGATAAGCTCGACCGCATTGTCCGATTGTTCATGAAGCCAAGAACCCAGTCAGTGTCTAACGTGCAGAGTCAAGCACGAAAACGGAAGGCAGATTTACCATCTATGGACAAGACTAGTGGATTAAAAAGGGAGCGCAGAGATAAGAAACAGAAGGCTCTCCCAATTCGGAAAACTTCAATTTCAGAAACGGGTGTAAAGCCTGCCAAGCGGAGGAAGACGAGCGACGAAGATGATTGGGATGGTGGCGGAAGGCCAGGTGAGACGGAATCAAATGCCCGCCGTAGAAGCGGTCGGGAAATCAAAACCCATGTTTCCTACGCTGAAAGGGATAGTGATGAGGACGATATGAAAATGGCGGAGTCGGAAGAGGAAGACAGTAGCGCTGAATCAGAGAACGAGGGTAGTGGTCGGAAGGAATCACCCAAAGCAGAAGAGGAACCAGAAGACAAAGTGACTGAAGACGAAGAGGAAGGTTGGGACAACGCTACCCCTGATTCCTTTTCTGGCAACCAAGACGAATCAATGGAAGATGTCCAGATATCTTCCCCGGCCCCACAGCCGAAATCTAAGCGCCAAATGCCTATGAGAAAACAACGGCAGCAAGCCGAATCTTCTTCGCCTGTTACTATTACTCAAGGCCAGGGCAGAGGTAGGGGCAGACCTCCGGGTAAGAACCGGTCAAGGAATACGCGGGGAGAAGCAGGATCACCAGAGCAGAAACACTCCGCTACCGCTACTACTGAAGCGGAACCGGCGAGAAGGTCAACGCGGCGGGCGCGTTGATGATGTTCATATTTCTGATGTGTTATGGTTTCTTTGCGTTGATCTATCTATCCATATAAATTTTTCATTGCTGCTGCTGTTGCTGCTTCATTTAGATATTTCATTTCTTTTAATTTAACTCTCCCCCTTATGTTTTTGAGTGCCATGTTCGATTTTTTTTCTCCCCACCTGTCAATAGCTGCATATCAAATGTTAAATTGTCCGTAAACATGCTTAGTTTTTTGTTCCACGCACTCATCTGATGTGATTCACTGTTTGTTGATTCTCTCACTCCCCTTTCGTTTCTTTTCTTCGATATCACCCACTCGATCTGGCCGGCGTTGTTCTCATGCAATGTATATTCCCTCTCCAACTTGTGACTTATTTTCTCAAAATGTCTGTTGTCAACTACTTCACCAACTTCACCAATTCACCAACTACTACTAGGTTGTTATTTAGCTGACGCAAATAACGCAATACACAATTTGCTTTCCCCCCCTATTTTATTCCCTCGATATTTCGAGGCCTCTTTTCCGCTCGCCTACTATGTTTGGTCAAAAATAGATGCCAACTATACATACATATACATATATATATATATATATATAGAGGAAAAGAGAAATACATAGGTAGGTAGATACAATATCTCCTCTCTCATCGAATTAAAATAAAACAGGCACAAGGGGGAGGGTGATGCTCGGAGGAATGTATGTGTATCTATCGATATTCGTTTACTTTTTATAACTGGACGGCTAGGGAAATAGCAGCAGAAATGAATTGGAGAAGGTTTTTTTTTTTTTTTTTTAAAAAAAGGCAAAACACTCCTCCATACAACATACAAGACGGTAAACGTATTTAATGACGATGGCTAACGATAAAATGGTGATAATGGGAATAATGATAATGATAATGACATGAAAAGGTAAAATAAATAAAGATAGAGAAAGAAGAGAACGATCTAAATAAAGGGGCGGAGGGGAAATTGAAAAATGGAAATGGAAATGAGCATGGAAACGAAAATGGCAAGTTTTCACCCGATCCCATTATTTGCCCAAGTGAACTCCTGGGTTTCAATCAAATCAACTCTTCTTCTCTTTCCCACACACACGCGTGAGCGCAAGGCGAGAACTGGAGATCGTCAGCACTTTTTTCTTCCTCTTTACGTCCATATATCACTCAAAAAAAATTCATACTAAACAGTTCCATCTTCCCGCAAAGTAAAAAAAAAATTAACTGATTAAATCGAAAACTACGAGGAAGCATCGGCGGAAGCAGCAGCAGCGTCTGGAGGAGAGGCAGCGGCATTTTCTCTAGAGTCACCACCATGCCCTGTACCCTCCTTCGTAGACCCTCCTTTACCACCACCGCGGGAAGAAGTGGACGCACGACCCGCCGCCGCCACCGCCTTCGCGTGCCTTTCCTCCACCCTCTCCTTATGCTGCCGATTCTTCAAATGTACCTCGAAATTATCCACCGTCATCGCCGGGCCGGGAGTGTATAGCTTCCCGGGGCAATCGTGGCAGCGGATGCGCGGGAAGTATTTATATGTCAGCTTCTGGCCCGCGTGGGTTGTTGCGGCGTTGGCAAGCGGGAGGCCAGTGTGTGGGTCTACAGCGGTATAGCGCATGGTGCCTTCGAAGGAGTCACGTGGGTAGGAGCGTTTGAGGTTATTTAGGGCCGCGGACGAGCCAGGATGGGGGTGAAGGCCTGGATATGGGAGGTTAGTGGAGGGGAGTGGTTTCTTGTTAAGGTTAATGGGGGGGTTGGGTGCTGGAGACAGCTACGTACGCCTGGTACTCCTGGTTGCGGGGGTAGAGGTGCATCGATTACACCCGTTCAGTTGGGATGCGGTAGGTCGTTTTGGTGGTGTGGGTTGGGGAGTCAGGGATTGCGGCGGGCCCATGGAGCTACGGGTACCAGTTGCGGTTGCGGTTGCGGTTGCGGTTGCGGTTGCGGTCGTTGTCGTGGTCGTCTGGGTTACACTCTTCGTGTCAGTGGATGGCGTGGATCCCCTTGCGGCTATAGGTTTATTCGTCTTATTGCTCTTCATGTCCTTTAAGAATTGGCGGAATTTGTCCCTGTTAATCTTCAATTTCACAATGAGTTTGTCAGGCACGTCGGAGCTCTCGTCCCTGTAGTCGCGATGCCGGGCTGCGGCTCTCGGTTCTAGGCTCGTGACTTCAGGGGTTGCGGATCGAATAAGATTGGCGCGCATAGCAGCCTGCGCAACTGACGCAGCGCCTCTCATGCCTCTGGTCCTAGCGGTTCCTTGGGCGAGGTGTGATATCGCGGGTGAGCCCGCAGACGATTCGTCGCTCTCAGAATCGTCAGATTCATCACCTCCATCCCGCTGGCCAGCAACAGCACGTCGACTCCGATTGGTACGAGAGCGCTTGAACAAGCGGCTTTCTTCTATTGAGGATGCTGCACCAGGTATAACAGAAGAGACAACAAGCGTGCGGATGGTGCGTTGGCGGTCTTTGAGATCAGGCAGAGCAGGGCCACCACGTCGATTGACTGAGCGTTTTTGCCGTCGTTGTTCTCGAGAAATGGAGACTTCTGTACGCTCAAGCTCGGCTTCGTTGAGCTCATAAAGGTAGGGTGTGTAGTCCTTGGCGGATTGGAAGGGGCGGAATGGTGAGGGGAGGGGGGATGGTTGAAAGGATGCTTTGAGATCCGGATCTTCGATCGGTCGGCCGTCGAAGGGGTGTGAGAGAATGTATAAGCTTTTGGTGAAGAGTTGAACTTGCTCTCTGATAGAGTGGGCAATAGCAGTAGTAAATTCTCCCGGAAGGGAGAGATCCTTCGTCATTTGAACTGCAAACTCCTCGGGAGAATTAAGTAGATTGTTGATTTCCCATTCGAATTGGTCGACCAGCGTATGCTGGCCGAGGGTGATGTTAAGTTTGACTAGGATGCGCATCTCATCATTTTTATAGGCGTGATAAGGTAGATGAGGGTCTAAATTTTCTTCCTCCATGAACACCTGAGGATAGAAATCCGCTAGCTGATCTTGGATGCTTTGGGAAATCTGACGCACCAGTGGCCCGCAAGATTCCAGAGGGAGACGCAAATCTTCAACCAGCTTCTCTGCAAACACATCTGGCGAGGTGACTCGATCATGAAGATTCCAAGTGAAGGTATCCCGAAGTTTAATCTTATCCCAATCAATGTCCAGGCGGATGGGAACCAAATCCTCGAGTTGTTCTGCCTGCGTGAGCATGTCATCTCGTGAGATGCGAATGTCCTTAGATTTCCGTCCGCCCGGTCGCCGTCGATTGGAAGGATATAGAAGTTGAGGATGTTGAGACTTGAGATCCGTCCGTGGGTTTCCGTAGCCTTCATATCCGTATCCGAATATTGCTCCGGGATTCATCCGACGCTCATGCTGTAAAGACAGGTAGTAATCCCTTTCAGCGCGCTTCTGTTTGAGGAGCTCCTGATGCGGATTCTTCCAGGCCATAAGCGCAGAGTGGTGGAATTCTCGATTGACATATTGTTCGAGCAATATTTTATCTACAGGAGTTTCGCGGGGGCGGACAGGAAGGAGCGAGGATGGAGGTGGAGGGGATGTAGAACGTATTATCGAACCCGATCGAGATCGTTTTCGACCGAGTGTGTCGCCATTTGCCTTTGGGGTTGTAGAGTTTGGTGATTGCGGGCGGCTGGGAGAATTTGGAGGTGACCTTTCGGGCGCATCTGTATCAATTGTCACGGAAAGCTCAGTCGCCCGTTGTTCATCCTGCATCTCTTCTCCCGCTGAAGCTGCTAAGGCGGAGCCATTAACGACTTGCCCATTCGAAGTCGTGTTCACTGTGGGTGTACCTTCCACATAAGCCAATATATCACCATGTTCCATTGGGTCAGTCGCATCTTGAGGAGGGTTATTATGGAGTTCTGTTTCTTGTATGGGGGTATCGATAGCCTGGTTATCTGGAGAAGGCATTTTCGAGGAAAATGGGGTTCCGTCGTGCAAAGGGAAATAGATGGGGGGTTATGATGCAGCACGTGTCTGTACACCACCGAAGTTAAACAGATCCGCAAACTGGATTGGGCAAAAACTATTGACGCATCATCTGCGAAAGTCTCACGAAGACGAGGGGACCTAAGATGATAATGGTTAGAAATGCATTAATCCTTGCATCGAGAGCTATGCCACTGGGAAACCCGAAGGATTTGACGCGAGGGAATCCGGGTTATATATTGGGGAATGAAAAATAGGGAGGCAAGAGTTGCGACGCCATTGAACCGATTTCCCGACCTAGGGCTGAGGGAGCGAGAAAGAAGTACAGCAGCAGAGACAATAAATAATGGGATAAGAATACACGGCAAATGACAAAAAGTGGGATTGGCGCGGGGGGAAAACGTACCAGCGATGGCCGGGAGCCGTTGTATGGGATGAAGTATCACCGTGCAATGGTCGGGCAGGCCCATGGGCGAGTCAAGAGGCGCAGCTTGTATTGCGGGAGAAACCTTAACGAAAGCCCCTGAACTTCGTGTGTTTCGAGCCCGGAACCGGACTGGTTTTTGCGCCGGGGTCCTTTGCTGCTGGGAATCGCGCTGCTCTGCTCACCGTTGCTTGCTTCTGCCCTGGTCAGGTCGTCTGCGTCTGCGCATCTTTGTCGCCGCGGTTGGGGCTGAGGCTGACAACGAGGAACGGACAGGACAACGCAGGCACGGCTGACTCAGCAGCATCGGGCCGGATGTTTTATACTCCGGGTCAAGGGGAAGTCTGTGAAATGGAGTGGAAACTGACGGTGATTGATCATTACGGAAATGTATGGCCTCAAAGCTACTTTCGCACGGATCATGGATTCTACCGTAGATATCTGCCTATATCCCATGGGATTGAAGTGACTCAATCATGTGATTCGATATAAAGACGTATAGATAAAGGATGAGCGAGTATCAAAATGCGGAGATACGAAATCAAAACAGGAAGGAAAAAAGAAGAAGAAGAAGAAGAAGAAGAAGAAGAAGAAGGTAAATACAGCTACATAACTCAGAATAGCTCAGCATCCGCAACCACTGCCCGGTGATCTGAGTTGAGCACGCCATCATCAAATTTGTTAGGCACCACAGCATACCCTTCGATAGACCAAGACCATGCCGGATTCGCACCGCGTTTGGGCCCGAATAGAACGTAATCGATTCTCTTCGGACCCTCGTCCTCGTAGCCAAAGCCGGTATAGGTATTTTCACTTCCATACCTTAGTGCAGTATCAACCTGCTTCTGGGCATCCACAAACTGCGAATCAACCGCAGTGAGCACGCGATAGGCTTCCTGATCCTCCTCGCTGTTGAAATCCCCCGCCAGGAAAATACCATTGATATTTCTGCTGGCCAGCCTGTTTTTGGTGAGATACAGGTTGGCCATTGTGAGGATCAACTTTGCCGCTTCATATCTGGACTTGGACCCTTGGTCGTCAAGATGCGTGCTCATGCCCAGCACCCGCTTCCGGCTCACGAGATGCTTGAAAACGCCAATTGTGACAATGCGGATGGAGGAGGCGTCCCAGCCCCTGGATGGGACTGAAGGGGTTTCCGAGAGCCAGACCGTCTTGGACTCTTCGAGCTCCCAGACGGCGGGGCGGTAGAAGATCGGGGAGTATTCCCCTGCCTGCTTGCCGTCGTCCCGTCCAACACCGATATATGCCCATTCAGTAGTCGCACCTGTGCTGGTGCTGGTGCTGGGATTGAGACCTGAGAGGATGTCATTCAATTGGACGTGAAGCACCTCCTGCAAGCAGATGAATGTCTCCGGATTATGACAGGAATGATAATGGAGCTCATTTAGTAGGCGTTGCTTTCGGTCTTTCCAGGGTTTCTCCCCTCTGAAAGGTGCCGACGTGGCATAGCGGATATTATGAGTGAGGATGCGAATGGGCAATGGGCGGTCAACTTTCATGTTTCGCGTTCGAAATATGTCAACCTCGAGTACTTTAAAGTCAACCAGTTAACTAACTGCTCGTATTTGTTAACAGCCACGAGAGAAGGTAGTAAATTTTCGACCCCTTAGTATCCGTAGTATCCGTCTATGGTCAGCATCAACAGACAGCCGTAGGATATGGACAGAGGACAACAGCCAGCCCGCACCATCATCATCATCATCATCATCATCATCATCAACCTTGGAAGGTTCTCACGACCAGACCTCGTGATGTCGCCGTTCCTTTCTCCGCAGGTGCCAAGAGATGTTATGTCATGTGATCTAGTTTGAAGAGTCCTAGTGGTTGTATCTTTTATCCACAGCAGCAAATGATGAAATGATGAAATGCAATCCTTTCAATTCCGGAGTGTATACGCTGAAGATACACATGGACCTCAAAAAAAAAAAAAAAAAAACAATTCTGGTCTTCACGGTGGGTGGAGTTATGGGCGATTTTTGACACACCTACAATGTACGGAGTATGTAAGTTGACATCAACCCTGTAACTTACGAACTAAGCGACGTATTGTATTGACCCGGTATTGGTTGCTTGGCCTCGAAGCTCCTGCAAATCCCCACTCAGCAGGTTCCCCACCACGCCGCCCCTCGCCCCTCACTCACCTTCCACTACAAATCCCATAGGAAGAGCAACAATTGTCTCCTCTCTCTGGTATACACGCACGCGAGCTGCTACTTTGCACTCTATTATCGCCTCCTTATATATATCCCGACTTCGGTTCATTCCTCGCATTTGCTGCGAAGGACACTTGTTTTTCAATGGCCGAGTCTACGGAGATTGGTGAGTTATACTATCTAAGTTGTTCGACCACGATCTTCCTATTTCTTCTGTACACACACAAAACACTGGAGGGAGGGCAATCAATTGTCCGCGCTGCTTGACGGAGTATTCGTATTATTACCGTTGTTATTATTATATATAAATATTATCGTTCGACTTGCTGTGCTATCCTGCTTGGGTGTTCTAATCTATATTTCTGCTTTCAGTTTTTGTGTGCTTCTGAAAATTATATTGAGATGACTGACATCCCCCTTTTTGCGGATAGACTATACCCTCAATAACCCGGATACTTTGACAAAGTATAAAACTGCCGCGCAGATCTCACATAAAGTCCTCGAGACCGTTACAGGTGCTGTCTCTCTTCCCCTTGATTCTCCTGCCTGTGTTTCCGCTTTCATCCCATGCTTCTCGAAGATCTTCGGAACAAAGGAAGCGGGACAGGAAGAAATGAAGGGAAATGAGAAAAAAAAAAAAAAAAAAAAAATTTATCGCGAAGAACTCGCCTTTCCAATTCCCTCAAATGGACCACTCGTATAAAGCTCACCAGAAGCTGACTCTGCGGCAAATTAGGATGGTGTGTCGAGGGTGCGAAGGTGATCGAGATATGTGAGAAGGGTGATAAGCTTCTGGACGAGGAAGTTGCCAAGGTCTACAAGGGCAAGAAAGTCCCCAAGGGTATGTGGACATAGTATTATTCGCGCTGCTTCAATCCGGTCTTTGTATACATGTCGCCTCCCTTCGTCCAAAAAAAAAAAAAAAAATAACAAATTCGCCGTCCGCATATTTTTTTTCTTTGTTGCTTCTGCAGGCATTTCCCACCCAACCACCGTCTCCCCAAGCTCGTTCGTCACTCCATATACCCCATTGGTGTCGGATGCGGAGGAGGCTGCCACGACGCTCAAGGCCAATGAGGTCGTCAAGATCCAGCTCGGTGCGCAGATCGACGGGTTTGGCACCATCGTGTGCGACACCATTATTGTGGGCAGTGATGGAAACGTCACGGGCCGCGAGGCCGATTTGCTCCTGGCGACATACTACGCGAACGAATTGCTCCTGAGACTCATGATCCCCCCGGGCCTCCTTGCAAGCGGCTCTGACGAGGAGAAAAAGCAAGCGGCGGCCGCGAAGCCGCCCACGCAATCTGCCATTTCGGCGCTTTTGGAGAAAGTTGCTAAGTCGTACGGTTGCACTTTGGTGGAGAACACGACTAGCTGGCTGTTCGAGCATAATGAGATCGAGGGGAAGAAGAAGATTATCGTTGCTCCCGGTGCGGGGATTAAGGGGGAGGGGTCTGTAGAGGTAGGTGAGGCATGGGGTGTCGAAGTGGGTCTTAGTCTCGGGTCTGGGAAGGTAAAGAATTTGGAGTGCAGACCTACTCTGCACCGCCGTACCACGACTACGTATATCTTGAAGAGGCCGAGCTCGAGACAGACGCTCTCGGAAATCGTGAGGCGGTTTGGAACATTCCCGTTCAGTCTTCGCCAGCTAGAGGATGAGAAGGCTGGGAAGGTCGGTGTTGTTGAGTGTGTTCGCGGTGGGGTGGTTCGACAGTACGATCCTGCTGGAGAAGCTGATGGCTCGCCAGTGTCCAGATTATTAACCACTGTTGGTATGTGTAACATATTTGCGTTTTTCCCCCTTAAATGTGCAATCCCATTTTTCACTCCGCGAGAGGGAATTGAGGTATTCCGGGGTTTGTTTACTAATATATTCCATTTCGTTTCTCTCCGTTTCCATTTTTTACAGTGATTACCAAGAATGGATTGTCGAGGTTGGCAGCTCCTCCGCCTCTTGACTTGAGCAAGGTCCAGTCGGACAAGAAGATTACGGACGAAGAGATTTTGAAGATCCTCGAGAGGCCACTGGCAAGATCCACGGGAACGAAGAAGAATAAGAAGAAGAAGAAGAAGTCTGCGAAGAAGGCTACCGCGGCCGCGGCTGAGGAGGAGGACGAGGAGGAATCTAGCGAGGAGGAGTAAACGCAAGCGTGCTTTTTCTTTCTTTTGCCTTGCTGCTAATCCACGAATACGGCTGGGAATCAAGCTTGCCTCTCGGAGCGAGTTACTTTGTGTTTGTGCTTGAGAGGGGTTTCTTTCTTCCTTTCTTTTTTTTTTCCTCCTTGCTGACGAGGCAGTCTGAGGCACAAGGGAAAGGTGTTATTTTGTTTCGCGGGAATTGTGTGTGTCCAGCAGAAGGAAGTTCATGGGGAAAACAATCGCTGTTCTCTCTTCCCTTATATACATATGTGGCCCAAATGGACGGGTTGAGTCCATAGGACCAGGCAGGCAATAGGAGAATGAAGTTTACTTGCTTACTATTCTACCTCGTATGGGTGGTTTTTTCTTTCTTTTTCGTTAGATGGATATATCTCTTTCTTTCTTTTTTTAATCTCTTTCTCTCTTTTTTTGTGGCTTACACATCTTCTCATGAAGTTGTTATGTGACGTCTTTGGTTGGCCCTGTGTGGAAGGGCGAGCTGGATTAGACAGCAAAAGAATATCGAAATACGTGAAAAGAAGGATGGAAGAGACTAGATATAACACACCCGTTCAGCTGACGCATCTATGCATATATACGAATGAAAATGGTTACAGTACTTCCCCGCGTCACTGGTGAAAGAAGGCGTTGGTGGGAGAAATTCAATGGACGAGTCTTCACCTCCCTTCACCCGGGCCCATCGCAGTCTTTGTTGCTGAAGTTGAAGTGAATGGGGGCAACCCCTCTCTCCCTTGTGTTTGTAGTGTTGTAGTTGTATTGACCCTAACCGTGACCCCTCTCCCGTCCCCGGATTGTGTTGCTCTGCCAGTGACTGTGTTGTGTTGTTGGGCCGTGGGAGTTGCCGTCGTGTCGTCCAACCCCTTTAGGCTCTTGGAAATCTCCCTCCCTTTTTCGCTCTGCCCTCCGTCCTTCTGCATCAAGAGATCCAACAACTTCAACTTCCAACTTCAACGCTTCATCTTCTCTCCCTTTCTCAATCTGTGTCCCTTGTTCGATTCTCTTCTCTTCTCCAGATATCTTCAATCATCAATCTCCTCTCCCTGTCAACTTGTCTCCCGTTCCTCTGTTTCTGCAGACGTCCCTGAGCAGCAGTTAGTTTTCGCGCCTTGCTCCCCCTTCAGCTTGTCCTCCGCAGCTTCAAGTCCTCCTCAATCAATCAAGATATCTCGTGTCTGCAGTTCTCTTCTCTGACTTTCTCTCTTCTTTTTCTCTCTCGTGTTTCCTTTTCCACCAAAACAAAAAACAAGTCCACACCCTTTGTCGCGCTTACATTAGCCATCCCCCTTTTTTTTCTTTTTTTCCCACACACATCTTGCACCAAAACTCTACGCCGTCCAAGGGTTGCCATCAGAACTTCTCTGCCTACTAGCGTGGTGCCTGTTAAAATATCCCATTTCTTTTGCAGCCTGGGTTTTCATCCTCCGTGAGCTCCTGGCACGAGAGATCCCCCTGTCATCCCACCTTTTGAAGTAACCACCTCTCTCCCTTATCTGTTAGGCGCCACATTGCACGCTTTCTCTGGTTTGCCATCACCATACACTCCTTTCTGGTCTCTTCCTCAAAACCATCGATCATTTAGAAGAAAACCGGGGTACAACTGGATGCATCGGTAATTCCAACTGCCACAGGGATTCTTTTTTTTTGACTTCCCAAGTCTTGTCAAATCTGCATGCACCCTTTTTCACACCCGGAGTTGAGAGCCCCTGACGAAACACTATACCTCCAAGCAGGGCCCCAGAACACCAAAATCCACAAAATAATATAATCCAGCCTCTGTTTCGCGATACGATCTACCGCCACACGGCTTTTCAGGCCCGAAACCAGCAGGTTGTGGTTGACGTGTTTTTTGGTGTTGTCCCGCCGTGGGTATTGTTGGCTGCTCCCTGAGTCCCCGGGCCCCAAACCCCTCGAAAAGTGTGTGGCTTGGCTGTCCAAATCCCGCGTCAACCTTTGGCCTTTCCACCAGCTTGTTCCTTACTGCTTCCTCCCTCTCCCGCCCAACAACCCGCCAGGCGCCCGCTGGCCACTCCACGATCCCCTAGCACCAGGCCATTTTGCTGTGGCTAGCTTAGGGATTTATATTCTGTACGTCCCCCCGCTTTGTTTATTTCTGCGTCCCTGAACTAACTCCAGTTGCGCAGCCCAAAAAGCCTCGTCGCGAGTCGTGCAGTTTTTGGAACAGCAAATAAATGGCTCCTAAAACCCGTTCTTCCCGCGCCCCTTCCCGCAACGCCTCCCGTCCCTCCACTCCTCTAGATACGTTTTCACTATTTCCTTCTTCATCCGTCTCAGAGGCGACAAGGCCTAGGAAACAACGAAAATCTGCCCACAACGCACGTGGCGCTACGGATTTGTCTCAGGAGTCCCTGCTAGGTCAGGAGACAAAAACCGCCTCACCGTATTCAGACCAGCAGCTCACAGGCCAAACAACGACACTATCTGGTGCTCAGTTGCCGCCCTCGCGGTGGGATGAGCCGTGGGTTGAGCCTGAATTACCCCCGCCAACTCCAAGCTACAAATTCGATTCCAAGAAGGGGGAGAAGACTTATCACCTCGCTAGCACTACCCCCTTAGGAGTTCTTCCGTCGATCAGTGTACGTCGACGACTCGGTCTCATGCCTACTGCGAAATCTTCCACCCCGATTCCCGCCAAGAACAACGGCACTAAATCTGCAAAATCAACTCCCACGGGTGACTACAGACCGGGAACTGCCTCGACTTCTGCGGATGAGCCTGGGCCATCAGAAAGCCCATTCATGCAAAGTGGGTTTCCATCCCTTCCGAATGGCGACAAAAGCCTAAGTCCTACACGCTCTACAATGGGGAACAGCAACATAGAACCGGAGATCGCACCCGTTAACGGTCATCCACTTACACCAACTTTACTCTTCACACCTCCTACGTTGAAATATCCACAAGAAATGATCCTAAAAGTTGTTGACATAGCCATTGCTCGTGCGGAGGAGCTTAAGGATATAAAAGTTGCCAACGGCCTAAAACAGATCAGGGATGCTACCGCTAAGGATCAATTTCTTTTCGCTGTTCTGGAGGGTGTACTCAGCAAGGAGGCTGGCCCCCATGAGAAATCACGCTTCCAGACTGTCATGCGAGATGCGGTCAGAAAAGATCGAAGCAAACATTCCACCCATGAACCTATTACGATGACACGTACCCAGTCTTCTACTAGTACTTCGTCATCACTATCCTCCGCAAAATCACTTGATGCCGAAACCTTCGCCCCTGCAATGACTTCCGGTCATGCAGCCAATTCGGCTCCTCACAAACGCAAAGGACGACGAGCGACGGGACCACACGCCAAGGGAAAGAAGCGTTCCGTTCCTGCGAGGTCTCAATCTGTTTTCCCATCCTTAGAAGACGCTGATACTCGAAAACGCAGGAGAATGGACGATCTAGAGTACTCGGACGAAGTTCTTGCAGCTAAGCGTTTGGCGTTGAGAAAGACTTTTAACGATTTTCCTGTCCCAGAAAGCCACATCCGTCCTTCCAGAACCCCTGTCACTATTAAGACTGCTTCTCCCTCACCGCAGCCAGTACCTTCAACCAGTAGCAAAAGATCAAGAGAGATATTTGAGTCCAGTGAAAGTGGAGATGAAGTTGAAGTTGCTCCCGCCATTCCCCAAAAACCTCCCAAGAGAACACGGAAATCGGTAGCGTAAGTGTTTCCATATGTTTTCAACCCCTTTTACCATTTATTAGGGGTTTTTTTTTTTTTTTTTTTTTTTTTTTTTTTAAACAGTTTCTATCTTCATACTAATATACTCCTTCATCTTTCGCCTTCAAAGGCCGCCGGATGAAATCGATAACATTGATTTTTGTCGTCTGTGTAACGGTAGTGGCCAGCTTCTGTGTTGTGACGGATGCATTGACTCGTTCCATTTCGAATGCTTGGCGCCGCCCATGGATCCCAAATCACCACCTGAGGGACAGTGGTTCTGCCCTACTTGTAGGGTAAAGGGGACGTTGGGCCCCTTGATAGAAACGGTGGAGAACATGCCACCGAAGAACTACGAGCTACCACCCGAGATCCGCGAATTTTTCGCGGGAGCGAAAACGGGTGAAGATGGGGCGTACAAAGCAGTCCCCATTCTTCCGAAAGGCGGTAGTCGCACTCGAGGGAATCGCACGGGTCGTCCCGAGGACCGTAACGCCTTATTAAGACTTACTGATGCCAAGGGAAGGCTCATCACCTGCATTAGGTGCGGCCTGACGTCCAACGGGCGTCGGCCAATCATCCAGTGCGACTACTGTCCTTGTTCGTGGCATTTGGATTGTCTCGACCCGCCGCGGTCCAATCCGCCCCCACAGGTGCCCGGGAGCGAGAACCGGGCCCTTCATTGGAAATGCCCGAACCACATCGATCACGACCTGGCTAGCCTAGGTGGCCTCGGGGGGGGACGTTTCGCACAGATTCGTCGCCCGCGCAACCCGAAGTTCATCGACATCGAAATCTTGCCCAGCGACAGCGAGGCGGAGCGCTTCAGCGAGCAAGAGATAGCTGGGGCCGTGTATCGTGTGCCGGAACGCGGCGTAATTATGGATTTCGTCAGTCGCGTTAAACGGTATGTTACCCCTTAAGCCCCATATATAAATACCTCCCCACATTTTTTTCGGGCTCTTCATTTTCATTTTCATTTCTTTCATTCATTCATTTTATGTGTGTGTGTGTGTGTGTGTAAGACTTTGCTGATATGTTTTCTAGCGGTTATGCGGAAGCCCAGGCTCTAGCGGCTATCAAGGCCGCTGCGGCTCGAACCGTCCGGGTTACAGCCACTCCGGTGGCGCCGGGGCGTCTTTCGAACGCTCAGGGTGCGGAGGACACTGTATCCTCCAACGGTTCTACCCAGGAAGCTGTCATGGTTTCAGGGGCTCAGAACTTGGGGAACAATACGGATGCGGATGCAGATGCCGCTTTGTCCCTCTTGGCACCGGCTGAGCGCGACGCTGTTATCGCCCTCGGGGGCATGGCGGCAGTTACTCAGTCGGCTGCGCTCGCGTACCCTGAGCGGGCTGCACAGCTGGTCAACCAGCTCCTTGCGAACGTTCCGGAGAGCGCTCGCAAGGACACTGACGAAATCAATCTTCTCCGGGCCATCCAGGACCTGGCCAATCAACGCATCCAGGCGTTGACCTCGGACTCCGCCACCACTAACTAGTACCGCTTCTCTCGTTCGAGAGGGCCCTCGGGCCCACTCTTTGCTTTAGAAGGTTGGGAATGTTGGCGCGTTAGCATCTTCTTACTAGCTAGTACTCGTTCTCTATTCTACAGTGCATCCGCCACGAGGTGTACGGACGGGATCCTCGGATCATTTGTTTTGAGAACTGAGGAAAGATGGTGGAGGTGAGTTGTTTGCTACTTCTCAGCTAGTACTCGCTCTTTTTTTTATTACAGGATGCACCGGCCACGAGGTGTACGGACGGGGGTCTTCGGATCCTTTTGTCCCGAGAGCTGAGGAAAGTTGGGTAGTTTAGCATCGAGTGATACGGTCTCGATACCCCATGTGTTGAGGTTACAGGTCTTGAAGAGCGTAGCGCGCCACCCTTGATTGACCACCCAAGGGCACTGTGTCTTTGTCTTGATATATGACGGGATATATCCAGAAACATATCCCTCCCAGAATCTCGGTGTTGGTACCTCGCTGTATTTTTATCTTAATTCGTTCCCGTGACTCGCATCTTAATCAATGCCCTCATGCTAGACGCAGTTCGAAACAAAACCTTCTCGCTTCTCCGTACGGGTCCGGTATACGCGGCTATGGTATTGGTGGTGCGGTTCGCTGTAAATTTTGACAGCCTTTTTTTTACCCTTTTTGACAGGGGGAGGGTAAAAAAAGTTTCAAATATCTGTCTCAGCTGCTACCTCGGAGCCCCCGCCAATGCCACTCTTATGACACATCAATTTTATTTGTCTGGCATCCGTGAGCGAACGATAGGCGGCACCGCTTTCGAAGATTTGAGATTCTGTGTTTCCCGGGCCTCATTAAATGATCTACCCGAATTCATGAAGAGATTCCGATGATATCATACGCTGGCTGGCCCTCGCCTTTATTTTATTTTATTTTTTTTCTTTCTTTTGTCGCCGCCGCGCTTCATGACTGAAGATATCATGTTTTTACTTATTGTATTTTCACTTTTTTTTTTTTTTTTTTTCATTGCTCGTGTGGAGCTTATTCCATTGTATAAACTAGATTGAGCAGGGCAGAGCGATTTGTTTTGTTTACTTTTGTTATTTTCGATCTCCTCTTTTCTTTTACATATCAATGCATTGGGTCCGGAGTAAGAAAAGTCGTTTTGTCGACACGGGAGTTTTTTTTTTTTTTTTTTTTTTTTTTTTTTTTTTTTTTTTTTTTTTAATTCATGCCCTTGTTTTATTTACAAAATCAGTGTTTACCTATCCCGTGTGGTGTTTGTGGGAGGACCGGACGGCCTCTTGGGGTTGAGGGGTTTGGAATTCTGTTCATGTAAAGCCTGTGTGCCCTTGTTTCCAGCGGCAACGAGCATCTAAACATGTTTTGAGGGGGGGTTGGGAGTTGGGATGGTTTGATTAATACATTGTTGCCTCCTGTTTCCCGCCTCCTCTTAGATTCGTCCCCCACCCCCTATTATCGCGGTCTCGCTCAACGCTCTTTTCAACCATCCACGAGTCAGCGACTCGTCAGGGGAGATAGATTGTATCTTTGTTTCTGGGGAACATCATCGTCTTCATCATCATCATCATCGTCGTCGTCGTCGTCTTCGTCATGTATACACGTTTTGTGTGACTCCGGAAATGCTTTGCTATTTCATCTGGCCCCTGCTGCTGTTTCTGCTTCTACTTCTACTGTTTGCTTTTAAAAAAGGGGGGGGGGGGGGGGGTCTGCTCTCTTACTACCATTGTTATTTGCTGCTGTTGGCTTTTTTTCTTTTTTTTTTTTTTTCCCTTCTTTTTTAATGTATATTAGCGAACAGGACGCCAGAACGAACCCAGGCGCCGAACCGTGCAACGGAAGAAGGATGAAGAATAGAGAAAACACATCTTTCTATCCGGATACAATCAATCTGCACTCTCTTTTTTTTTTTTTTTTTTTTCTTGCTTATTCGTTCAATAATAAAATAAAGCCTTTGAAAACAGGTGGGGGCCATGAATCCGGGCCGGGCTTTTTTTCAGTGGGGTTTCAAACCTTGAGCGGAGTGAAAGGATATACAAGATAAGTTAGGAGGTTCAAAGTTATTTAGAAAATGGAGTTCTTCCGAGGCCCTGTTCCACTTTTAGAGTTTGATAATGGATGGATTGCAGTAACTTTTCTTTCCTTGCTGGCCGAGGGTTTATTATTTTTTTGTCGGTTTTGCGCTGTATTGTCTGGTCTCTTTGAAAATTTTCTGAGGTCACACGTTTTATTCATCCCCCGTCGCATATTATAACTAACTAGTTACACAACAACAAAACACCCCCACCAAAACGTTTACACGTGGAGGAGGTATGGACAAATCTGCCCTGGAAATTGCCCGAAGAACATGAATATGACCAGTGTGTGTCCCATAGCTTCTTCCGCTTGGTTAGCAATACATACATACTAGTTAGTAGTTAAAACATGGAGTGTATATTTAGGATTATTTTAACTTTGAAACCACTTTTGTTATATATATATACTCGCGGGTGACGGGAGGGAGGGAGAGAGGCCATGCTTCGGCGTCCGATGCGGATGTTAGTAGTTGTCTTGGGAGTTATCTTGTCACCTCGCCACCTTCCTCCTCTCTATTCTGCTGCGGGGCTTCTCAAACCCTTAACCCCTTCTTCTCGGAAAGTATCCGGCTGGTCCGAGATGGTATTTGGAGATGAACGAAGGGTTTAGATGCTTTATTTTTGATTTTGTTTTTTAGTCCGATCGACGCGGAGGAGATGAAGCGACCCGGTACAACAATAATAGGGACATTTTTGATATAGAGTGGAAGGGAGATCGAGAGGAATCATGATGATTATGAGGGAACACATTCATAGAGGATAGAGATAAGGTCGCAAAACATAGCCGGCGTATATATCTATGGAAGGATAGAAAGTTGAAAAGTAAAGCCAGAAAGGGAAAACAGGAATGAAAAACAAGTGGAAACATGACTGGGAAATTTCAAAAGAAGGGAGGACGAAAGTGAGGAAGGAAGTAATAAGCTGGACAAAATCTTTCGAGCCCACTTACAAACTGGATGCAAGATGGAAAATACCGCCAACTAGGAAGGGTAAGTATATGGGAATAAGATAGAACCGAAGCATGAAGCAGGTCAACTTGGTACAAGATGATAGCAAGGTGGAAAACGTAAGAGGAGTATAATAGCTAAATAATGGGAAATTATTTGCCAACCAAAGATGGGGAAATAGCCTGTGAGAGAAGGAGGTATATATGGATAAGTGTATCATTTCACGGATTTTGTTTCCTTATATCTTTTGATTCCTTGCCATTTTCTCTTTTTGTCTCGGTTTAAATAATCGTCTTTGATCCTTGTGATGATTGTGGATATCTTTTCTTTCTTATATTTCTCACGTTGTCATGTCTTAATTTTTGCTGTATTTGTTGGTATTTCAGTCAGATGTTTAAGCATTTGGACAAATCTTCTCTTATTCTTTCTCCCTCTTTCTCATCTTTTCCTGTAGGGGCAGAATGTTAGTTATGCAACGGATATTCCATCCACTTATAGGAACTTTTTGGGCATATTTGCGCGACGCCGTTTGTACACGATATACGAAGCGGCAAGTCCAAGTTGGCACACAACTATCAGGAAGATGAAGAATCCCATTCGGGGCTTGGAGGAGAGTATCTCTGTAAGAATGGGTTTTGTATGGTTAGCTTTGGCGTTTTCTTTTGGGTGGCTCCCGCGGACCGAAAATAAGATGTGAAAGAATATTTCCTTAACGCGACAAAAGACGACAAAAGGACAGGTATATACGCACGATGTGAAGTCGACTGGAGTTGCTCGATCACTCCCGTGTGTGATGTCTTCAAGGCATCCTGCAGCCTGTGCAACTGATTCTTGAGGTCGGAGTCTGTCACGCCCTTCTGCACGGCCTGGAGCATGTTCTCAATGCGCTGCATCCGTTGCTCCATTTGACCCGCCAGATCACGATTCGCAGTTAGTTTTTGCAAGGTGTCCTGGTGACGCTCGTCGACTTTTCTGGATAGTGACTGGATTTCAGTCAGAAGTCGGTCCGCAGTTCCTACTAGCCCTTGCAGACGGTTTTGCAAGTCATTGAGCCGGTTATCAATGCCGTTGCCGCCAGCGCCGGTTGCTTGTTGCTGGATTGGGATTTGGTTGTTGTTGTTGTTGTTATTCGGGATTTGCTGGTTCTCATAAGGGCGATGTTGGTATGGCTGGCCGCCCGGAGCTGTGGTGTCTGGAATGCTCAAGACAAACTTGAAGACTTCGAAAGAATCCGGGTTCTCTGCCGACGCGGCTGTGATTCCAAAATTGTTACCCGGCGGAACAAATACCTGTATAGCTGTTAGTTGAATATAAACAGAGGATAAAAAATGAAGTTCGGGAACCCGCCTTGTCTGTTGAAAAGCAGGGCTTCCCATCAGTCAGAACCTCAAACGTTGATGTTGTTTGTTTGATTTGAATGTGTGAGAGTCGTCCGAGATTCCGATATGAGTAGTCACAATGCCCAAATGCCAGGCCGTCAACATTTGCGCTGTTATAATCTGTGGTGCCGTCATTTAAAAAGCCCCGGACGCTTCCGCCCTAGAAAACAAAGTCGCAGTCAACAAGGCTATTCGCATCAACGGCGAAACGCTGGATCCTGTACGGGTCTCTGGGACCTTCAAGACTTACTCTTCCGTTCGGTACATCAATTACAAGGACGAACCCATCAAACCGGCCAGCAGTGTATACGCTTGCTGTTGAGATTTTGGACAGTCCATCCTTGACGTACCACAGCTGGAGATTTCCGCCTCCCCTCTCCGCGCCGTTGGATCTGAAATCAAAATCGACTATCCATTCGGATCCGTCAAACCTTCCCACCAAAGTTAATATATCCCAAGCTTCCCGGAGTCAAACAAGAAAAGGATATATACTTACGGTTGTTCGGACCACAACGATCCCCGTTTGTTACCAGTATATGGGGGGGTCAAAATCACTCGATCCGACAGCTGGAGGAGCATGGTTAGATACAGCCGTATCAATGCGCTATATTCAGTAAACCCTGTCCAGAATGGAGCTGAATCATACCTTGTGAGGAGTATGCCCCGTCCCAGACAGCTGCCAGCCGGGGATTATATGCTTGTCTGCCGATATCCTAGACACACGTCGCTGTCAGAAAGTGGTTTTGTTTGATATCCAAACAGGGAAACCGGCCTTGGAAGACGGCAGTGTGAACATACTTCCCATTGTGCCCAAAACTTGCTTTTTCCACAATGGAATTTGCCTGCGAAACTGATACAAATGCGCAAGCGAGGGCCAGGAATTTTGTAATACCCCGTGATCGAACCATTGTGGATATACGGTGCAGGATATGGGATATGATATCAGGGATCTCCGTCAATGGCAGACACAATCAATGAGGTTATTATGACAAGAAAGTGCCAAAAACAGGAATTCCAACAGCCCGTATTATCCCTCCCCTTCACGACGACAGAAACCTGAGTTATATATACAGGTTCTATTAGACGTAGCTGGGCAAGCTGTACGGTAACGGCGCAAAATGAAGAAAATCAATGTATGGAGTCAGGTCCGACAGAAACTTCTAATTGGAAGCTGATCTACCATGTGATATTATTCCTCATTGCCGCGTTTAGAGGGATACATTAATTATTCAGTATGTAGTACTTGCTGTAGTGCTCGTCGACAGACAACTATTCCGGCCAGCTTGTCCTTCCACGCTCAGGGGCTTTGTTGTGCACAGCCAAACAGGCCAAACAGGCCAAACATGCCAAGGTACAGCTTCCCCCAGGCAACATCATGTGATCTCGTCCTTTTGCCAAGGTTGCCAAGCAGCAACGAATCAAACACAGCAAACATCCGAGCTTGAAACTCTCCACGAATAGCTTCAACTTCGGCTGGGAGTTGAACGTAGCTCAAGCGGCCAGGTTGAGCACCGAAGTTTTCTGTTCCTGATTCTGTGAATAATCAATCATGTCCTATGGCTAACTTTTACCCCTCGCTGGCGCAATGCGCCATTGTTGCTACCGCGTTCAAGGTCACCCTTTTTCCTGCGTAGTATGTTGAGGCTTCCTTATACTGATCAAAAATACTAAATGAGAAGTTGAATGCCTCAAATAGACGATAATTGAAAAACAAGAAGTTGAGCTAACGGTGAGGTTTTTGTAGTAAGTCCACTGATTTTGAAGTCCACCGTAATTGGCTGGCGATCACCCACTCTCTCCCTGTGGACAAGTGGTACTACGAGGTTTGTGGCTCATCTGCTTTACTGCTATTTGTCTTTATATTGGGATATATGAGACTGACATCTGGATCCCAGAAAACTTCCGAATGGACACTCGACTACCCACCGTTTTTCGGTGTGCTGGAGTGGCTGCTCTCGCAAGTGGCCGTCCTTGTTGATCCGGCGATGCTGAAACTGGACAATCTCAACTATGAGTCCTGGCAGACGGTTTATTTCCAGAGATGCTCTGTCATTGCGCTGGAGTTTGTTCTTGTATATGCACTTCATCGGTGCGTTTCTCTATATATATGTGTGTAGATATATACATATATTCTTTCTTTCTTCCTTTTGAAAAAAGCAATATATGGGAACGGTGAGGCGATTAACTCTGACGCTTCCCGAAATTACACGCACGCGTAGATATATCCAATCGGTGGAAGTTGGGAGCAAACGGCTCGCGCATGCAGCCGCGCTCTCCATCCTCCTATCCCCCGGTCTTCTCATCATCGACCACATCCATTTCCAATACAACGGATTCCTCTACGGGCTTCTGATCCTCTCGCTCGTCCTGGCCCGCAAGCAATCCACCCTCCTCTACAGCGGGATCACATTTGCCATCCTCCTCTGCCTGAAACATATCTACCTCTATCTCTCACTGGCATATTTCGTCTATCTCCTCCGGGTCTACTGCCTGCACCCCAGGTCGCCATCGATCTTCCGTCCCAGATTCGGCAACATTTTCAAGCTGGGCGTCGGGGTGTTGGGCGTCTTTGGCGCTGCGTTTGGACCCTTTTTCTACTGGGGCCAGATGGGCCAGCTGAAGGCCCGCCTGTTTCCGTTCTCGCGTGGGCTGTGCCATGCGTATTGGGCGCCGAATGTATGGGCTATGTACTCGTTCGTGGATCGAGTACTTATTTTAGGTATTTCGTGTTTTTGTTTTTGTTTTATATTGTCCATGCGCCTGGATCACGGAAGGAACCAAGAATCTAACAAACAAACTCCGATCTCATAACCCAGTCGCACCACATCTTGGCCTCAAAGTTGATTCGAGTGCGTTGGGAAGCGTCACCAGGGGGCTTGTGGGAGACACATCCTTCGCCGTGCTCCCCGAAGTGACCAAAGAACACACCTTCACCCTGACCCTCCTCTTCCAACTTGTAAGTAACATGGAAAATGCTAATCTCCCCCACCCCCTATACTGCCCAGAGTACTAACCGCCAGCCCCCCGCAACAGCTCTGCCTCGCCAAGCTCTGGCTCCAGCCAGACTGGGACACCTTCCTCGGCGCCGTGACGCTCTGCGGCTACGCGGCGTTCCTCTTCGGCTGGCACGTGCACGAGAAGGCGATCCTGCTCGTGCTTATCCCCTTCAGCCTGCTGGCGCTCCGGGACCGGCGCTTCTTCAGCGCCTTCCGCCCGCTCGCGGTGGCGGGCCACGTGTCGCTGTTCCCGCTGCTCTTCACGGCCGCCGAGTCCCCGCTCAAGATCGTCTACACGGTGTTCTGGCTGGTGCTGGTGCTGTCTGCGTTCGAGCGGCTGGCGCCGGCGCCGGTGCGGCCGCGCGTGTTCCTGCTGGATCGGTTCTCGATCCTGTACGACAGCGTGGCGATCCCGCTGGTCGTGTACTGCTCGTTTGTGCATGGGGTGGTGTTTGGCGGGGGGCGGTATGAGTTTTTGCCGCTGATGTTTACGAGTTCGTATGCGGCGCTGGGGGTGGTGGGGAGCTGGGTGGGGTTTATGGTTGTTTATTTTACTGCGTAGGGAGGGGGAAATTGGATTGGATTGGGGTTTGCTGGCAATGGGTGATTTTTGAGAGAGGGAGAGGGAGAGAGATTTCCATTTATTTACTTTTATTTATCTTTACTCTTTCATTTGCGCTTATGAAGGGATGATAATTAGAAACAAAACAGCGTGCCCTCTCGCTTTCCTCTTTCTTTCCAGGCAACAGACAACTGCAATTTTGTAGATCCTACCTACCCCTCAAAAAGGCATAATATCCAGCTTCAGCTCCAGCAGCGTGAAATACCCTGATAACTAACAATGGATAATAAAACTGGGCTCCATATATCTGTCTTACTATAAAAGAAACAGTTAATAGGGAAGGAAGCAAGCAAAAAGCGCAATAATGCAAACCTCATGACTGAGGGGTGATTAGGTTCTCTCATCCCCCATTCGTCGGGGGGGGGGGGTGGGGGGGGG